GAGCCCGCGAAATGTCAGGCATGGCGACGGCTTGACTTTTGAAGAGGTGGGAGATTTTAAAATAACCATAGAGATCCCAATGTTGGCTAGAACGGTGGCTAGACGTTTGGGGCCAAAAGACTAAAATCGCCGCCAGCAGACCAGGACTAGTAACCACTATCCACTCTGGTAAGCTAGGGTTTGGGGTTGATTGGAGCGAAATGATCTAGGATTGCGCCAAAGCACTTGAGCGAAGGCCAAATGCGGCCGCGCCTGGAACGACTGACGGAAACTCATCGTGTGGCCAACCACGGATGAGGAAGGGGTGCTGAAGGAGTTTAGGCCAAGCGATGTGGTTGCAATCTCGGCATCTGGTCTAGCGAGGGATTAGTCACAGGACGCCTATTGCTGTTGTGATAGCTTTGATGCTTGGAAGCTGTGAGGTGTTTGTGTGAGCGATTGATCAAGCATTGCCCGTGGCACGACAGACAAGACGGAGATTAGGTAAGTCATCTTTGAGTTGGGGCACATGCTGTCGAGGGTCAGATTGCGTATAAGACTTTGGGTCAATTCTGCGACTGGTACCTGGTCTGGGTGACTGGTGGTAGAGATGATGAATAAGGTACGACGAGGTTGCGTGTCACCCAGGATTCAGGCGAAACTCGTCCGCCCGTCGCCGTATTGCGCTAAACCAAATATAGCAATTTTAGCCCCAATTAGTCTAGTGGTCCAGGGTGGCCTATGGCCTTGGCACTGGCCTTGGCAATTGTCTTGGCAGAGGGTATGGCGGCATCAAGTGCTTCAGCTTGTGGAGGAGGCCTTGCTTTCGAGACATTCAGGCCATCACTCAAACCACCTTTTTCAATCTCCAGCCCCTTGAAGATGTGAATCTTTAGTACTTTTGCGCCTTCGCTAAAACATTTTAGACCTTGTGAGGGAACAGGATCGCCACAACATTGATTAATAAACCTCATCCAGACTTGCCCAGTCGAGGGGGGCGAGCGTTGGCAAGTTTAGCTCCTGCGCCGTCTAGATATCTCGAAACACCTAGATAGAAGATCTCTGCCCCTACTCGGCCCCCACTGAGAAGGGTATACTTGGTACGTGTCGACGAGGCTAGACCGTTATTAATGAGGGGCAAGGTTGAGCGGCCCCTCAAGGCTGTACAATGCCCCTTTTATTGATCATGTGATTGACCATGTACCATACACCTATTTGCATCCAGCTTCTCATCTTTATCATTCACCGCTGGACAGTGGGACAGGATCAACATGAACGAAACGTCTTTTCGTAGAGTGCTCTTGTAGATCGACTGTCACAAGTACCCGAAGCCGAAGGTTAACCCGATTGGAAGGGCATTCGTGGTCACGTGAAAGTGGTATGACGGATTTGATCGTTTGATGACCAGGAAGATCTTCATCTTAAAGCGCGTATAACCATAAAGGCACCAGAGGATGCTTAGAAATGCCTCCTCTCACACCCTTTTTTGACCAGTAAATCAGAGACAACTCGACAAATTCTAAAGCGCCAAGTATTAAAGTTTTCGAACTCTTACTCCAATGCCGCACGACGCACACGCACATCGTGACTCGTCGCACCACGGTCACCATTCCAACCACACGGACATTGGGACGACCATCGACAATATCATATCGAATCTCAGCGAGATCGCCATCATGGAAGAGACCGAGCCCAATGGCAAGGCGAGATATGTGTTGCAGGACCGAGACCGTGACGAGGACGAAGATGACGAGTAAGTCAAAACAAACCCTGCTCAACTAATATTCAGCTAGCTACACATCACTGGTTCCTCGCTAGAATCACATGTTAACGAGACGGGAAAAGCTACGTATGGGCCAGCAACAAACCGACCGTGAAACCCTTTGACGGAGACCTCAGACGCCAGTATCTGGCCTACATCGACAAGATCAACTCCAGCAGTTGCGGCCCCGGGGATCTCGACGAATTCGTCAAGCACGGCGTGGTCCACAACGACTCGGCGCCCATGGCGGTCGATGAATATGCGAGGCTCATAGGGGACAGCAAGAGAGACCTCCCCGGGCTGCACTTTGCGGTGGACATGCTCGTCGTGGAGAAGATTCAAAAACCGAGTACCACTACCGCCGCCACAAGTACTACTACCACCACCAGCATTTCATCTCCATCCGACGCCGGTGACGACAAACACGATGGGTCGATCGCCGCCAGGATCAAGTTGACCTACAAGCCCACGCCGACCACGCAGGACACGTTTTTCGAGCACGTCTTCTACGCCCTCGAACAAGGCAAGATCTCTAGAGTTTGGAGTCTGTTGGACGGAGCGGGGTTGAAGTGGAAGGAGAAGAGGGACCAACAACAACTCGACGAGGTTTCTGGACAGAAGAAAGAGGGTTTAAACAAGTAAAACGAGTCACTCGGATCGTTTCTAACTATGACTGCCGCTCGTTAAGTTCTTACCGGGTGGTAGTACCTGTAACGAATATGAGGATAGCGAGGAAGGACGCACCGGTGCGGCTATGGGATGGGAAATTTTTGATCGGATTGGGACCAGCTAGCTTTCTTTCACACGACGTCAAGATTGGGACGACCGATAAATGACATTATCTTCAAACAAACATTGATTGTATCTACTTAGTGGTTTGTGCATTGAACTTGGTGGCTAGGTACTTAGTAGGTTGTTCTGTACAAGGGTCCGGATTCGGTCTAGCTCATTTGCGAATTACCCATTTAGGATAAAAGGGTGGCGCGTTTAACATGGAAAATGAAACGGCTCTTCTCACAAAGGTCGGCTTGTTGGCAGCCAAACAACTCTTCCATGTGCTATCAACGCGTCAAAGTGAAACAAGTTGAAATTGCGCACAGGAAGTAATTTTCATTTAACGTGTTAATACTAGGAGTTCTCTCTTATGCTCATGTCGGTCACGGACTTTCCAAGATCTGCGTCTGATGGATTACTATCAGGCAGATGAACTCCCTTCCCCAAAAGATTTGTTTCAAGCACGCTGTGGTTATTTTCGATAGCAAACCGCAAGGCCTTGACACCACAGTTGGCGGCATTGAGATCCAGCCCATGTTCCCAGAGGCAATCCAACACCTCGATGTAACGCGACATTGTCTCGTGGTCGCTGCAGCTTGCCTTGGCTGCGAGCAGGAAGTGACCGGCAGCCAAGGCATGACCGTACTCGTCAATGGTAGTCACTCTTGTAAGCAACGTGCGAAGCACGCTTGCCCTTCCATTTACGCAGGCTGCCCGCACAGCGTCAAGGTCACTCTGAAGACCGTGCCGCGCTCCATGGTCGAGCAGAACCTTGACCACTTCGAATTGACCACGGGCTGCCGCAAGAGACAGGTGCGACCTCCCTCCCTCTGTCTCATTCACGTCGTAACCCATCTCGACAACGATCGGAATCAGCTCCGGGACGTCGTATACCACAGCAAGATGCACGACGAGGTGCTGCACGGAACCTTTGGTGTTTCGAGGTACTGTTCGTAAGAAAAGACGGATGATATCGATACTACTAGTGTCATCAGTTTGGCCTACCGCGAGCTTTCGCACAATCGACCAAAGAAGTCTATCACAGTCTGCTGCATCGAGTTTGAGGCCATACTGTGGCTCAAGTAGCAGCGTAACCATTCTGACATCACCCGATAGACAAGGTTGTTCGATGAGCATTCGCTCGTATTTTGGTGAACAATGTGCATGATTATGTGGGGCGTTGACATCCGCACCGTGGTCCAGGAGATACTGGACCGTGTCGTACCAATGACTGGTCACGGCAAAGCGTAGGGGATCGGCACATATATTCTTCCGAACGCTCATATCAGGCTGTTGTTCCACAAGAGCTTTGATGGTGGCAGTGTCTTTCATGGAAATTGCCGTCACGATAGCCCAAGAGAGGGAGTCGATCTGACGCGGACTTCGGGTGAGACGAGCCAGCGGCACGCACAGTGGGATCTTGTCACCGGCCAGGAAATCGAGAACTCCAAGCGCGACCATGGATGCAGCCTGAGATGTGCGACCTCCTGGCTCCAGTCGTATCGTGCCGTTGACCGTGTGGACATATCTTGCTTGGCAACTGTCGGGCACATGGAATGTGGGTGTCGATAATAGGATTTTAACAGCCTCTTTTAGGTGTGCAATGAGGGCGGTTCTCGGCTGTCGGGCACATATCTGTCCCTTCAATAATCGATATAAGTGCTGGAGGCCCATTCTTAGTGTTATTCGATCCGTATCCTCGTCCATGCTGGTGTGAACGTTGCCAAAATCAAAGTATTGGGCCTGAATTTCACGATCGAAAAGACCTGCGAGAAGCCGTGTCATTGGGGATATTCCATTGAGACGAATTGACGAACATCCCGAGACGACCTACGGTTAACGCATCGAAGACGTAGTCCTTCTTTCCATGATGAGTTGTCTGCGACCAGCCCAATAATCATAGAGTGTACCTCGGGTGGCAAGATGCCGAACGACATGGCTGCCGAGTCTGGCTGAGTCCAGACCATAAATGGAGTGTATGTAGAATGTACTTGCCAGGTTGGAAAGAAATCAAGAGAAAAGGCATAAAAGAAAGATTACATTACTCTGGGTTTTTTGTCAGTGGCCATTTGTAACAACGTATAAGTAGTAGTTGAAGAATCCAACTCCGACTTCGCAAGTGCAACTGTGAAAGGAAAAAGCGAGAATGAAATCATATTGCCGAATTACAGTCTAACCATTTTAGGTTAGGTTATCAAATCAGCCTTGCAGACTTACGAGGCTTCTACAGGAGTACCAGAGACTACTAATTCCCAACCCTCGGCTGTTGTCGGCGGATTGTACTTATTCCTCGTACATAGTAATATTAGATAGTGTAGTAGTACGATCCGTCAAAGGACCAGATATGCATGCAGCCGCTGAGGATCTCTCGCCAGATAGTATCAATATATCCTACGCCCCAGCGCGAGGCTCTGGGATAGAGTATCAGCCCTCAGTGAGTAGTATGGCCCTGGGTCCTTCAACAAACGGTGACTATCGCAGAAATTTACGTCTGCAGCTGCTGATAAAACGCCGCCGAATTGATAAATGCACATCGTTCCAAAAGCCGAGGCTCCACTGTAGCTCCACCATTTGACGACAATTGCGCTTGTCCAGCACGAGGACCGCCAATGACTCTAATGCTCGCATCTGTCACATTCTGACTCGTCACTGCAGCTTGGGTCTTGTTAAAGGCTTGAGTCCAGCCGGAGAGAGTGATAGCAGAATCGCCACTCGGATTCCCTGTTGCGGCAAAATGAGCCCAACTGCCTGACATCCTGGTTGCAGTCACGTTCGCCGCGGCCGTAGTTCCAAAACCGACGTTGGGTTGGTTAAAGACGAAAGGTACATCGGAAAAATGAATGACTCCTTCGAAGCTGGCATTGAAAAGTTGCAGTACGCTGCTCAACGAAGTCGTGTTGAGCACATACAGGTAGCTTGTGCTGCCAAACCGAGTAACGCGATGAGATATATCAATCGATGGACAAGCAAAATTGATGTCGCGGTAGATCTGAGATGCTTGCAGGAAATAAGGTGAGATCTGGGTGGCTTGGGCGGCCGCAATGAAGTCGCTGATTGGGTACATTGAGATCAGCGTTGATAGCGTAGTCGAGGTGAGATGCGGATACGATGAATTCAGAAAAGCCTGTGCAGCAGAGGAGCCATTTAGTGTTGGAGGTACGAAGATGCTGCCGTCGTTTTCATTCCACCCAGTAATGATGGAGATGTTTTTGTGAAACCGACCTGTGCGGATCAAATTCGAGGGAGCGACCGGTATATAGCTTCCGTCAACAGTCGGGAAGAATAAATCTTGAGATGCACCATTAGCTTCGGTAGCGGTAGTTGAATTCTCAAATAAGAGAACGGCATTCAGGAGCTGGACCATGGATATCTCTCGGAGACAGTCCAAGACTAGACTGCTATTTGTCCCTGTACAGCCTGCCAATTGAGCCACCGCCGCTGTGTTCGTGGAGGTTGCATCTCCAGTGACACCAGGATCGCTCGCTGCGGCCCCAGACTGCATTATAGCACGCCGGAAGGGAGCAGTGCCTGTTGGTAATGTCCAATTAGCATCTCAATTCGGCAGCTGGCCGCCAATTCTTACCGTTCCCGCCAAAGGACGTCATATGCCTATTGCGCGTTAGTTTCGACAAGCTAAGAGATATCACTCTCCGGGTGCGGTTCTGTCAGGGGTAGGCATCGTTCGCTGGAGACACTTACAAGCCCACGCTGACACCGCCGTCACTTTCGCCAAATATTGTGACATTCTTTGGATTTCCTCCAAATGTTGCGATATTGGACTGGATCCATTGAAGTGCCAGCCGCTGGTCGAGCAAACCAGCATTCAGCGACCCTTCCGTCCTAAGCGCGGGGCTGTTGGCGAATCCAAAGATATTGACACGGTAATTCATCGAGGCATATATCACTGGGGTGCCCTTGGTAGCAGCACCGGTCACGAGCGCTGTAGGGTTGTATAACGAGTAGTTGTATGAACCTTCTTCATCACCTTGGCCAGAAATCCAGACCATTACAGGAAGATTTGCATCTTGCTTTGTTCCTGCAGGTCTCACAACCTCAAGGTTCAGACAATCCTCAGAGACATTGAAAACGCCAGGATTCTCGCTGATGGCACCAAGGAAAGACAAGATCGTGTTCTGGGGACACGCAGCGCCTGCAGCTGTGGCCTGGATAGTGGTACCTGTGGGATAGGTGAAGGCTTTGGGTGGCTTGAAGCGGTTGGCGCCAGATGTGTCCTGCCCAAAGTTGATGCCCTGAAACTGTTCGGTCCCCGCGAAGGAGAAACCTACATAGGTGAGATTGTGGGCATTGTCGCGCACCGTGACTGTGGATTGAGCAACGAGAGTTGAAGCATAGGATACAAAGAGAAGCTTAGGTAGCAACATTTTTCTCATGAATCGCGAGTGTTCGGTACCGGAATTTCAGTTTCAATCCATGGCACCTGGCAGAGGACCAGCTTTTATTCCCAAGTAGAGAGCTAGAGCTTCATTTGCAGCCGCTGACGTGTGCAGACTCGTCAGCCTTTCGTGTGAGAACTTTTATGGCTGTTGAGTCAAGGCACCGGCAAGTGAGGCTGACCACCTTGCGTTGTATGGCGACGGCTCTGTGGTCTGGGAAGCCTAATAACGGTACCAAGGGGCCTGAGCTTTGGAGGGGATGCTTCGTGGCTCGAAGTTGTTGGAAGGCCGCATATTGACGGAGAGGGGATGGGAACTTCCCAGTTCTGGGGCAACATGGTCAAACAAGATTTCGAATCAACGCAGACGATGGCCTCTCAATTGGCTCGAGAGGAGAAATCCTTGGTCAAGCTTGTTCAGAAGCTAAGATGCGAAAAGGCGGGGTTAGGTAGCCGGCCTTATTACCTACGAGAGTCAGATCCACAGTCTGAGTGTACGCAGGCAGACAGGATAATATGCACAGGAGCAACACGTTGAGGGCTTCCGTTGGTGCTCTGTCCCGTAGGAGGAGGACCAGTGGTCACCAAATAACCTCAGTTGGCGGTGTGGAGCTCGGTACAACTTCGGGTAGTAGAGGCCTGAAATTTTTGACCATCTTTTTCGATCGAGCGCCATAGCACTGTAAAGCGTCCACCTCACAAGATAATTTTGGAACAATGGAGAGCCTTGTAGAGAATGGCGACGGTCAACTCACCATCCAAAATCTCCCACCTCCCACTAAACGAAAACCTACGAGCGCCGGGCCTCTGACCACCGAAGACAAGGAAAATCAGAAACGAGTGGCCGACGCACGCAGGAAATATGGTCGAGGGCGTCCTGTCCGAGTGAACGATGTCAAGGACAAGAAATTACGGGCGAATCTGAAAAGAATCGAGAGCAAATACCGGACTGCCGTTTTGAATGCCAAAGATGCGGAGATACTGTACGAGAACGAGGAGGGGTTTCTGCAACCAGAGACTGAACTTGAGAAGACATACAAGGTCCGGCAAGAGGAAATCCTGGATGCGGTTGGTCTCCAGCAAGCACACAAGTCTATCGAATTCAGGCTTGATCTAGGGCCATACGTCTCCGACTACACGAGGAACGGGCGCAGTTTGCTTCTCGCGGGCAGAAAAGGCCATATTGCGACCTGCGAATGGCGCGCAGGCAAGCCAGGATGCGAGTTACACTTGAACGAGACCGTAAGAGACGCAAAGTGGCTACACAACGATCAATATTTTGCTGTGGCACAGAAAAAACACACTTATATCTACGATCATGCGGGAGTCGAAATCCATTGCCTCAGAAAGTATGTCGAGACCACGCATCTCGAATTCCTCCCATACCATTTCCTCCTTGCCGGCATCGAGAATAGTGGATTTCTTCGATACACGGACACATCGACTGGGCAGATAGTGGCTGAACACCCAACCCGAAAAGGACCACCGACTGCCCTCGCTCAAAATCCCTACAATGCTATTCTCCATGTCGGTCATCAGAACGGTACAGTCTCACTCTGGTCGCCCAACTCCACGACGCCACTGGTCAAGATCCAATCAAACGCTGGTCCTGTGCGGTCAATAGCAGTCGACCGTTCAGGTAACTACATGTTGTGCGGTGGGCAAGATCTACGTTTGAAACTCTGGGACATCCGGACGTGGAAAGAGATACATTCTTACTCAACGCGACAACCCGCGTCTTCAATAAGTATATCGGACCGCGGCCTTGCGGCTGTAGCAAGTGGTACAGGTGTGACGATCTGGAAAGACCTCCTCACCACCTCGCCATCATCCGGACCTCCAAAGGTCCAGTCACCCTATCTCAATTGGGGCAACGACGGCCACCGTGTCGAAAACGTCCAGTTCTGTCCCTTTGATGATATCCTCGGGATCTCGCACTCGGAAGGTTTTAGCAGCATCATCGTCCCCGGGGCCGGCGAACCCAACTACGACGCCCTCGAGGTCAATCCATACGAGACGCGCAAACAGAGACAAGAAGCCGAAGTCAAATCTCTCCTCACCAAACTCCAACCAGAGACTATCGCTCTGGACCCCAATTTCATCGGTACGCTGGACGCACGTAGCGCGGAGCAGCGCAGGCGCGAAAAGGACCTCGACGCGCCCGCAGAGGATCCCCTGGCCAAGTTAAAGGCGAGGGAGAAGAACCGGGCCAGAGGGAAGAACAGTGCACTTAGGAGGTACTTGCGGAAGAAAGGCGGGAAGAATATCATCGACGAGAGGCGGATGAGACTGGAGGAGATGAAGAAGGAGAGAGCGGAGAGGGAGAAAGAGCGGCTCAAGCAGGATAAACTCGAGTTGGGGCCGGCGTTGTCGAGATTTGCTAGGAAAGGGGTCTAGGTTGGCCATAGTGAATGGTACTTTTATGCCCAAGTACATGGTAGCCCAAATCGCACAAACAGCCATGATATTTGTATATGTATGTCTGTCCTCCGCAAAGATCCTCCTTTCCTACTATCCCGCCTAGTAAAGTGCCGTAATGTCCTTTAGTTCCTTCCATGCCCGAAAGCCCAGCTGTTGTGAATGAATATCGACTCCGAGCATTCATATCCCTATCACTAACGCATGTTACCTTGAACCAGCGAATACACTAGTATACCTGTTCACCGCAGGCTGCTCGCCGCTTCCTCTCGGTACACCCTCGGCCCACTGCTCCTTGCTTCGCTGATAGCCCGCGGTGCTCTTCCACGCGGACAGGATCAAATCGACCGTCTCGTGGACGCCCACGCCGTTCTTGATGACGGCCCTCACGACGGGCCCGCCCTCGCGCATCTTGTTCGCCTCCCGCTCCATCAGATCGACGTCCGCGCCCACAGCGTCGGCCAAATCACACTTGTTGATCACGAGCAGGTCCGAGCCCGTGATGCCCGGGCCACCTTTGCGGGGCACCTTGTCCCCGCCGGCGACGTCGATAACGTAGATGATGAAATCGGCCAGCTCGCGCGAGTAGTTTGCCGCGAGGTTGTCGCCGCCGCTCTCGATCAGGAGCAGGTCGGTCTGGAATTTTGCGTGGAGGCCCTCGAGCGCGAGGAGATTGGCGGATATGTCTTCGCGGACGGCGGCGTGCGGACATCCTCCCGTTTCTATCGCCACGATCCTCTCCGGCGTTAACGCGCCGTGCTTCGTCAGGAACTCGGCGTCCTCCCTTGTAAAGATGTCGTTTGTCACGGCCGCGATATTGTATTCCTTCCGGAGGGCCAGACAGAGCTCGAGCATCAGCGCTGTCTTTCCTGACCCGACTGGCCCACCAATCCCGATTGTGAACGCGCGATCGCTAAAGTCGCGGCCCTCCACTATGGGCATTTCGCGGTGCAGATATGAGCCCGGCCCGTCGAGGATCTCATGCGTGTGGCCATGGTTCGCCCCGTTTGTGTGATCATGGGAGTGAGAGTGAGAAGGTCCGCCGTCGTGAGAGTGGCTGGCCATGTTGGGAACGAGGAAAGGAAGGATTATTGGGAAGACCCCCGGCTGCTCTAGCCGACGGCTAGAGAGGTGGTTTTCTCTGAGGCGCGAGGTTAGGATTATATACCGTTATCGCAGATATCGATGCTCGGAGCAACGGACGGGCAAGCGGAATGGTTGAACTCAGTGGCAGTGTAGGTATCGTCGGGAGGATCTCTTCTCGGTTACTAACGCGAGAGGCTCGAGGAGCTCGTGAGGTGGAGATGTGCTGAGTACTGTTCTTTCAAGAAAAGTTGACTGTGCATGAGGAATGCTTCTCTCTGCAGTCAACAAAGGATGAACAAGGTTCAGAGGGGCAACGCAATGGACATGTACCCCGCACAAAAGTGTCCGCAGGTTATCAAGCAGGCTGGGATAACATCAACTTGACAATCCGCACAAATAGATTTGATAATCAATTCGGAAAGAACAGGAGTCAGGGTCGTCATAAGGAAGTACATTTTCATTCATAGCAGCAAGACTTGACCGAAGCATCGTAAAAATGGCGATTGTACATATCGTTCTTTTCAAACTCAAATCTGCACTGAGCGAAACCGAGAGAAAAGAGGTTGGACTTGACAACCGATGCATTGACACACCATAGTTAACAGAAACAGTTTTGCGATGATATGCTGTCCCTGAAAGACACTTGTATCCACCCAACATCCAACAAGCCATATATTGTCTCCTCATCAGGCGGAGTAGACAACAGCCCGGAAGGTGCTCAGGTTCGTCCAGTCCCACCACTCATTCGCGAAGTCGAAAGACGGGGACTGACCAACTGAAAAGGGAGGATTCACTCATGGATTCGTCGTCGAGTTCGCTTCGAAGGAGGATCGAGACTATTATGTTGCCACCGATCCAATCCACCAGGCATTTGTCAAGAAGAACGGACCCAGATTCGACGATGTCCGAGTAATCGACTATGAAAAGGGTGTGTACTAGGGGATGCTCATGGTTCTCAATAGTGGGCTGCCATATAGAGGGATTGGCTGTACAGGTTCTTGACCATTGTATTGGCTCTCGTAAATACGTCCTGCTGGGTTCGGAGTCTTTGATCCATTTGTCTATTATGAGACGCTAAAGGACTCGCCACAACCGCATTGCTCAGTGATATTGGGGTTCTTGAAGATGAACCTGGCACTCAGCTTATCTTCCTGCCAGTCCATTTCACTGCCGATGATGCTGAATAGTGCTTTGCTGTCAATTAAGACTTTAACCCCCTCTTGCTCAACAATCTCATCAAAGGCAGCGGGCTTGTCCACATATTCCAGGTGATATGCAAGGCCTGAGCAGCCACGATTCTTGACACCAACCCTGATCATCTTGGGATTGGGTTGATCCAGAAGTTCGCGGAGATGGACAAGCGCATTGGGTGTTATCGTCATGGCGGCCTTCCGAGGCCGTAGTTTACTTCGCCGGGGTTTCGCTGTTTTGGACTGCTCGGGTTGCGCCGTCTGTACTGGCTTCGGTTTCTGTGCCACTCTTTCTGGGACGCTTATACTTGCAGCTTCCTCTAGTGTGTTCTGCTGTACGGCGTCTCTTTTGTCTTGTCTCTTTTCACTAAGTTGCGGGTTGGGTCCAGCGATCGAGGTGTCAGGGATGTTGGTGTTTCTAGGAGGGAGAGGAAAATCGGCAGGTAGTGTATGGGGTTGATAAGATGGCGCAGTGTATAACTCTCTCTTCGATGATTGTCGAGGGGCTATACTGGATGAGAAGGTCCTCAACGAATGGTGCGGACATGCTCTCGCGACCGAGGCAATTGCCAGGGCTCGGAAGAAGAGAATTGATGAAGACGTTGCTGGGATAAATTGTGTCGTCGACATTTTAGAGGTCTGTTGTAGGTCTGCCGGTTTGCGGTAGTGAGGAGAGGCTCTAGAACTGGAGGAGGAGTATGAGTGTATGTATATCTTGAACATGGAGGCGCAGGTTGGGGAGGCAGTTCCGTCATTCTCTGCATCCCAGTTTGTCAGCCGACTTCGCTCCAGCAACCAGCCAATCGGCGGCGACTGATTTCAATACGCACGTGACACTGCAGTTTTTACACGTGACAGGATATTTTTACACGTGACACAGATAATTCAACTTTTTTGGGTCTGATATGTTTCTTTGATCATCTGCCTAGTGCTGGATGTAGACGAGGTAGACACATATGGAACATGATGGCCTGGGCTCAAAACAAGTGCTGTCTGTGAGTGCCTTGCTCAGCAGACAAATATCTCCGCACTTCTGACACTAGCATCAGCCATTTGTGTTCTCGCCATCAATCACATTTGCAGGCTAAACCAAGTCAGCACCGTCAGTCCAACTTTGCATATTTCGTTCAATTCTGCCACAGCCTTCGATCATTTCTCTTGCCACCATAGTATCAAGTTTCGCCTCAACTAAGGATTATGAGATCGGATTGGCTCCCAAACTAACTCAGCTCCGGACTCCTGCCATCGCCATGGAGACTCCCTTGACCCAACAAACGAGGCCAGACTCCTTCGAACCCAAAATCATCCAACTCTACCTCCATCTTTTCAATGTTCTCGCAAATGAGGATGGTGATGAGTCGGTGCCATCTGAGGGGTTCTGGCGGGAGTTCTTCCTTCACAAGCCTGACAAGCAGCGTCTCTATGATATTCTCGAGCCCATGACAGCTTTCGACCTTGTCCATATGCAAGTATAGTCAGCTCTTACGCTTGCATCGGCCCATTTCCCACGTCTAACGGCTATTTAGACGCAGATGAGGGTATTCTTCAAGCGTGCCATAAGTGAAGCGGGCTCAGGAGATTCGTCCCGGAACGAAAATGCTTTTGACGTACGTTACTCTTGAATTTGCTCTTGATTAACGTGTTGAATTTGACACCTTCAAGAACCTGACAGCTTTCCTGTGCGCCGTATTCACGAAAAAGTACACCAACCCCAATACCGATGTTATTGAAGTACTTTCCGGGCTGGACACGATTGATAGGTCAATGTCTGATCTCGTCCATATCCTTGAAACAACCATTCGCCAGGCGGACAAGGATTCGCTGCGAAGAAAAGCACTTGATACTGTCCTCGCACTGGTTGCCGGCGGCTTCCACTCAAGTCTGGTCACCTATTTCATGCACCGCGATCTCTTTTCGGCGTTGATGAAGGTAGGCACATTCCCTCTGAGGAGAAGTTATTCTCATCTTCAATCCAGTATGTCCACGATATACCCGAATCTCCCACAACCAGCCTCAAAGCATCTATTGTTATTGGCATATTGTCCAGTTATAACAAATTCGAAGCTCAAAATGTGTACCAGAATCGGCTAGAAGACTTCGTCAACGAGGAAACAATACGACTTCTAGTTCGCAATTTTGCCATTGCATGTCTTGTCATACGTGACCAGTATGTGTCTGTTCAAGATGATTATCCTGTACCATGGAGTTTGAATTCGACGCTTGTCATGGTTGGACTTCGGTCGTTGTCAACTGACGCAAAGAAAGCAGCACCTCCATCAGAGGAGGAAGCCAAGGCTATGCTCCTTTCTCTACCCGGGGAAGATGCGGCTTGTATCCTTTCGCTGTACTCTTTCACCCAAGCAAACAAACTATTTGCTGCGAATCTCCTGAATCTACCTGCCGAGAAAGATAAGGAGACACCATTTTCTGCCTTCCTGTCAATGACCTCGTATATCTCACATCATGCCTATCGTGGCCCACGACAGTCAACATACGCCGTCTTGAGCCTGCTGTCCATCAGGATAATCGTGGAAGACCCTGCATTGGTCAAAAAAATTTGTTCGCTGGATGCAAAAGCGTTATTTCGACTATGTCGTCAAAGGCCACCTCACCTTCCATTGGTCACATCTGCAAGGATCCCTGCGACTGCCATTCTGGATGTATGTACCGATATTCTTAGCCACAATCTAAGAAAGAGACTGGACGTCCGGCTGTACAGCCTTGCGCTGGGAATCATACTACGTATTGTTACCCACCTCGAACAGACCAAGACACGCCTTCAGCATCATTGGGCGTATATTTGGGGCTCGCTTTTGTCACTCATGCGGTTTCTCACACAGTATGCCGCCGACCTGAAACACCTCAGAGACATTCGGGAAGACTTGTGTGCGACGCTTGCGAGTCTGACTGCATTCTGTTTGGCAAAGGGTGACGGTTTTCTACCTGATCCGGCCAGTTTCGATGACTTTTTCTACAAGCTCATTGAGGGGAACGACGTTCTGTACAGATTCAAACAATCATATTGCGATGGGGGTCCCCAGTCCGACACCTTGAAGCGATCGGTCGAGGCCCTGATTAGCGTCTCATCTCATTATCACGAATTATTGAAAGCACAGCATGGCAAGAAGACGCATCAGTCGCCGGCCGCGATTCAGAAGGTCATCAAAGAAGGTTATGAGACGTTGAACCTAGAAGCTGATGAAGGGTTCGGCCGATGGGAGAAGTGGCGTGAAAGCGATTGGAAAGCCGAACTGAAAAAGATGATCAGAGTTGCTGTTGAAGACGCCAGAATCTTTGCGCTGAGGTGACAACCGGACGCAGGATATTGTGGTAAGGCGACTATTAATTGCGTCGGCTGCGAGCATCGTGCCCAACCCGTTGACACGGCTAATTTGAAGGATGTCTCTGGCTTCACACTTGGACTATGCGGAGGAGGAGGTGCTGATGTGCGACGACACTCTGTGACAAGTCCAACCACGCCAGATTGATAAAGTGGGTTCTACCGAGCTACAAGCTCGTGGACAGGGGAATCAACAAGTACGCGTGCGACATGAGATTAATGGACCGCTGTGGGAAAGGCCAAATGGTGCTCGCTCTGAGCGTCACTAGGTCAAGTCCCTGTCTCAAGTCTCGACATCAGTCCTGGCAGCCTGGCATCTGTGACGGTGTCGAATTTTCAATGGCAACAAGACCACAGCGTCGGGGATGGATTGGTACGATATATCGTCAAGAGTGTACATTCCATAGCTATGATGATGCATCAGTTGTGGTGGAACAAGCTGACACAGACGCGGATATTATCACGTGGACCCCACGTGGAATCGCATCCCCTTGTACCCTTTATCGAGCGCCATGAGTAATTACTAGGTAGCTCATCCTCAATAGTCCCGCTTCCTGTCAAGCCTGTCAACTGCCAACCCCTTAGCGCCGGAGTCCAACAACCCCGCTATCGGAGCCCCTTTTTCTCCCACTGGCGTCCGCCACGAGGCTCCAAACTCACCACCGCCTCAGATAGTCTCATCAACGGACTTTGCGTGGATTTTTGTCCAAGGTGTACACGTACGTACTCGTACGCACATCCGATCCAAGCCAAATCGAGCGGCGCGCAAAATCAACAGAACGGTATGTGTACGCGGATGAAGTCCGCGGAGGAAAGTCCTGCTGCTTGCCAGACGTAGGCAGTTTTCTTATGCAGGACTGGCAGGGCCGGGGAGGGGGGGTATTTATCTTGAAACAAACCCCAAGCACAAAAATGGGTATTCGATACAGATAATATTATCACCCAGGCATGTCCCAAAAATGCATCCAAGAGGCGAGACTGGTGCCTTTAGCGTGTAGCCTTATTGAGTCATTCATCTGTCGGTGAGGCGGGTCTAGAAGTGCATGTAGGACTCGAATCATCAAAAGGAGTAAAGACAAATCTCCGAGATAGTTCTGTTTTCTCACAAAATCTCACTTTAGTACGACAAAACGTTTGGGGTAGCGGTTCGTACGAGAGGGATAATACGCGAACGTCTCTTTACGTGTCTCGCTCTGGTGGCCTCCTCGTGCACCTACTTACCAAATATTGGCCCCCCTTTTGGGTGGCCCCTTTGAAGAATCGTGCAAAGCTGCCGACTCGTCAGAAGCCGAAGAGCCAGACCCAGTCCGGGCCCGAGTGTGGGAGTGTGACCGAGGGGGGCTTGGGGGGGCACGGGTGGGAAGGAGTGTATTTCCTCGTATGTCTCGGGCATTGAGAGTTTCTGAGGTGCGGATCTAGGGCTCTCACAAAGGTCAGAGTCTCGTTCCCGGGTTGGTGTAGGAAGGAAATAAGCAAGACTCCCGAAAGAGACGGTGCGAGCAGAATAATGCTGTCGCGGTAGACGTGAAAGGGAATAGAGGAAAGAAATCATGGCCCCCAATCACTCAATCAAGTCATGTTCAGCGATTATTCGGAACCCGGGGGCGGTGAGAAGATCTCACAAGTTCCCAACGTCGACCCCAAGACCGAAAGGGCCACCTAGACATCTGCAGGTGGCTACTAGGTGCACCTTTTCGGGGGGTGATGCCCCCTGTTCATCCTCCCCCCCTTGTGGCTATGCGTTAGTGCCCAGCGGCATTAAAGGTAGGCAAGGGACGGTCTCGGTAGGCACAAAGGGAAAACAGCAGGCGGTGGTGGCACCAACTGGACGGTAGTGAGTCGTTAAGATGCCCCTCCTTCCACTAGTTCGCACCTGAAGATCCCCGTGAACCAGTGACAGGCGCCCCTCAGCGTCGGGCCCCTGGCAATAACTGGGAGACCCTGAACGCCCCTCATTAGTGGCCGCTACGCCAACTAGGCCGATCGCCGTCCCCCACTCAGAGCATTAGCTGCGGCTGATGGACTGTTAAAAATAATATTTCCAATCGAACTTTTTTGGTGGAGGGAGGACGGAGAGGGGGGAGGGGGACACAAACAATCACCACCCCTTATCCTAACACCGTGACCTTTTTCGTTCAATAAAACTCATTTTCCTCGATTTGACTCCCTTCTTCCTCAAGTGCTGTACATATCCCCCCCTTTTGCTCTCATCTATTGCAACCTTTTGGATATTCTTTTCCTACCCTTTGCTCAATTTCCAACACATCCCTCCACACCGCCTCCTCCAATATGTCTAAACGAAACTCGACCAGACTTGCCAATGGCGCTGCTTCCGCTGCCGACCAGCCCGTCCCCAGCTACCTCCTCACTGGCAAAGTTGCTCTCGTAACTGGATCAGGTACGTCTCAGAAAAGAGAAGGTTGAGTCCCGGTTCGAAGGCCGCGAACAGCTTTCCCCTCGGGAAAGAAACGTTCGACCTGGCTCTTCACCGCCTCTTCCCACACCCGAAAAGATGGAAGAGAAAGGAAGAGAAAGGCTAACAGATTGGGCACAAAACAGGGCGAGGAATGGGTCGTGAGACTGCTCTCGAACTTGCCCGTCGTGGCGCCGATGTTGTCGTCAACTACGCCAACTCCTCCAAGGCCGCTGACGAGCTGGTCGACGAGATCAAGGCTCTCGGCCGCGACGCGATCGCCGTCAAAGCCAACGTATCCGATGTCTCACAGATCGTCGATATGTTCGAGCAGGCCAAGAAGCACTTTGGCAAGCTGGACATCGTGGTCTCAAACTCGGGTGTCGTTTCCTTCGGCCACTTGAAGGACGTCACCCCGGAAGAGTTCGACCGTGTCTTCAACATTAACACCCGAGGCCAATTCTTCGTGGCCCGGGAAGCCTACAAGAACCTCGAGGTCGGTGGCCGCATCATCCTGATGGGTTCCATCACCGGCCAGGCCAAGGGTGTCCCCAAGCACGCCGTTTACTCGGGCTCAAAGGGTGCCATTGAGACCTTTGTCCGCTGCATGGCTATCGACTGCGGTGACAAGAAGATCACCGTCAACGCCGTTGCTCCCGGTGGTATCAAGACCGATATGTACCACGCCGTCTGCAGAGAGTACATTCCCAACGGCATGAACCTGTCGGATGACCAGGTCGACGAGTACGCCGCCACATGGTCGCCCATGAACCGTGTCGGCCAGCCCATTGATGTTGCCCGTGTCACCTGCTTCCTTGCCTCCCAAGACGGCGAGTGGGTGAATGGCAAGGTCATCGGCATTGACGGTGCTGCCTGCATGTAAAGTGCCAGAAAAAGCAAAGACGAGAGTTTTGGATCTGACCCAGGCATGACATGAGAAGACGGAATGGGTGGAGCAAGAGAGGGAGCAGTACCACAATTCTTTTTCCTGCAAGAGAAGCAAGCAAGCTGTGAGAGATTAGATGGGAAGGGATCCGACATGGGTTTTTCCACCTGGATTGATGATATTTTATGACTCGCGAAGATTTGGATTGGTCAATGTTCAGGGAAAGGAGAAAAAAAGAAGGAAGCTTCTTGCGGTCGGATCGTTCTCTGCCAGCCATATATTGGGTATCTATTCATTTTCAACTCCTATCTCGGGAATCCACAGCATCTGAACGCGAGCGTCTATTCGGAGAAAGAAAAGTGATGTCCTTGTCCTTGTCATTGTCGTCGTTGTCAGGCGCAGGAGTTTTACAACCTACAGAAGACAGTGCTTTACACAGCTTTAGCTTGATAGCTTGGGTACCTAGTATTCCTAGTATTTTAGACAAAAAAACAAACCGGGGCCGAGCTTCCATCTCTCCTATCTGTCTATTTCTCTAGGGAAGCTGCAGCGCGTTGTGTAAGACGCTTTCGATTTTTCCTTTTTCCAGAAAATACCAAACAAACAAACCAACAGATAGATAATCGGTTCATTGGTTACTTACCACAGCACCTTCATCCTCATCGTCGCCACATCCCCGCGTGCTCCTCCCACTGCTCTGCCCCTGTTCGTGTTTGTGTTTGTGTTACCGTTCCCGATATGGCGATTTCTTTTTTCTCTTTTTTCTATAATTCTATCTCTAAAGGTTCCCCGTTGACCGACTCGACACAACCAAGCAGGAGTCAGGAGTCAGGAGTCAGGACTCCGGCGTTGGCGTTCTAGAATCCCAGTCCCTTGCTGAACACCAAGCTATGTACTCGGTATGTACGTATGTACACAAATAGGTAGGGAGGGTTGAGGTAATTCCTCTCCGGGGTTTATACTATGTACGTTCGATCTGGGAAATGTGGAGGATGGTGGAGGAAGAGTGATCAAGTGATCAATGAATGGTTTCATATCCTCCCTCCCGAGTCCTGATTGTGGGTTCTTGTCCCGTGAAAGGCTTTCGGCTATGATCTCTACCTCAGAATATATATATATCTCTCTCTCACTTGAAAGACGTCTGTCTAGCTTCCCCGTCCTGTCGGCTTACTTCCCCCTCGCTTTCGCAATTAACCGCTCGTCCAGCGCGTACGGTTCTCCGTCTTCTGCCCCAAACACCACGTCGTCCTGCAAATACACCAGGATTCCCCGATTGCGCCTCTCGGCGTCCTGCAGGCGGAACAACAGCCGGCCGAACGCGTCGGATTTATGCGACGTCTGCAGGAGCAGGTTGTGCTCCGAACACCATTCCTCGACGAGCGATCTGAATGTCATCTCCTCCATCGCCTCGGTGAGGCCAGCCGTCGTGGTGGAGGCGGCGGTACGTGGCGCAACAGGGGTGGCTGAAGACAGCAATTTGGGCTTCCTCGATCCGAGCAGCGGTTTCCAATGCGACCACGACTCGGCATCGACTTTGGACTTGACCAGAGACCTCAATTCGGGGAACCGTTCGAGGTCGAGCGTCTCGGAAGAGATAAGCGTCCACCAGTCGAACAGCCACGTGTGCATGTCCGGAGCTCTGCTGGACTTTTTGCTTCTGCCGCTGCCAAAAGTGCCTGGATCGAGCGACTTGGGAAATCGTTTGACAGCCTCGATTAATCGCGGAACAACGGTGTCATGCAGGATCTTGTGGACGAGGAAAGGGGGAAGTAGTGACGTCCAGGCATCAATCAGATTGTACGCCGGGTCTGGGTCGTAAATGTCCCATTCCTTGGACAGCGCCGTGCGTATGCGCGGGTACCAATGCAGCAGGAGCAATGACTCAAAGTAGGTAGTCCGTTTGCGGTGGCGGGAAGATCTGGATTTGTCAACTTCAAGGAGCTGATCGATCGACTTCAGAGACTCAAGGAGGTGAGTGGGATCAGAAAGAGGATCCCATTCAACCATTTCGCGCCTGAAGGGGGTTTCGAGGCAGGAAGCGGTGAGTTCAGGAAGCGAGAGCTCAGAGATATAATTGACAAAACGGACTTGGATGTCCTGTAGGCGGTTTATAGAGGAGTCCCAATCCCGAGGTTCATTCGAGTCGTCCACGGTGACCCGTTCAAATGCAGAGATGATGTCGTTGTAACGTTGTATTTCTTCCTCATGCAGTGCCAGTGCAGCACCCAGTTGTATTTGTTCCTGCTCTAGATGGGTTTCTTGGTCCTTTGTCGAGTCCCAAGCGTCGGCAAAGGCCTGCAACTGGAGCTTTATGCGGGAAGTGGCTTTTGCAGCTTCGAGAGCGGGTGATGGCGAGGCTTCTCTGGTAGGCGTTGAGAAGCCCGACAAGGAGGTGACAGTCTTGGTTTCGGCTCCAGTTGCATCGACAATGATCTGTTTCATTGCCTCGGGGACGTGGAGGCCCCTTGATTCGATTGCGGCGACAGCATATTTGGCCTTTGGGGGTGCCTTGATTCGTGGTGTGCTTGTGCCGGGTGTCGAACCTTTAGAAGAGGTCTTATCCTTTCCTGCGTCTTGTTTCCTGCGAGCAGGTTCTGGTGTGCCGCTTCCCTGACCCAAACCAGCCCGGCTTTGTAGTACTTTGGCCTGGATAGGTGCTGTGATCCCTTGGCCTGATTTTCCTAGACCTTGGCCTTCGACATACCCTTGTTTGGCCATCATCCGCGCCGCAAAGGAATTTTTGTTCATGCGGCCACCGACACCAAACGCTGAAGGACCCATGCGGACAGGCTTTTCTGATTGTCTTTGGGGAGACATGTCCATGGGCGAAGTGTCTCTGTCTGCCGCTGCTTCGTCGTCATTGTATTCGCCTATATTGAAGGCGGTTCGAAATCCGCTCATACCAGCGCCCATTCCCAGGCCCATACCCACGGAAGGTCTTTCGTCGTCAACATCTTCACCTTCATCTTCTCTGTCTTTTGCCTCGTCCTGCCCCTCTTCTTGACCGGTAGATTTGACGAACCCAAGCCCACGACTGCGCAATATCTTTGTCGTCTTCCTTCTTTTATGTGGCCGCTCATCGTCAGATTCATCGTCCTCGTAGTCGCGAAGATTGAAGGGTTGATCGTCTTCCGAAGAGTCGCTCATGTTGGCACGGCATCAGGATCTAGGGCGGAAAGCAGGCTGTCTTTTGAGGGCTGTTTGTCGGTATGAATGGTCTAGGCAAAATGACTTCGCATGCGCAAGATGTCGCGTGTAGTAGAAGATGTCGTGGCACATGTAAGAGAGTTGTCGATCTCCGATCTGATCTGCCTGCGCATAAAAAGTTCTGGGCGACTCCATCGTGGAGGCCGAAATTCGTACGAGGATTTCCGGAATAGGCACAGTGATGTAATTCGGTGCAGCTCCATCTCGAACTCTCCAATTCCAATAAACACCGGCTACGGAGCACCTCATCATTATTCAGTTTCAACTCCCTTCTCACAAGTCTCGGCCTCTTCTGTACCTGGTCAATTGGTTGACTTTTCACAGCAATCATCTCAAACATGGCTTCGCTATTCCGTTCTGTCGCCCGTCCCTCCACCCTTAGAGCTATTGGAGCTACCCATCCTGCTCGATGCCTGACTACGGCCGATAAAACCTTTATTCGGACGAAGGCAACCCTTCCAGACCTTTCCTGTAAGTGAAGCACTCGGGAGATCCATGGCATCTACCTCGTCAAGCCAAGCTGACACCTCAACCAGACGACTATGGTGCCCTGGAACCCGCCATCTCCGGCAAGATCATGGAGCTGCACCACAGCAAACACCACCAGACCTACGTGAATTCCTACAACGATGCCGCAGACAAGTACGCTGCCGCCGAAGCAAAGGACGACATTGCCGCGAAAATTGCCCTCCAGCCGCTGATCAACTTCCACGGCGGTGGCCACGTCAATCACTCCTTGTTCTGGGAGAACCTCGCACCTAAGAACTCTGGCGGCGGCGAACCCCCTTCGGGAGAGCTGGCAAAGGTGATTGATACCACATATGGGAGCTTGGAAGAGTTGAAGAAGAAGTTCAATGCAGCTTTGGCCGGCATTCAAGGTTCTGGCTGGGCTTGGCTGGTCAAGGACACCCAGACCGGCAACATCGCGATTCAGACATATGCGAATCAGGATCCGGTCGTCGGCCGATACAAGCCATTGCTGGGCGTTGATGCGTGGGAGCATGCTGTAAGACGAAACCCATGTCATTCTGCAAGGTCCTGGAGTTGCTAACAATACCCAGTACTATCTCCAGTACCAGAACCGAAAGGCCGAGTACTTCAGCGCCATCTGGGATGTCATCAACTGGAAGGCCGCTGAGAAGAGATTTGCCAGCTAAACAGGTCACAGAACTGAGATAATGTATAGCACGAGCATGTAATCCAATGAGTCCTACAAGCGACGAGCAATGTGACTTTTCTTTCAGCTTGAGTGCTCAAGGATAGGAGAACAAGGTTTTCTTCTGACTGACTCTCAGCGACTCTCCCAAAGCTTCATGCCTTCCACGAGTTTCCTGACGAATGCTTTGTCGACGGCGTCCTCTGGATACGCTACGCTCTTGGGATACTTCTGCCATTCGAGCCACGATTCGACTCGAACAGCGCCTTCGACCTCAGGCTCCAGAAGTCCGAGGGCAACGTCAATCGTATCCAGGCCGTGCTTGTAGTAGAAAGCTGTTGCACCACATCTTGCACAGAAATATCGACTCACGTCCGACGATGTCTTGTAGTGACCGAGCCTTGCCCGATCGTCCAGGAGAGAGTCGAGGTCTGCTTTCGCAGTGATGAGATTCTTCGGCACCGTGGCCCAACAGGTGATTTCGAATCCAGTCACCGTCCGACAGGACGTGCAGGCGTCGAGACTCGTTTCGAACTTGCCGGTTCCTGCATTGTAGTCGTCGTGAGGGCGTGAGATCTCGAACCGGACAGTTTTGCAACGACACTGCGCAACAAGGCGTTGGCTGTCGTCTCGGGCCTCGACTTTGCGCTGCATGAGATCCCCGGCCGCGCCATCACTGACAGTCTCGCTGTCCCGTCCTGTCCAGCGCCTGTCCATCCCCTCCAGTCCCCCCTGGTTGATCCAGCCCACGGCGCCTCCGTCCCCCTTGACATCCTCGACCCAGAGCTGCACACGGTTCAATTTCCCTTCTAACCCCTCGGGGTCGTCGAATGAGAGCACACCCGTGCCGACCTCCCACTCCGCCGGGCCTCTCCCCCCGTTCTCGTCGACGTTGACGACGCTGGCGCCGCACCGCTTGCAGAACCAGCGCTGGCACGTCGGCGACGATGCGTACTTGACCAGGTTGCCCCCGCTGAGCACGTCGCCCGGGAACTCCGCGGGGATCACGGCCCAGGTCGCAAACAGCTGGCCCGTCGTGTGGCGGCACGAGGAGCAGTGGCACAGCGCGGATTTCAGGGGGAGCTCCGTCGACGGGATCGCGAGGGAGAAGGATGTGAGGTGGCAGTGGCACTCGATTTTGAGCTGAACTTCCATTGTTTTTCTGGGTTGACGTGGTCGTTTGGGGTGGAGGGGGATTGGTATTGATGAATTGGTAGGTATGTATGCACGTATGTATGTACTCACACGAAGACCGATCGACTACTAGATACCTATCGGTAGAGATTAGGTAGATGTTACCAGATGGATGTGTACCATCCCCATCAAAATTTCCCAGTGACACCCCTGACGCGGGTGAGGAACGTGTAAGGAACTGTATTCACTTCAACGTCCGACGCCACCTCGCTTCATATCACATCTCTATTGATGTCATGTACATAATGTATCCCAAGTTCTTTTGCATGTCCTCCGCTCTCCTCCCCCTTCCGGGTAACTTTACCCCCCCCCCCCCAAACCTCCCTTCCCACCAAGGGTGAAATTCTTGGAAAATTTCGTCATTTGGTCGTGTATTGGCGTATAGCGTATACATGGCGTACAGCGTCCGTCGAGGGGTCGAAGGTGGAAAGATGACATACAATGTATAATACTTGGAAGGGCGCGCGATGCACGCATGCATGCGTGCGGGGATGACGGGGCAGAGGACCACCAGGGGGAAGCCATTATTGAGTACCCGACTCGCCGAGTACGAGGTACATAATCACTAATCCACCCATGCTGCCACTCCACCCAAGGTGGCCATGGTGCCAAGTCAGCAAGCATGTAAGCAAAGCAAGAGAGGATGAGGCTGAGCGAAAATAAAGGGACGAATTAATGCGAGGCAACGAGGAGATGCAGGAATCAGTGACGTAGTTACGCGCTACCTTCTCCTGGCTAGGCGGAGTCAGAGTCAGTTGCTTAATTCGGCAGCAGAGACCAAATCAGTTGGTCAGTCAACCAACCCATCCTAACCTTTCGCAGGCGCGAAGTTGTGACCAAGTCGCTGGAGAAATACAATCTTGAGCAATGGTGAATGTCCCTACAGTTATTACAAACCCGCATGTGCCAATGCGGCCCAGTATTCGTACAAATGAATCCCTTCGGCCCCATCTTCGCCTCCCCCAAGAAACCCAACAAAGGGAAAAAGGTAACCCAGCACCATCGTCCCCATTACACAGTGTCTCTGTTCCCCCAAGGTCGTACCCCTGTGCCCCACGACACCCTGTTCCTGTGCCCCTACAAAGTTCAAGTCGAATTCGAACTCCAATGCGCCAACTCAGTCCGTCGGCGTTGGCTTCGGCGATTCTTGTTGATGAAGTCCGGTGTATCACAAAGAAAAACAACGATAATGAGTGTTCTCTCCCATCTCCCCAAATATTCAGACCTTGTCGATGGAAAAGTATCATCAAGTAGGCTGATGCCACTTTGGCTGGCAAAGCCTCTGGTGTTCAAATAAAGTCTGCATCTGATGCCTGCGAGGTGGTACCTTCGGGTTTTATTCAAAGTCCTGTGTTTTGCTTTTTCCGTGGCTGTGGTGAGTCCGCCGAGTCTGGGTGCGAGCGTTTGGCACCGGCTCCGTGATCATGGCCGACCTGGTTCGAAGAAGATTCCCCAACAAGAGGGTTGGAGTTTCCAGTCGACGTGGACCCGACAGTTGCGCCTAGACCCTGTACTACTGCAGAGTTCAGGTTTGTGGCGATCTCATCTCGGGAACCAACGGTGTCAATGGGCCCATTGTTGACTGCTCTTTCGTTTGCCTTCCGAATTGCTTCATTTCTTTGTTCCTCTGCCCAATCCCTGCCGTTCCTATAGGCTGTGACGCCCTGTCGGAAACTTTCAGCGTCAGAGTTCAGGATCCAAGCGCCGATTTCATGCATGTGGTACTCAGGTCGCCCTCCCTGGGCAGAGGACTGGGTGCGGTGAGTGGTATACATCCTGAGGACCGCGTCACAGTAGGTTGCAGTCAAGGTGTAGGCATTATCAGAGCCCACAACGTCCCCTTGGCCGTATGATAGGAGGGAATGCATACCTCTCGCTCCTAGTGCACCATCAAAGCAAGCCTGAAGTCGTGCAATTGCTGGTAGACCTTCGGGACCTTTCATTTCGAGGAAGAAATTGGGCGCTATCGGAAGGTCCATCTGTGTGGTAGGGACAATCTCTCCACTGAGCTCATGACGGACCCGTTCATGTAGCTGTTCTGGGGAAGCGCCGTAGTAGAGGTCCGGGCTTGCTGGAATAGCTAGCCTCCACGTCAGAGGGCTGAGATTTTTCAAGTTGAGTCTTCCGCTGCAGCTCGAGGGATCATCGTCAGCTCGGTGATATCTCGCCACGATCCCCTCTACCAGGTTCTCTTTTGTTGCAAATGCGTCTTGTCGTTGGAACTGTCGGAAGTGCTCGTCCGTGAAGACATCCGGGGAAAGTTCAGGTCGGGTTCGAGACAGGCGGTCTCTGATCGTTTGCCAATTGGCTGGCAGGAGCGGCCCTTCTTCTCCGTAATCTCGCCACCTTGGAGGATAAACACCATTGTCAATGAGGCTCTGTCTAAAATTCCTGTTGTAAGGCCCGGAAGTTACAGCGCTCTCAGTGGGTATGGAACTGCGGGTAGGAGGATTCATCGAGCGCTGTTCGTGGTGTTGCTGATAGGGAGTTGGACTTGGGCGAGATTTGGGCATGGCACGGTTCGGATTTGCGGTTGAAAGTGAAGACTGGATCGCGGTCAGCACTGGGATCTCATGCGACATGGATTTGGTCGTACCTGCGTTAAGTCTGTGAGGTCTGGTCCGCCCCCTCTAGAAAATCTCTTGATGTCCTGTAAGACGGCCTTTCTGCAATGACGAAGAAAATGGGTGGCCGAAGAAGTGGTTTGTTCATCCTCTGACCCAGCTTGAGGATTTGGCGTGCTGAGATTGTCCGAATTGTGATCCGGAAAGCTGGAACTTGAAGCAGCTTCTTCGTTCCTGTGATCCAATCTTCTCAATGCGCGCCTCGTAAGCTTGCGTCTAGACTTTCTGACCCATGTTGCTGGGACAATCCGATTCGACATGATGTTCTTTATAAAACGGAGGCGTAGCGAGGCGAGAAGTAGATAGATGTGTGCGAACTGCCTGATGTCGCGGCAGTTCCTAGAGGAAGAGAGACAGCCTCGCGTTCGTTCTTTGTTGTTGGGCAGCCGGAATTGGAATTTAATGTGTCTGCCGCAACCGGTCTGTCCATCGAAGCCGGACCAGGAAATAACGACCTGTCCATTTTTGGTACCTAAAACAAAGATTCGTGACTGTGTATCACACCCACGTCACTCGTAGATAAAGAATCTGAAAGGAAGATGGGTCAAGGCGTACCTACGTTGTAGGGAATAGAGACTGGGAGCTCGCTAGTGCGCCTAATTAGGACTAGTGGATCCCAAATAGGTATACTACCCGAACCCAATAAAGATAAATCATACCTGGTGGTAGCCCTGACTCAAAATACCGTTTCCCGTTTCGCGCAATAGGAGTCTCGAAGGGCTGGGTCACTTTAATTGCCTGTCAGTAAGAATCAGGGCGCCAAAGACACTCCTAGGCAAGGAACCTGCTGGAGGGAGAACGTGTAGAGGCATGTAGCGGGATACCGAGACAAGTTATAGGTTGTTGTATCTAAAACTAGACATAGTGACGAGGCTGTTCAGTATTCACCAAGGGGGGAAAGCATGCAACTCGTGCGTTTGATTCTTCAAACCCAGGCGAGATTGGCCAGCTGACATGGGCATAGTCTATGAGTCGCAAGCTGCTGCATCTACTTCTCTAGTGTCCCCAGCGCCGCCCTCCTCGAGGTACTGTTGGGATCAAAGTAGGGTCGTTCGCCCAAACCAACGGCCCTGTTTCCAAAGCGGTCTCCTTCACCACGATAGTCAAAGGTCGCAGAGTGGAACACGCTGCGGTTGTCCCAGATAGCTGGCCCATGGTCAGATGCGCATTTCCGATAGGGACCATGATCACTCACCGATGTCGTTGGAATTCTCCCATTTGAACCGGACCTGAAGGTCGTGGTTCTTGTAGACGAGGTCCAAGAACCATTCCAGGAGATTCTTGCTCTCCTGCTCAGTCAAGCCGTTGATGTGGCGGACGTGGCCGCCCACGGGGAAAATGCTCTTCCATCCGGTCACCGGGTTGGTTCGAACCACGGGATGGACGGCCTTTAGTTCGCCTCCGACATTCTCCGGTGCGCCTCTTTCTTTGGTATAGAGCTGGAAGCCTCCTTTCTCGGCAACTTCGTTGAACGCAGGTTGAGCGAAGGTGGCAGTCAACGTTTCGAGAAATTTCTGATACGGCTCACTGATGCGATCATAGATCTCATACCCCGAGGCCCATAGAGTATCTGGTGCCTTTGTCAGTAATGCTCGCTTTTGTACGGTGTCAACCCGTCACTGACCTCCTCCGGTGCGAGGCAATTGAATCAGTCGAAGGGAGGTGTAATCCGCAGGAACTGGCTCGAATGCGATATCGCTATGCCACTGCGCACTGCTCTGCTTCTTCTGGCTCTGGTCGTATGGTGTCTTCTTATAATACTTCTCGTGCTGCACCGAGCTGATGGTGCTGATCTCCGGGTCATCACCTCCCAGATCCCTCTCTGAGTTTAGGACAGGATGGATATGCAATTTGGAAGTCGCAGGTTTTCCGGTCAGCTCGCCGAGTCGCTGAATGAGCTGCTTCTGGATATCGTTGGTGAGATTGTCCTGCTTCCTGAAGAAGACGACGCCGCGCTCCGAGACTGAGATGATAAGTTTAAGTTTCATCCAAAGATGGGACCGGGCTGGGCTTACTTTTGATGGCGAGATCGCGAAGGAGCTGGTCGGCATTGGGAGCATTCAACCACTCGACGAGATTTGCCTCGGGATACTCGGTACCAATAACGGGGGTGAGGTCAACCGATTTCCATTGGTCGAGAGAGCCAGACGATTTCAGAGGCTCGTTTCCGAACACAGTCTTCTGTTTGATGGAGTCCTGTACAGGGGTCTCAAGATCGATAGCGGAGGGTGCCATTTTGGAAGTAGATCAAACAGGGCGTCTTATCGGTGGCTTTCCGGTCCTTGCACCAGATCCCTGACACTCGACCCCTGGGTACAGCACAACTTTATAGATTTTTCCGGTTCCAGCATTGTATCCCTACGAATGCAGGCACGCTGCTGTTGACGCAGGATGGTGCCATATGTGCATTTCTCGACGCAATATTTGTCCTGTCTATTTAATTCGCCTTGATAGCGGAAGTTGCGGGGTCACTGGGCTTATCTCTGCGATGAGTGGTCTTTCAGAACGCCGCTGTGCTCGAGGGAGCTTACACCATCCAAGGGAGGAATTGCGCGAATCGGAAGCATCGTGTGCGATTCTGACGTTGAAAGGTTTTCGGGGCGCATGTTGGCTCACTCGATAGGGTACTCGTCAAAGGACGGGTGCGATCGAGACCATGCGATTGAACGCGGCCCATTCCCCGAAGGGTGAAGCACGACAAAGGCACGAGAAGCACGTTTCTGCCTCTTGATGACCCCGTTTTTGGGATCCGGGTGATACCGCACTATCCCCTATATGGCTGACAGAGCTGAGAGAATTCTTGGCGCCGGCATACGGCACAATTATTCTCTAATCGAATGGTTTAGACAAGTAGATCTAAGTCTCAAGGGCCTTGAGTACTACCAGGGGCGTTCTAATGAGTTAGCGATGTAGCGATGGATCGATGGTCGCTGGTGCCCTTTGGTTAAAATTATTAGTCAGCACATAGGTCACGTGACCCTTGTCTTGGTTGACTAGCGATATTCTACATGGCGGTGTTAAGATGATAAAAAAAAGGTGTCCCGATAATTTACTAGGTGTGTTCTTCCATTCAGTCATAGCTGTACAGATCGATACCGTGTTTTGATTGTCATTTCATTTCATGGACATTATTGTCATTTGTCGTCATTACATTCAAACCTATCAAAGCCATTTTAACCGCGCGGGGTCTCCCACCTCCCAATCACCCTCCCCCGTAACATCGCCTGGGGCCCCTACTTAAGGCTGCAGGCATGCTAAGTTCCAGGTACTCGGCACTCGGGTCTTGACTAAATTCAATGCTTTTAGAGAGGGCTGAAGTCTGGATGCTCTGTTGTTTTATTCCTAACTCTCTTCGCTCGATACCTCTACCTCTCAGACCACAGCAATGATGATCAACCTTACATAGCTCTACATGAGCATGTCGACCACAACTGCGAGCAGCACAGGCAGGCTGGCATTTGTCCAATCCGCAGGTGGAAGACGGTCTGCTGTAGCTTGCCGGCGATGCAAAGAGAGAAAAGTGCGGTGCAATGTTACAGTCACGGGCTATCCTTGCACGAATTGCCTTCACGACAGGATAGAATGCGAGGTTCTCCCAAGGAAAAGACGGGTGTATGTCTATCTTCTCCTCCTCCTCCTCTCATCACACAATGGGTTCTCTATCCTGAAGACCGTGGACTGAACATCGAGGATCAAGATATAGAGCGAATAAGAGCATGCGATCCACGACATCACGGAAAACGGGAAGACGCACCAGATCGCCGTCTCCCCTCGCGCCTCCGCCTCCTCCCACAGCAGGCGATCCCTTGGCAGAGAACGTGGATGCTTCTTCTTCCATGCCATTGAGTTCGGAGCGCCCCAGTGTCGGTCTCTCACCCAACCTGGTGCATCGAGACCATCAAATCTTCCGCAACGATGGCTCCCGGGAGACCCACGTGGTCGAAAACGCCGTCTCGATATCGTCAGGAAATGACGATGTCGCAGACGAAGGGCGAAATAACGCCTCGCTTGCTGAAGCTTTGGAATCCCACAGCCCGTTCAATCGTCATCGGGCTTTTTATGCCGGTAAGTCAGAGGCGGTGGGAGACCGCGACAGCACAACCGAACTCAGTTGACCATCCGTGCAGGGGACCCGCAGGGTGTTGTCCAATCCGTCATGGCTATCTGTGCCGATCAAGACCCGGAGCCGCAAGGGATCAGACCTGTTGTGCATCATCAACGCAACGCGCCCAAGCCGAAGAAGGCGTGGCAGACCAACGACCTCATCTACCTCCAGAGCAAGGGAGTCTTTGACCTGCCCTCTGCAGAGGTCTGTGATGCCTTGGTCCAGAAGTACTTTGAGCACGTCCACCCTCTGCTGCCTGTTATTGACGCCGGCCACTTCTTGTCTCAATATGCCCGCAACGGGGCGACGGCCATGAATCTGCTCCTACTGTGGAGTGTTCTCCTTGCTGCTGCAAACGTGCGACCCCATATGTCCTCTCTAACCTCTCTACGCAGCCAATGACTAATTCGGCCCCAGTTTGCCACTCCGGAAGATTTGCAGACGGCGGGTTATCCTTCGAGGAAAGCGATGAAGCGTGCACTCTACGCCAGGGCCAAGGTAGGAGGAACCCCGAACCGGGGGGGTGAGAGAGTGCTCACCATCTCGAAACAGGCATTGTACGACAGCGACTACGAGGACGACAAGGTGTGCGTGGTCCAATCCGTGACGCTGCTGGGCTTCTGGTACTCGGATCCCGAAGACCGAAGTGGGCCGTGGCACTGGATGGGCATCGCCATCGGTCTTTGTCAAGTCATGGGACTCTACTGCACGCCGCGGTCGGGCTCACTGAGTCCATATGCCACTCTTCGGTCACGTCTCTTCCGCCGGATCTGGTGGTCGTGCTTCATGAGAGACCGTTGGCTGTGCCTGGGCCTGGGACGGCCGATGCGCATCAACCTCGAGGACTGTCAGGTGCAAATGCCCGAGCCCGACGACATCACCATGGAGCTGAGCGACCTGGACCCGGACGTCGCCGCCAAGTACCTCCCTGCCGCGATGCCAGAGCACGCGGAAATCTGGGTGCGGCTGATCCATCTGAGTGTGGTCCTGGGTAAGATCCTCCGGCAAAACACACGACCGCCTTTCGACCATGATTGCTTTCGGTCGTGCGAGACCGACTTGGAAAACTGCCGGTCATCGGCACGAGGTCTGGACCATCAGAACGAATTTTCCGTGGCGTCCTTGAACGAGTTCCAATTTGAACTTCTGAGACAGTTTGTGTTCCTTGCTCCCCATACCCCCAAAAGAATGCTTTTGCCACCTGCCTGCTCAAACCACCCTCCCCTCCCCCCCGGGGGACACAAAGCCAACTTTTTCTTTCTCCCTAGAGCGGTCATCATCGTGCTACATCGGTCGAGGATCAATTTCCGAGATCCGCCCGACAGCGTCAAAACACCTGAACGGGTAGAGTCATTCCGCAAGGCTCGCTCGGCGGCGGTCCGAATCAATCGCCTCGTCGAAATGTTGATCGAACAGGACATGGTCCAGTATTTGAGGCCGATGAAGTTGAGTCCCTCCATGAAAATTGCCACTTCTCTCGTTTTAGAAGCACACGCTTGCTGACACACAGCCCTGACGGGCGGGCGGACGCACCGCAGCCTCACGGCCATCATCACGGCCATGCAGATTCATCTCTACGAGTGCCGGTCCAGCCGACCGCTGATCCACAACCTGGCCTGGTCCAAGCTAGAAGTGTGCATGATGGTCGTGTCGGAGCTACGCGAGACGTACTGGGGGGCCAACTTTGCCTTTAAGCTCTTTGAGGCGGCAAAGGCCATGTTGCAGAAGCGGTCCCATCACCAACATCACAGTGGCGGCAGCGGTGTACCGGGGGGATCGTCACCGACAACGACCACGACCGCCACGAGACAAAAGACCGCCGACAATAACAACGGCGACGATGACGAGACGACTTTGAATACGGACGGCTTGCTGGACGAGGGAGACGCGCTGGATTGGTTCAACGACCCATTCCTCTCGGCCGGCCCGTGGCCCATGGACACGTCTGCCTTTGACTTTGGCGAGTCCTACATGAATCCTCTGTAAGTGCCGAGTACACGGGTCGAAAACCTTTGTCCCTCCTTTCCCCTTCTTTTTCTGGTTGCTGATCCCCTCAACCCCGACAGATACAATGGCATCAGCGATCTTCAGCCCGCCACAGCCTCTGCCGCCACGGCCGCCGACCCTTGGAGCCTCGACGGGTTCCAGCACGTGCTCGACGCATCCTTTGGTATGGACGCTTAGTTGGTGCAGGCGAGAGATGGGGGCTGGACAATCATTATCTTTTTAGTGCGTGGATGTATATATATGTGGAGCGATATATTGATGAACCACCGCCGCTTTATTGCCACACATCACACTAACCACCATTTCAATCCGGCATACCTTCTCCATCTAATTAGGACAGACCTATGTCGACAAGTCAAATCAATGCCCCGCGCTGCGCCCTGGCTTTCTTCTACTTCTTTTCATTCTTCTAGGTTTGATCATTTGTGCTGCGGATGCCGTGGATCAGAATCAGCAATAAGTACTAACCATGGCATACTTTCCCAGCGAAAGTCGACCTGACCATGTGGTGTTGGCCGAGAACGGCGGCGACGAGGCTCTGACTGACTCTAGATTTGCTGCGGGCTCTCCAGAACCATCTTTCTATTCCGATGCCCACAATCTGCGGGTGTGGAGCAGGAGTGGCAACGATGCGCACATGGTGCTTCGGACCTCATCCACCAAGTTGAGACGAACACCTAGCAGGAAGCGGACGGTCGATGAGAAGAAACGCCTATCTTCGGGTGCACAGTTCAACTCGACGCTTGCCCCTGCAATTAAACTCCTTCCGGATGTGATTGCTACCAAACGCCCTTCACAGTCAAAAGTCCGTCCGAGCGCATACCACGACGACAACGAACCCAACGACCCAGTCCACGTGGATGAACAGGACCATCACCGATTGTGGGCAACGAGCCAAGGGGCTTCTTTTGAGGATCCCCTGCACCATATCTGTGAGAACTTCGAAATGAACTCCGAGGCCAATGATGGGAACGATGCCCAGGTAGTACGGGGCGAAAACCAAGACGCGACGAGGCAACAACCCTGCCAGCTTCCTCCTATTGTCATTGTCGATAATCTCCTCTCTACTCCTACCAGTAACTTCTCGAGCGAGAGATCCCGGAAAGCAATCCGCCGCGACTCTGTCAGGGATCTGTCATCCGGGTCCCGAACACACATGCGACTGCCAACGTATATTTTCAACAATTGCCCTCTCATGCAGGCCTTACAAGTCAATTCACCACAGCGCGATAGAAGGGAAGCTATTATTGAATTTGTGTATTGGGTTATATCATGCCATAATCTGAGGAGATTTTTGTCGTGGCCAAGAAATGATCAGAACATAGATCGAATATCATCTCCAATCCCAACTGCTCAATTTCAGCATTACACTTCACCGTGGCGAGGGGGGAGCCCTACGCCTCTTTCCGGGGTCGAAGATGCCTGGGAGAGAGAGTTGCAACAGTCACCGAATTTGCATGTTATACAATCCAATGGATCAGCAAGGCCAATTGGAAATACAATCACTAGCACCCGCGGAGATCGATCTCCCACGGATGTCTCCGCACCATCGACTTCCGAGGGTACAACGTCGACGGCTTTATCGGCTCAGTCAAAACCATCGAAGCGTCCTCACCGTCGCTCAGCCCGAGGCAAGAGCAATCGAGAAGACAGCGACAATCCCTCAGACGATGACGAAGAAGATCATCCACCCAAGAAGGCGCGCACTTCTTCAGAGGGCAGTCGGCCCACAAAAAAGCTACTTGCTTGCCCTTATTGGAAGTATGATCCAACTCGATACTCCCCTGCCAACACTTCGGAGAAGAGATATCGGGGTTGCTCGAGTGTTTATCTCCGAGACATCGCGAGGCTGAAGCAGCATCTTTACCGCGTTCACAAGATGCCAGACTATCATTGTCCGCGATGTTTAGAGGTTTTTGAAAACGAGCCAGGCCTACAGGAGCATGTTCGGGCCCCGGCAGAACTAGCATGTACATATCAGCAAAACACCTTCTCGGAACTGTTATCTGAGCGGCAATGTGCCCAGCTGAGGAAACGGTGGACTGGCAAGACCACAGAAGAGGCGTGGAAGTGCATATGGTCCATCATTTTCCCTCGCCTTGAGCCACCCTCGAGCATACACGCTGAAGACAGTTCCGCGTCGATTAAGCCATCTCAGATGCCCGGGTTTCTGAACGAATTTCAGCGGCTCGCCCCATCCGTACTGTATGAGATACTTTTGGAAAGGTCCTCTCAAACCGAATCTGCCGAGGTGACCTCGTGGCTGCAGTCGGCTGGTGCACAATCAATTTTCAGCGCCTCGATTCAGGAGCTCTTTACCCGCCTCCAGTGCACCGAGAATCTCCTTTTCAGGCGGACTTCTGAAACACCAGCGCGAAGTTCATAAGATGCACCTCCCGCCAAGTGAGCAAGTCTTCTGCCCTAACCCCCACTGCATCCGAAGTTCAGGAACAGGTGCAGCAGGTTTTACTAGGAGGGAAAACCTCGAGTCGCTAATCAGGAGTTCATTGACCAGCCACAGGCGACAACGCCCCGAGTCGTCCTAGAGTGCTTAGACCCCATAAAATCATGTGCCAATTGGTCCTTGGGGGGATCTGGTGCCTGCAGATTGCCGAACAGAGCCTAATGACCCCAGCCAGCCCGCCTTATCGCCCCCAATTTCCCCGTTTCCAAGGAGCGATTGGCGCGTAATAGCTTCCACCCGTTACATAGCTAGAGGCCGCAGCCTATGACATCATTTCGCATTTGGCTTTTGTGGCTTTCAGGTCCATTTCCAAGTTTTCGAGCCGCTACGGAGGAAGGCAGATCGTGTTGATAATCTCGATCTCTTCTGCACAGGCTCGACAATGCCAGCTTCATCTTATATGAGTACGCTGTCTGCATGCGTCGCAGTACTGCCGCTGTCAAAGGCACTGCCAACTTGTGGAGAGCCACAGACTCGCACGCTCTGGGATGGACCGCTTGCGTGATGCCGTCCACGTCGCGTCTTCAAAGTTGGGACGTAGCGACCCAGCTTCAGTAGCCACCGAAACCACACCACCACAAGATGCTGCCAGAACAGTGGCACAACCACCGATCGAGGAACCGGCATCGATTCATCCTCCTGCCGTGCGAGACGAGCCTAATTCTGGCGGTAGACACTTGGCTGCTGCGAGAGACGACAATGTTTATCTCCCCAGCATTCGACTTCTTCGTCACAGGAATAATAACCCTGGGCCTGAAGCGAACATTGGCGCAGTCCACGACTATGCCACGAACCCCAGAGAAACGGATCAGACCAAGAATGGCAGAATAGGAAACTTGTGGAACAAAACTCGTCACTCGTTAGGTTTGGGCTACACAGAAAGAGATCCTATACAGCCTGAAAGGGACTACAATGTAGATATGGTTGATGCACTCGACGCATTGGGTACGTAGCCTAGCACATTGCGCCCCTCTCAGACTTTCTGTGCTCACCAGTATCGCCAGATCCTGAAGTTCAAACTCTGGTATCTCTGACCAACGTTCAAAACTCGCTTTTCGTGCCCGACTTGGGCAAATATGTGAATAGAAGACCGACATTCTCACTCACAAGCTTCTTGCAAGATGTTGAACAGAAATTGAAGCCGGGAGAGAAGGAAAGACAGAAGCAGGAAAAACCACCAAAGGTAACACGGCCTGCACCCATATACCGAGCTCCTACCGGTGCCACAATCAACTCCCAGCTCAGTGATTCTCGATATGCGGTCCTTCCTGAAGGAGCGTCGTTGTCAGGGTGGACATATCAAGAGCGATTAGAGCTCAATGATCATGTTCGACATATGCTTCACTCACGCCGGTCGAAATTCAAAAGGTCCATGAAAGGGTTTATGCAATATGTTCGCCAACGTGAGCCTGTCTCCCTCGATGGCAAGTCTGCGAGTGCTAACTTTGAACCCCAGCTCTGGGCTTCTGCATCACACTGTATGCGACTTTAATCACGCTTTTTGGCCTGGCCTGGGTTCTCTTCCTCATCGGTACGCCCTCCGAGCCCTTCCAGATTGATGTGTACTGATCGAATAACCAAACGCAGGCTGGATAAACGTCGGTGGCAAGCAACTGTATGTCATCAACGTGATTGACAACGTCCTTGTTGCACTCTTCGCCATCGTCGGCGACGGCCTTGCCCCTTTCCGGGCTGTTGACACGTACCATATGATCTTCATTGCTCACTACCATCACCTCACCTGGTCGACCCGCAAGAAGCATAACATGCCCAAATTGAGAAACCCCAACGATCTCCCTACCGAGATGCCGCCGCCTGTGGTCCCCAAGCCCAAACCACGCCGCCGTGATCGGGTACTGAATAGAGCAGCCGCGAAACTCCACCTGAAGAAACGATTCGGCTTAAAGGAGGACCTCGAAGAGCCGGGCGAGTATAGCGTACTAAACCACAAGCAGCAGCGACTCTTGGACTACCATGGCGCCAAGTTCAACAAATCGCACACGTTCTACAAACCGCACGAGACGGAAACGCACCACGCGTTCCCCCTGCGACTCCTGGTCGCCATCGTGGTTCTGCTGGACTGTCACTCCCTCCTGCAGATTGCCCTAGGCACCGTCACGTGGAGCATCGACTACCAAAAACGTCCTTTTGCGTTGACGACGGTCATTTTGTGTTGTTCCATCACTTGCAATGCCACGGCCGGGCTGCTGATTTGGATCGGCGATCGCAGAACACGCAAGAATGATGTGTTGGAGCGCATTAATCGGCAGGAGTTGACACAGGAGGCGATGGAGAAGATGGAGAAGATGTACGCCAACGGTGATGGAGATAGTTGAGAGCAGACCAGTACTCTGTACACATATATATTATGTTCTTCTTTTACCGTTTTCGTTCGGGAAAGGGGAGTGAGGCCGCTTTCGACAGCTATCAGAACATCGTCTCCCATCGCCCATATATTTCTCCTTCTCTTCCAACCTACCTCTTCCCCCCCCGGGATCTCCTTCAAAACCCGCCTCGTTGCCGGAATTCTCTCCACCGCTCCGGGCTCCCTTTGATTGTCCCTTCCGGCACCTTCAAAAATGTACCTCGTCTCTTCAAGTGCGCCTTGATTAGCCTCCTGATGCTCGGTTTTCGCGGCCCCCTCTGCACTTTCGAGGAGGACCGGTGTCGCCGTAACGGCGCCCTTGTGCGTCTGACCCCGGTGCCCCTCCGTGATGCATTCATTTGACTTCTCTTGCCGTACATCATGCAGGCTCAGCTGCACCGTCCGTCATCCACGCCTCGACCATGGTCCTGAGCAACAATCACTACAACTCCAGGTGGGTTCTATCGATCCTGAAGGTCCTGTGTTGTCGGGGAAACTTGTCATTTTCTAGGAGCGAGTACAACCACCACGGTCACGGACACCACCACCTCGACCGTAACCAACACAGAGACAGACAGCGCCACAGCTGTTGCCACGTCGTACACCTCGACCACAACCGTCTATGCTGCTTGCGTATGTCGTCCCCTCAGATTGTACAGGCGAAATGCCACTAACAGTCGGGTACAGGCAACCAACAATCTGGCCCAGTATGTCAATACACTTCCAATCCATGGTTGGTTTCTCAGGGAATGGGAGTCCTCTACACACAGATGCAACGACCGTGTACGACTGCCCGCGTCTCAGCACTCCTGAATCCCTCGGGTGGTACACTCTGGGCATTCAGTTTCGACACCCGTACTATAGGGTGCGATATAGCACTCTCGGCAGATCCGCCCACCTGGGCTTGTCGGAAATGCTTCCTGTGGACAAGTGGGATTCCGTAATTCCTGGTTGATCATCAATCTTGTCGAATTGACCAGCGTTGGGCACCCGGTTTTGAGAATTTATATTCTACGTAATAATACCCTTTCATTAGGGCCGAAACGGGCCGATATAGACGTAGGTGGGTAAAGTTACCACGAGGCTGGATGTGGGCGACGTTTGGCGCCTATAAGACTAGAGCCCGAACCGGGGCTCTACCGTTACGTCGGGGGAGTACGGTAGGAGCGGGCTGGAGCCGTAAGGGAGCAGGAGGGAGTGGAGGAGAGCGGCCGAGGGAGCGAGTTCAACTAGATAGTCGTTAGCGGGAGAGTAAAGCGGCGGGGGATAAGTCAGCGAAAGAGTAGCGGACGACGACTATTCGGGGTTTATATATATACTCGGTATCCATCCGTCTATATAAGAGAGTATATACATACACACACACAAACTCTATCGAAAGAAAAGGTGACCAAACCCCCACCCCTTCTCCTCTCTCTATTCTACCACCCCAAACGCCTTTTTCCCCATCGCGAGCTCCCTGCCCAAGACGTCAAAGTACCACACGGGATTACTGTCCTCGTCGAGCTCGGCGTGCGTGTACCCGTTGCCCAGATATGCGAACCGGTTTCCGCCACCACTGCCGCTGCCGCTGTCGCGGTACGTCATGACAAAGTCCTCGTAGCGCGGCTCGGCCAGCACCTCAAAGTAGTGGAGGCGGCTGCCGGGCCAGATGGCGGTGACGGGGCCGTGGACCCGGCCGTTTTTGAACCACGATCTGCAGGCGCTGGGAACATCAAAAGAGAAAAGTGTCAGAAACGGCAAGTCCTATAGCGAGCGGGGGGGGATCGAGAAAAATATTCTTTTCTCACCTCGACCAGGCAGTCCGCTTGAGTAGCTCGTGCGTGTGCGTGTACAGATCCGCCACGGCGTCGCGCGACGGGCCGAGAGATTTGATCGACGTTCGCTGCATGTGCGAGATGATCTTGAACATGTACCGCGTGTGCCATTCGAGGATGGGGAGGATGGAGCCGTGCGAGGCTGGGCCGTTGGGACCGATGAAGACTGGGATTTCACACACTCGTCGTATTAATAATGATGATCACGATCTTGATAAAATCATGTAAAGGGACAAGGTCACTTCGGGTGACTAGGTAGGTAAGTAGGTACTCACGGAACATGTTGGGAAACCCCTCGGCCATGACGCTCAGGTATCCCCTCGGAAAGTCGGCCCACTCGTCGCGCAGGTTCCGCCCGCCCTCCCCGACCAGGGTGTAGGGCGGACAGAAGCTCGTGTCGAAGCCCGTGGCGAAGACGATGACGTCGACGTCGACGTGCCTCCCCGAGGCGTCGACCAGCCCCGTCTCCGTGACCTCCGCGGCCGACTGCGTGATGACCTCGACGTTGGGCCGCAGCAGCGACTGCAGGTAGTCGGACCCGGGCGTCATGCGGCGACACCCCAGCGCGTACTGCGGGATCAGGTGCGCCGTCAGCCGCGGGTCGCCGGCCAGCTTTTGGAACATGCTCTTGGCCACGAACTCGCGCGACGCGGCCTGGTCGACGCTGTCGAGGTGCATCTGCGTGGGAGGGGAAAAGAAAGTCAGGTTCCCTCCTTCGATGGAAATGAGAAGAGCCGATAAGGACTCACCAAGGTAAATCGTTTGTTGAGCTCGCCCTCAACTTCTCGACAGTACTTGTCAAGGACGGCCTCGTCGCTGGCAAACTTGTTCTTTTGCTCCTCAGAATCTGGTGTCCGGTCAGTCTCGATTGGGAAAAGCCAGGGGGGGGGGGAGGGATAATTTGTATTTACAGTCAAAGTTGACGCCACCCGGCGCAGCGTGTTTTGCGCCGAACCCCGCTGTGATCCAGACGGGCGACCTCAGAAAGACGTGCAGTTCCTTTGTATAGGGTTGAATGGACGGGATGATCTGCACGGCCGAAGAACCTCCCCCGACGACGGCGACTTTCTTGTCGTTCAAGTCGACGTTGTCGTCCCAGGCGGCGCTGTGCATGATCTTGCCCTTGAACCGATCGATTCCGGGGATATTTGGGTATTTCCACGAACTAGAAGGAGAGAGAGGGACGTCAGCCATTTTCCAGTGTCCATGGGTATCTACATAACCGTGGGATATACTTCAAAACACCGTGGCACGAGGCCAGGATCTCGCCCTCGTCGGTGAACTCGGAGCCGTCCGCCAGGTGACCCTTGATCTTCCATACACCCCTTTCGGCGTCCCAGCGAGCCTCGTCGACGCGGTGGCCGAAGCGGACGAAGCGTTCCAGGTCGTTCTCGACGGCAAACGCCTGGAGGTACTGGCGGATCTCCTCGGCGCCGGCGTAGTAGCTCTTCCAGTCCGGTTTGCGCCAGAAGCTGAACTGGTACGAGTGGCTGGGGATGTCGCATGTGCAGCCCGGGTACCGGTTCTCGAGCCAGGTGCCGCCCACGGCCGAGTTCTTCTCGTAGATGGCAAACGTCACGTTGGACAGTTGGCGCTGCGCTTTGTACGCGATCTGGAGTCCCGCGGCCCCGGCGCCGACAATCAACACGCGCATCGGTCGTCGCGTGTGCAGCGGCTCCTCGTGGATGCGGTAGCCGTTGGACGAGAAACCGGACCGGTACCACTCGTTCTCGTGTGGTTGTTGGGGAGTTTCTGCATCGTGTTCCACATCTCCGTTGGTCTGTTTGTGCCCTGCCGAACGAGGCTTCAGGGACAATTCAGGAGGGCCTTCGACGATATCTCCCGCATCGGGGACGACATCTGCGGCCGCCATGGTTGGGTTGATGTGGTTGGGGAGAATAGCAGGAGATGGTATCGCTCAAGACACAGAAATGGGAAGTCAATTGCGGTACCTCACATATTTATCTGTTGTTTAATCTGTCGTTGAAGTCTCTCCTCCTTTCCTGTCCCTTTTTTTGCTCCGGACTTGCCCGGACTACACATACCACCATGCGCAGACTCGTCAAGTTCGTCATGAGAGAGTCCTCGTCTGGACGGATCACCATCGAGGTGAACAGGGACCAAAGCCCACAAAACTTCGGCAACGAGACAACGACAGTGTTTGTTGGAACATTCCTCTCGTGAGGACACCTGGGAACAAGGCTGGGCCCAATCTTTTCTTTACCTCGGTGATATTTCTCTTTGTGGTATAATGCTTTGACCGATGGATACCAGGGGAAAAAAACCCCTCGGAAAGGTGTCTATCTACATTACCACTCTTCAAACCACTTACTAAGATCGACGAGACAGCTCGACAGGGTTGTTAAGAAGCGTCTTCTTTGCTGAAAAGTTGAGTGAGTGCGTGAGATACTGGGACAAGTCATCCTCCATACATACGCACACACATCCACACACACAACCTTTCTATCCGGTCTGGGTCATTCATTTGCTGTATTCGATTTTGGCCAAGAGAGACTCGAAACGTCGAAATCACCATGACGAGCCACACCGCCGCCGATGAAGCCGCCATCCGCCGTCTGCTCGACCAGTACTGTCACGGCCTGGACCGCCGCGACTTCGAGCTCCTGCGCGACGTCTTCACCCCGGACGCGGACCTCTCGTACTGCGGCGGCCTCCGTCGATTTGTCGGCGGAGAATCCATGCGCGACGTGATTGTCGACTTGAACGCCGCGTTCGGGCCCGTGGACCACGCCCTCAGCAGCCTCCTCATCACCGTCGATAAGGACGGCCACGGCGACACAGCCCGCGCCGAGTACCACATCAAGGCGACGATGCTCAAGGCCGACGAGCCCACGATCGTGATCCGCGTCGTTGACTTCAGGGACGAGCTGCGCCGCACCCCGGCCGGGTGGCGCGTCAGCAAGAGGCAGCACACGCCCATGTTCCAGTACGAGCTACCGTCGACCAAGATCGACTTTCCGGGCGTGGGCGGCGTCGAGTACCGCATGCCAGAGGCTCGGCCGAATTGAAAACATCGTGTCTGGTGTCGGATGGGATGTAGTTAGTGGTGCATCTCGAAGATGCTCCCCAAAAAGAAAAATAAGACCCGAATAAATGATAGCGAAAGAAAATCCACACAGAATTTTACAGAGCCGAGATGTGTGTGTACCCAGTAGTACGAGGTATCTGTACCGTATTGGGATTCAAGGAGTATATTACGCTCTAAAATTGGTGTAAAGACCTAATTTTTATAAGACACGATATTTGGTGCGGAAGTGGTAATGTATTGTCTGCCCCTTGGTCGTCTTTGTCTCCTGCTGGTACAGCCTGGACTGGTCTGATTGCAATCATTACCCTGACCTCCGCCTCCCTCTCTCCCACGGGGTACTCGGTACTCGGTGCCCTGTGGGGATCATCCACCTCATGCAGGCTAATTACCTATCTAGTACCCACTAGTACTCGGTAGAGTAGAAGTAGGTAGTATGTAGAGTAGAGCGCCACGTGAGTGTCAGAGCCTGTGAGTCTGCGGAGAAGTCGAGAGCTAGCTACAGTAGAGCTTTGGTCCAGTGTGGGTACCATCCGAGGTGATTTATCCTGTTTGGGAGAAAATACCGGAAGAAAGAAACGCGGGAAGGTCAGAGATTCCTGCGGAGAGGGTGGGAGGGGTTCTTTCCCTCATTTCGCGCCACTAGACTGGGAGAGTCAACTACCTGACTACCTACCTGGGGATCTAGGTATCTGGTGACTATGGGCCCGTACTAGGTTATATTGTCACGAGGGCAATGCATTTCGTTTGCATGATAGCTACGAGGATACGGGAGAACGGGGAAGGAGAGGGAGAGGGAACAGCGACCCTCTTTCACACCATTTTGTCATACTCGTCATAACCCGTGGGCCTGGGAGATTCCCCCATTTCGAGGCTTGCGTTATCAATTACTTCTCGTAGGCTAGAATACCTTGACGTACGAAATTCGAGTCTTGTCAAAACGTGTCTGAGATCCAGAGAAGAAAGAGAACTCGAGGTAGAGGGCCTAAGTGATTCCGCGAGTCTATCTACTTGTCTACCAACCCGTCCACCCTTTTGCGGAACGCGACCAGCTTCTCGGCCACGGGCTTGGGCATCTCCATGACCATCATGTGCGTCCCCGGGTCGATCTCGTGGTACTCGACGTTGGGGTTGCCGGTGCACGCGTCCGCGATGGCCTTCATCATGGGCGGCGTGGCCGAGAGGTCCTGCTTGCCGGCCAGCGACAGCACGGGCATCGTCTTGAGGGTCGGCAGCCGCTCCAGACAGTCGAGTCGGGCCATGGCTCGCCACGCGGCGGCCCAGTCCTCGACGCGCGCCCGACGCACACACCCGCGCGCGTACCGCACGCACCATGTGTCCTGCGCGATGGTCTCGGGCAGGAACCACCGTATCACCGACTCGGCCACCAGTGAGTCCATGCCGTGCTCCTCTGCGCGCGTCGCCCGCGTCGCCAGCACGGCCGTCGCTTTCCCCGCCGTGGCGATGGCCGCGAGAGACCGCGTGCGCTGCGGGTAGTCGAGCGCAAAGTACTGCGCCACTGCGCCGCCGTACGAGGCCCCGTAGACGTCGGCCCGCTCGACGCCCAGCCGGTCCAGAAGCAGGGCCAGGTCGGCGCACAGATGCTGGAGATCGCGAGTGAGTGGCGCCCCGCGCGCGTACCCGTGGCCGCGTAGGTCGTAGGCAATGACACGGGTGCCCGAGGCAGCGAGAAGTGGTAGAACTTGTCGCCACATTCGTCCGTCCATGCTGAGGGCGTGGATGAGCACAATGGGGATCCCCGAACCGCCGGTGTCGCGAACCATGGTCTCGTGGTCGCCGAGCAAGACGGTCGACTCGGTGTATCCTTTTGGTAGTGGCAACTGTCGCGGCTCAGATCCCGACTGCCATTGCGACAAGAGGTCGTGGGTATGGCGGACGGCATTGACCGACCTGGGAGCGCCGGCGAACGAGTTGGCGTGCCTGAAAATGTCTTGGATCTCCTCAATCGTGGCGCCGTGGGTCAGCGCCCCCGTGACGTACACCTTGAGCTGATCGTCGACGTCGCCCAGCGCCGTCAGCGTGGCGATGCTGACCAGGGCCCATTCCCGGTAGCTCAGGCTGGTCTGGGCCAGCGCTGTCCCAAAGCCGACGTCGAGGATGTGTCGTCCAAGCCCCGGGCACTGCTCGACGGTGCGACGGACCTTGCCTGCCAGATACTCGCCGGCGAACCGCGAAGCTTCGTGGTATCCAATCAACTCTTTGGCCGAGACGGACGCTGGTGGTGCTGCCTCGACAGAAGAGTTATTCGTCGGAGTTGCTGATATCTTGTCACTCTCGATATGAGTGCCATTGACGGCGCTGTTGTCTCCGTTGGGGCTTTCGATAGATGGAGACATGGTGATGGTGTGAAATGGTGAGCTCGATGTTGCGTGACAATAGAGAATGGAGATGATGGCAACTCAAACAAAAGTCTCTTTGGTAAGAGTCTTATACCGATGAATGACAGGGAGAAGTTCACTCGCCCAATATCTAGAGAACAGATAAATCGAGCAAGGGTCTACCCTTGACAGGGTTTTCGCAGTGGTAATCGTCCAGGGAGTAAGTCCAGAACTCGGTCCTCATATTCCGGCTCAGGACAAACTCCTTACAAGCGACACAACTGCTACCTGGGTACCGGTATCCCTCCCTAGGAAGAGGAGGAGGAAAGGTCGAGTCCTCGACTGAGACATCCCCAGAACGCCCCGCCGCCACATCCGAAATGCCGGGTTGATATACGCTCCGAGGAAATATTTCCGTTTGTGATATAGTGTGAAAGTGGTGGATCAACCGAGATCCAATCATGGACGACGGTACCTACATTTGCTCCCGTCGCTGCAAGGCCTGGTCTCCGGCTTCTTTTCTCCTTTATTTTCCTAGAGAACGTGTCTGGGGTGGCGGGGACTTGCCCCGGAATGAGAAGAGCGCCTGGTCTGAGAACAGGAGACTGTGAGTCTTGATAGATTTATATCTTGGGATCGTGTCCCTTGTCCAAAATCGAGGAGCTCATACCTTTTTCCACCAGAGTTTTGAGTTGTGCTGTGAGGTTGAATCTTGAACTCGACAGAAACACACCAGAGCACACCACCAGCTTTGGACCTCCCAGCCTTGTCCACCATGACACTGACGAACATTGTCGAGGCGGAGAATAAGAACATGTCGGCGGACAACACCCACGTCGAAGCTGTGGCTTCGAGCGACCACGAGAAGGGCGACCATGCGCTGCGCATGCTCGACGACAACATCCATCTCCAGGAGGCTCTCGACCCGGATCATGCGATCGATCTGGCCGAGGAGAAGAGGATTCGGCGCAAGGTTGACTTTCGACTATTGCCCTTGTGCGGAATCGTCTATGCCATCTCGCTCGTCGATCGACTCAATCTGCCCAACGCCCGCCTCGCTGGCATGGACCAGGCCCTGGGCATCTCCATCGGCAACCGCTACTCCATCATCACCATGATCTTCTTCATCGGCTACATCCTCTTCGACTTCCCGTCCAACCTGATCATGCGCAAGGTCGGCGCCGCCACCTTCATGGGCGTCATCAGCTTCTGCTGGGGCGTCGTCACCATCGGCATGGGCTTCTCCAAGACCTGGGGGACTCTGCTCGCGTGCCGCATCATCTTTGGTGCCTTTGAAGGCGGACTTTTCCCTGGAATCGTCTTCCTGTTGTCGTGTTGGTACAAGAGGGACGAGGTCCAGGTGCGTTTCAGCGCCATCTACGGCTGTGGCCTGCTGGTGTCCGGGCTGGCCAACTTGATCGCCTACGGACTGTCCAAGATGGACGGCCTCGGAGGAGTCCCTGGTTGGTCTTGGATCTTCATCATGGAGGGAATCGTGACCGTCGTCATTGCCGTCCTCGTCCTCCTCTTCCTGCTCGATTTCCCGGACAGGGCAGCTCGCCCGTCTCTCTTGGGGTTCCGATCCTTTCTGACCCCGGACGAAGCGGCTATCGTCCTGGCTCGCATTGAACGAGATCGTGGTGACGCCGTGCCCGAGAGATTCACCCCGAGAGTCATCTTCTCCCACCTCAAGGACTGGAGGGTCTGGGAGTTTTGTCTGCTTCTCATGTGCAACGTGAGTTTTGGACCATGTCTTTCTGACAAGTGACAAGACTGACATGCTCGACCAGAACACCGTGGCATACGCTTTTGCCTACTTTTTGCCTTTGATCCTCAATGGCGGCTTCGGCTATTCACTCCTCAAGACCTACATACTGATATTCCCCCCTTATGTGTTGGCGGTCATTGTGAGTCTGGCCGGTCAATCGGTACTGGGTCATACATGATATGCTGACTTACTTCTCCTAACCAGTGGATGTACATTGCGGCCTACATTGGCGACCGCTGGATGACTCGAGGGCCGATCATCCTCTTTAATGCCGTGGTGACCATCACGGGTGTTGTCATGTAAGTTCTTCTGCCATTCATGAAGCCTTCCCGATATTTTTGGAAAGACATCTAACTCGCGCTCCGCAGTATTGGCTACGCCAAAAACCCCAGCGTTCGGTATTTCGGCGTCTTCCTGGGCCTGCCGTCCTACAACGCCAGCATTCCCGCCATCTTCAGCTACCAGCACAATAACATTGTCGGCCAGGCGCGGCGCGCCATCGCGTCGGCAGTCATGCTTGCAGGCGCTGGTATCGGCGGCATCATCGCATCCAACGCCTTTCAACAAAAGGATGCCCCGCAATACAGGCCGGGGCTCGACACGATCATCGCCGTGCAAGCACTGACCATTGTGTTGATCTGCAAGAACTTTTTCCTCTACACGCGTGCAAACCGCAAGGCCGACAGGGGCGAGATCATCATCGAGGGGAGACCGGGATTCCGGTATACCCTGTAGATAGGTGGTCTGGATTCTTGCGCAGGAGAAAGGTCATCTCCTGTCCCAAAAAAACGGAGGGACTCGATCTGGTATGCTATGGGATGGGTGCTGTATGCCGAATGAATTCTAGGGCTGGGTCGGACATATCATATCACGTTGTGGCATATACCGTGACAACAACACCCTCTTGAATCTTGTATCTTGTACCGGGAATTGAGAATCAAAGCTACCAGTCACCTTAACTTTCGTGAGAGGCATGTCCATTTTCCAATCCTCCTCCTGAGCCCTTCTCGATGAGGAGAAAGTAACGAGGCAGATGAGAGTGAGGGTGATAGTGATGGTAATGGTAATGGTTAGATGGACGTCGACGTCGAAATACGAGAGCCCAAGTACAAGAGAGCGGGTTGGCGCGTATGGTGTCAAGACTCTCAAAGGGGCCCCGGTCACTCGCTCATGCCAATGTTTATTGGTGTCGAAAAATGCCGTGTTTGACGCGCTGACAAGAATGGAGGGTAAGAAGGCTGTAAGATTCTCGGTAGAACGGAGGTATTACGACGTGACGACGGAAAAAATTCGAGGTTGTATTTTTGGTTTTTTGAAACTACCGCGCCAAGCTTTGACAGACAAGAGGCCATAGTACTAGCGCGTGGCAATTTATATGGAAAAGTAGTTAGCTGGTAGCACTAAATGCTCTCGAGATTAATATAGTCTACGTTCACGCCTATATTAAGAATAACATACTAAATTATCTCGTATATGATGGTCTTGAACTTTTAGGTAATTGAAAGCGGTTAAAGACTAGTTTGTTTATTAGGACACCGCTTAACTTACTTCTTTACAGTCCTAACACTAAAATAAAGGGCCGCCGAATCTTACAGGTATAATACGTGAAACCATTTTCATTAACGCTAGCCCCTTAGTAGCTCGCTAGGTGCTCTTGACCCGCCAATAGTGCAGATTGTGCACCTCATGAAAATTTATGCATAAATCACGTGAGACTTGGCACTACAGACAACCCCAGCTCCTCTCCGGTTGATCAAGCTCCTCCACAATCTCCACCATCACTTACTCTCCGTGCCTGGACATCGTTTCACTCACGCCAAATCGTGTTATGGATTGATCCATGAGGTGGTCTCCCAAGGACCCCGGTACATTCCACGTGCTGACATCCATGTCTGACATGCACGGCGCAGCGATACAAAATGCCCAGCCCCCCTCCGTTCGCCATTGTGGGAGATGGCTTTGGTGGGAATGATAAGGGCAGTTTGCCTTGTGGAAAGAACCAATGAGACAAGCCCAAAATTGTCGTCCTTTGCAGCAGGTCAACTCGCCCATCGCGGCCTGGACAACGACTCGACCAGCCCAGAGTGGATGGAAAAAGGTGTCAGAATGCCCGTGATGGCGTGCTCTGTTTGTCCAAGATGTCGGTCGCACTTCGACATCAAGCTTGCAATCGCCCTCGGCCAATCACGCCATCCCTGAACAAACCCTATCTCCACCACGTTGTTATCCCTTTCACACCAGCTTAGCGACCCAAAGCATGTGGCTGTCAAACCTGCGATGGCGAATTCCTGTACATTGTTAGCCTCTTCATCTGCTGGGGTTGGCACGCGTCGGGACAAGGAGTCTTAGCATCGGGTGTGCAAGATGCCTATTTGCCGGATAGATATTTCGAGCATTTCTCCTTCGAGTTCTTGGCTCGGTCAAGGTGCTACTGCAGGATTTTGTGCAACACAGTCGTCAATTCACTGCGGCTTTCTTTCCCCGCGATCACACGGATCAGCAAACCTCAGCATGCCAAATCTAGTCGTATGGAGCGGTACATGGCCGGCGCAGACAGTCTTGTCGAGATGCTGGTGGATTTTGCATCATATTGGCTGGACAACCCTCGCAGACCACGTTCAAAATGGAAGGGTACAGGTCTCAGCAATACCACGTTCCGAATCACGCAATCATCCCACCATCTGACAACAACATCCACCAGCTTGGTGTGGCAACAATCTCTGAAGAAAACCAAGTCGATCATCCCTGGCTGGCGTCGTCTAGAACTTTTCTGTGTGGCCGGTACCTCGCCGAAAAAAATCCATAATCGATGAAGCATTGAATGCCGAGCAGTGGCAGAAGATAGTGGTTCGTGCTCTATATAAGCCTCTGCTGCCCCCTGCACTCTCGGCTCTTGGAAAGCGTCGCACTCCCATCTAGTTCATCTTGTCCCAAGGCTTGCAGTCACCATGGACAAATCGGTCGAGTCCCAGGTGGTGCCATCCACCGTTGAAAGAAACAAGGAAGCAACAAGAAAGCCAAGACAACGGAAGTGGTGGCAGCTTGGTGGCAAGGACATCAGCCATGTGTCTGTTGACGCGGACGTCGATCTCGACTCCGAGACGTCGTCTTTCGAGCAGAACGGAAACTCACTCGTCAAGAACGTGAACAACGTCTTCGAGGCTCCGGAGGCTACGGAAATCTACAAACCGATCGAAGGGTTTGAGGGCACACATCGTTTCGATCCCTCGGCTGAGTGGTCTCCGGAAGAGGAGAAGGCTCTGGTCAGGAGAGTATGTTGTTGCTCCTTACTCAGAATACCAATTCTTGTCCCTGGCTAACCCGTCTGTTTGTTAGCTCGATTGGCGAATTGCCCTTCCAGCATGCATCATGTTCTTTGCACTCCAGCTCGATCGAGGCAATATCACCCAAGCATTGTCTGACAACATGCTGAGTACGATTGATGGGTCATCTCTTATAGCATGAGCAGGAAGCTGACGAGCGCGCAGGCGATTTGAATATGAATACCAACGACTATAACAACGGCATGACCATCTTTTACTGCTCCTTCTTGTTCGCCGAGCTTCCCTCTCAGCTTATCAGCAAGAAGCTTGGCCCCGATACCTGGATCCCCATCCAGATGGTGTCCTGGAGCGCAGTTGCAGCATCGCAGGCGGCATTATCCGGAAAAAACAGCTTCTTCGTCTGCCGGTTCCTGCTGGGCCTCATTGAGGGGGGGTTTATTCCAGATACCATCCTCTACCTGAGCTACTTCTTCACCAATGCGGAACTTCCCAAGCGTTTGAGCTGGTTCTGGACATCTTACCAATCTACCCAGATTGTGGGCGCGTTTCTTGCATATGGCATCCTGCATCTCCGTGGCCACGGCGGCATCGAGGGATGGAGGTACCTGTTCGCGATCGAGGGAGCCCTCACCGGCCTGATCGGGATTTTTACGTGGTTGTATCTGCCGGCCTCTCCGACTCAGACCGCCCGCAACGCCGCGGCCCGTAAAGGCGGCCGAAAGATTTGGACCAAGGGGCTCCTCCGGCCGAAGAACGGCTGGTTCACAGAACGAGAAGAGGTCATCATGGTGACACGCATCCTGCGAGACGACCCCGGCAAAGCGACCATGCACAACCGACAGGGTCTCAGCTTCGACCTCTTCTGGTCGGCCCTGACGGATTACGACATGTGGCCCATCTACCTCATCGGCCTGTCGTGGACGATCCCGAGCACACCTCCGCAGGCATACATCACGCTGACGTGCAAGGCGCTGGGGTTCGACACGTTCGAGACCAACCTGCTGACCATCCCGGCGTACACGCTCTTCATCATCCAACTGTTGTTCTGGACGTGGGCGTCGGAGAAGATCAACCAGCGCCTGCTCCTCGGCGTGATCACCCAGTTCTGGGCTCTGCCCCTGCTGGTGGCGCTGGTGGCGCTGCCGCCGCAATTCTCGGGCTCCAACTGGGCCAAATGGACGCTGTCGACCCTCCTGGTGGGCTACCCGTACATTCACGCGATCCTCGTGGCGCTCACGTCGCGCAACGCCGGGTCCGTGCGCACCCGCACCGTCGGCTCCTCGCTGTACAACATGGCCGTGCAGGCGTCCAACATCTTCTCCTCGCAGATCTACCGCAAGGGCGACGCCCCTTACTACTACACGGGCAACAAGGCCCTGTTGGGCGTCGTCGCCTGGAACATCATCGTCTTCATCGGCGCAAAGATCTACTACGTCCGCAAGAACGCCGAGCGCGACAACATCTGGTACTCGATGACCCGCGAGGAGCGGATCCACTACCTCCGCACCACCACCGACAAGGGGAACAAGAGGCTGGATTTCCGCTTCGGACACTGAGTCGAGTCAGCCAAGCCAGCTGGGAAGCGATATCGTAGAGGACAAGGTTGAATGGGTTCTTTCTAGTCTTTGACGTCGACGCTTCTGCGGATGGATTCCTGTCGCAGCAGGGAATGAATACACCCAGAGAGAGTCCGCAGTGTACTGAACTGCAGTTCGGTGCTCTCTACTCTTGACTCGCTGACTGGCAGGCTGGTAGATGAATAGATAGATAGACGCGAGAAAAAAGTATTGATGCCATATTATATGCATACCTGTCCGTCTCTCTCTCCGTCTCTCTCTCCCACTTCCACTTTCTACTTCTCTCTTTCTTCCCCCCAAGATAACAAAAATACTTGAATGTCCTGTCCTCTACCATAATACCATCTACCTCGGATTACTTTATGACACCTCTATAAAAATAGCCGTGGCCAGGACCGTGGCCGTGACCATGACGCAGTATACTTTTTCCTTTTCCTTCTCCTTTCCCATTTCCATTTCCATTTCCATTTCCATTTCCATTTCCATTTCCTACCCACTTCCTCTCCCAATCTCTCCTCTAAAAGCACCGTCACCCTCTGATTACCCTACCCTACCCCACCCTATCACACTCTCACACGCCCGTTTCCCATCATATCGAAGACGAAGACGGAGACGCATTCAGATTTCATTCCATCTCGCTACTCGCCACCCACTACCCGCTGCTCTCTATAGTCTCTTCTCCCTCATCGTGATGGCAACCAACAACCCCAAAAAGGCAAAGGCCACGGACATGGCTGCAGAATACAAAGCGTGCCACGTTAGTTTATATGAATGGATGAAAATCTAGCAGGAAAATAGCAACAAAATTGCGTCTTACCAAAGGTGCAACTCAGGCCGTCGAGGTAGGCTCGCACGACGATGTCTCTGATGAGTGGCGGAAGGTTGCGGATCGATTTGATGCTGGAGACGGCGGATTCGATGATCTGTGCAGTTGTCCCCGACACGAGAGGGTTGTGTTAGTTCAGAGCTGGCTTTTCCTTGAAGTAGAGACCGAGGGTAAATCGAGTAGAGGCGGGTTATGAGAAATTTTGAGGATGAAGGAAGAGCTGTTAGGCTTCCGAAGGAATAAGATATATCCTTCGTCTGTATCGCTGGGTTCGTATAATACACAAATGGAAAGCACCAAGGACAGGACTTGAGAATAGAAAATGTATGTGTATACGCACCTTTTTCTTGTGTTTGACGCCCTCCAGTCCGGACTCCAAATCGCTCCTCAACCGGAAATGCAACAGGGCGGTAGAAAACTGGATGCCGACCAGGAGAAAGAGGTTGTGGCAGAGATACAGGGTCGTGCCCGCAATGGCCATCTTGCTCGGCTCCAGGCTCGCGGCGAGGTGGATAAAGGTGGTCGACTGGTTCGTGCCGGAAGCGAAGCCGCCCAAGAACAGGTACAACGTCTCGGCCGGGTGGATGGCACCGCGGCGCCAGCGAAGGAGGACCATCAGATAGCCCAGGCAGCCGCCCACGTTGCCCAGCAGGGTGAAGAGCTTATACCGTCCTGTCCTGGAGATGGTGAAGCCCGCCAGCAGACCCGCGGTGGCATTGCCCGCCACGGCGGGGACAAGGCGCAGTCCCGCATTGCCCACGCTCGAGCCGGAGACGATTTGGAAGTAGATGGGGACCGAGTAGAAGAGGCTGAACTGGGCCGTCATCTGCAGTCCCGCAAGCAGGTAGGCCGTCAGGGTCTCCCGGCTGGTGAGGAGCTCGATGGGCAAGATCGGCTCTTTGGCCCAGCGGCTCTCGGTGAGGTAGAAGAGAGTCACAAACCCGAAGAAAAGAACAGCCGGGACCACGACGTAGACCCGGGGGAGGTCCTCGTTCAGAAACTCCAACACCAGGAGGAAGCTGACGATGGTGATGATCAGGGTAACAGCACCCGTCAGGTCCACCCGCGCCAGCTTCTGTTTGAACGAGGCTTCCTCGTCCGGTTTGACTGTTTTTGGCGTCTTATTCGGTAGTTTCCAGAGGATGAGAAGGAGACCGATGATCGTGGGAGGGACTTGGCCGTAGAAGCACCATCGCCAGCCGATTGTGTCGCAGAGCCAGCCACCCAGGGGTCCGCCAGCTGCTCGCCCTGTCGTGGCAGCAATATTCACGTAGCTCCTCCAGGTTGCGACCTCTCTCACAGGGACGACATCTGCAGGTAGGTCAGTCGAGTCGGTCGTTGGCCGTGTGGTTTACATGTCCTCGTACCAGCAATGATGATAGATACCAGCGCCGTCATGCCAGCACCTCCAACGCCAGAAATGGCTCGACCAGCAACCACATGCCAGTATTCGCGACCGATACCACTGCGATCGAGTAAATAGACGTCCACACCCAGGACCTCGGACTTGTCGGTGGCACTCACCAGAGGAAGCATCCTGCTGCGAAGAAAATGTAGGCGACGCTCAAGTTACTCCGCCGGCCAAAGATGTCGCTCAGTTTGCCATACTATTATTGTTCGAGACATAGATCAGCGGCAGCCCTTTGGTATGATTCGAGGCGTCTTACAAGGGGTTGACTGGCACACAGTGCAAGTACAAAGCTGGTGATCAGCCACGAGGCACTTGACAGCGCGTTGAACTCTGAGGCGATCTGTTGACTCGATGCGATGATCAGGCTGCCGTCGAGGTTGGAGACGAAAACACCTTGTCAGGAGATCAGCATTGCTTTCGAGTGCAGACACATGACGGGACGCACCGAGAAGTGAGACGGGCACAATGGTCCAGATGGTCAGCGCCGACGAGGGTTCAGTGGCCCCGTCTGCGGGTGTAGGATCTTGGTAGTACGGAGGGAGGTTGGCAGAGGAATGTCGGCGCAATGAGGTCCTGTATGACTGTTGGTCAAAGTCTGAGGACTCGGAGTCGGTCCGCAGCAGCGCAGTCGTCTCATCTGCGGCGACATGCCCAATCCCATCTCTGTCCTCATCCCTATCCCCCATGACAGTGTATTGCGGTGGTCTCGCAAAGGCGAGAGTCAATAAAACCCAGCATATTTAATCGGCTCGTGTGTGACTGGTGTCTGGATCCAGTCATAATCCCAACTCGGAGGTTTCCACCCAAAGGTCGGTCAACAATGGGCAGCATGCAGGCCCAACCAAAAGCTGGCACGGCTGGATGGGCAGATGGGCTGGACGGCCTTGAAGGGGCCTGACGGGGAAGGCCAGTCCGTGGAAAGGATCCGCATCGTGATCACGCAAAAACACGAGGCAAGCACGCATCGAGCATCAAGCATTTCTACTTGTAGCCCCCTACGTCTATCAGGGCGTTCAGCGCGCCACCAACGTCTATCAAGTGGAACCTCTCGGCTGCAGGCACAATTCAATGTCTTGCGCAAGCGAAGGCAAATGTCGCGAGCACGCCTGGGCTGAGATAAACCCATCAAGAGTGTAGATGTCGATTCGGCATTTCTATACTACGGTGAAGTGTTATACTAGCTCACTCCAATGCACTCCTCCTCTGGGTCCATGATCTCCAGGTGAAAATGCCTTCACATGCCGAGGCCCTTCACTCTCTAGGATGTAGCCCTTCTCGCACTTTTCGAACCGAACTCTTTCCTGCTGGAGCTCATAGAAGTCGTCGTAGCGTGCATCAAGGGCATCTTGCAGGTTGCCTACCTCGCCGTGGGGATGGAGTGTCTCCCACGGGTGTGTACAAGTCCGTCCTTTGCATGTCTTGAGAACCATGACCAGCGAATCCAGCCGAGAGATGAGGTGTTGTAAAGTGGTGACAGTTGGCGGAGTGGCCGGCGCTGTGGTCGGAACTTCGAAGATAGAAGAGTGATTCGAATTGAACAGATTATGTGTCTCGTAAGGATCGTTCTGGGAGTGAGTCGTCAGTATTGTAAGAGTCCCACACAAGACGCGGAATTGACATACCCTCAAATCATAGAGTTCGTGTTCACCACTACACCACACACTGTAGTACAGATTATAGTTGGTGCCGATCACTCTAAGTCCCTTGTAGGTGTTGTTCCAGTACATTGCACTCCCGTATTTGCCCTCTGCAAGTGCAAAGCCCCAGTACTCAATGTTCACATGCTCTCCGCGTGTGTCGACAGAGTCATCATCGAGTTGATTGGCAGTCAAAGGAATTATGCTGCCGTCGAAGTCCGATCGAATTTGCCCGCCCGCCAGAGACAGAAAGGTAGGCGCCAGATCCGTGTGGGAGGTTACAAGTTCACTCGACTTCCCTCTTGGTATGCCAGGACCACGGACAATCAAGGGGATATTGATGTCTTCTTCATAGCCGCACTCCTTGCCCGGCTGCAGACGGTGTTGACCTATGTGGTAGCCATTGTCGGTCGAGTAGAACACGTAAGTATTGTCGAGTATCCCATGCTCTTTCAAACGAGCGACGACACCATCGACAATCTCATCGACCGCTTGGAGGGCACGTAATCGGTTGCGATAGAACTCGTCGTTGAAATCAACGTTTGTCTTGTTCTGCTTGGGCAAAGTGCTGATCCAGGAAACGCCGTGAGGCTGCGTCCAAGTGGTTAGTTCATGTCTTGGAAGCGAGTGACAGACTCACCTCGTCTGGATTGAAGCTTGGAGTGCGCGGGATCACAGCATCTTGGAATAAGTGTTTGTGCCTGTCAGCCGGGATGGGGGGAGTGGTCGTGATTGTATGAGCCGAAGCACTCCCGTTGAACCAACTCTCCTCAAATTTGACATTGCTGTGAGGAGCATTGGGGGCAATTGTCAAGAAGAACGGCTTCTGCTCCGAGATGGCATCTTCCAGGAATCCATACGCCTTCCTGGCGAGGACGTCGGTGGAATACTCTCCCTCATGGCTGACAGGGGGCTCTCGATTTCGCTGGAAGCTGGCGTTTAGGTATTCATAGGTGTGAGGGTCCAGGAGAAAGTCGGAACCAATGAAACCGTTGACAAACGGCGAGTCGTAGTTGTTCACGCCGTGGGAGTTGAAGAGCTTGCCCGTATAATACGTGTTGTAGCCAGCATCTTGCAGCCAGACGGGAAGCCATGCCTCATTGAAGCCCTGGCTGACAAACTTGGGATAGCCACCTAGAGAGTAACGCAGTCAGGAGGTGTCCTAGAGGATCGTGGTATCAAGGGGGAGGAACAGACCATAGGGAGGATTGACATCGGTGACATTGGTGTTATGAGCTGCTCTCCCTGTCCACAAGCTCACGCGTGACGGGCAACAGAGCGCAATGGTGCAGTAATGGCGCTGGAAGAATGTGCCTTGGTCAATGAGGTGCTCCTTCACATGGGGCATATAAGACAGAGAGTTCATGCGCAGGTCCTGATCATCAGTCAAGATGAAGACAATATTTGGTCTGGAGCTGGACTGCGCATTGGAAGTGAGAGGTTGCTGTCCTCTGATTCCATGGCTGCGCTCCAAGTCGTTGGCCTGGCCGCTTGCTACAGCCGCCAGGAGCACAAGCAACGACGACCTCCACCAGACCATTGCGTCTTCCTCTGCTGGGGGCGATTTATTTTGTCTGCACCTAGGTCACTCCAGTTATATGAGGAACCATTGTTTCCGACACCTGCGCCTTCGCCTCAGATAAATCGCATGTGGTAATGGACTTGCTCATTGTCGAGACGACTGTTTCTGGCGGTGAGAGTGGGAGGTGCTCCCTCCGAGCTTGCGCCGGACAAGCCTAAATGCTCCTTTCCGGGCGTCAAGGGTGCTGCAATAGGCATGCTGGGTCCTTTCCTGGGGCTCACTAGGCTGTGCCTTCCCACCTAGAAACCCTTTTTAGGCGTGCTTGTCCCACAGAATGGCGTGATCAGACCACACCTCCCAATCCTCATCGCAGCTCTAATGACGACTTCAAATGGAGTCCATCTGATGCGAAACATACAAGGAACTGACTATCTTTGACTGGTGAACACGCAGGAATTAGGAAGATGTTGGTCATCAAAACTAACAGCATAGATTCGTGCGAAAATGAAGATGCGTCGTTATGCCTGATATCAACTTCTCCCCAGTGTCCAGTGCGGCCCGCGGGCCTCCTGCGTTGATTCTTTGTTTGACCAAGCACAGATTCCCTCCCCCCTCCCCCTCTCCAAAGATCCTTCGAGTTGTCGTTGAAAAGATTGTATACCTAGGAAAAAGGGCTCTGGTCCTCGACTCTATCCATCGTGGTCAAGTCTCGCTCGCCCCGCTGACAATACGCCCATGTGCCAATGCCTCAAGATCATCTTCATGTTCTCCGTACTCGCCCACAGGTCTCTTGTTCTTCTCCGTGATTAAATCCTTTAGCCATTTATTCTCCATTTCCAACTGATTGACCTTCTCTTCTAATTTCGCATTCTTGTCTTGAACCTGGCTCATCTTCCGTTCCAAGGCCTGCTCCCTCTGTTTCTTCTTCATGCGAAACCGTGCACTGGCGGCGGTGTTGCGTTTGCGCCTCTCTTCCTTGGCTGCCATCTCCGCTGCGTGGTCAGGGCTTTGCATGTAGTAGTCTAATCGACCCGGTATTTGCTGTTGATCAAGTCCGGCGTCGCTCGGCGACAAGCTGGAATAATAATGCGTATCGACATTGTGGTACCGCGGAGGGGAGAGGGGTTGTAGGATGTGCGTGGCTTGCGCCCCAGAATACTGTGGCTCTGTGGTTATTGCGCCGATATGGGCGATGCCGGCTTGTCGCAAGGCCTCAATGCCGGTGGGCAAGTCAGTATCTTTGATCTTGGGGCCGTTCATGGAATCATCGGTAACATAATTTTTGGGGGTGTCGTTGTTGGCGGAAACAAAAATGTCGACAAAAAGATAATGGGATGTCGGTGCCGGTAGACATATAATAATGCATCAACCCTGGCCGCCGTACAACCCCAATTATGGTTAGTTTATCAGCCCAGGCCGCTCGACTTGTGTCGACTCCGAAACTTACTGGCAGTTGCGGGCTGCATTGCTGTGCTTGTGAGGTGTTCACTTCAATATCTTTTTCTGATTGGGAACCCCCAATCCCAAGCCCCCCAATCGCAATCAGATAGCTCCTCGTGCTCCCGTCGAGGCCTGTCATGTGCGCTCAGATCTCGATAGCCCTCCACATTCGTTATTGGGGGGTTTCGTTCCTGATTCAGCCACTTCCTGGACGCCGCAACAGGTCAACAAGCGACATGTTTCGCCTGAAAGGGGTGCTGTTGTCTCGTTTCCCGAAATCTCCGGGTATCTCTGGTATCACCGCCGACCACTGCTGCCCCGTTCCCATCATCAGTTTGACGGCCAAGATGATGACACCAGTCATCTTGGGGGCGAATATTTATGCGATCCCTTTCAAGGACCAGAAAAAAGCCCATCTCGATTGCAATCTAGCTCGTGAAGCTGGTGCCGCGTGAAGTCATTGCTGCGCACTCTGGGAAAAGCCCGGGTGCTTCTGGATCCGAACACAGGTGGTTTCCACAGCGCAAGAGAGTTGCAGGCAGACTAATTTCCCGAGCCTGCGTTTTGAGACAGATGGTAAGGCAACGATGGTGGCAAAGTTGTCAATCTCGCTGCCATTCCTGATGATCAACTTACAGCGCTTGACGTCTCCTGTTCGACGTTGCAATAGCACCTACCTTCCAGTACACTTCACAGGCATGAAGAAAAACTTTGAATCCTGAGATCATACCGTCGTTTCGGCGAGAAAAGCATGTGCTTCGAGGCGTCACTCGTCTGCTATGAAGCCGGCTTGACGGATGCAGTGAGCTCGCGCCGCCAGTGGTGATTAGGGATGGTATCACCAACCTGGATCTGTGTGTCGGTCCCATATATCCCTCATTGCCTAGAGCAAAAATATCTTGAATGGTTGCCTGGGACAATTTTCGGGTTGAGGAACCAACCATTCAGCGGTCGTTCTGGGCCGATTTCCTGGAGCACAAAGGCAACGTTCGTCTCAGGCGATGACTCCCTTCCATGGTCGAGCAACATATTGGAAAAGAAGAAGACATCATGACAAAGAGTGATTCCAGATGTAGAGTTGCCTGGCTCTGGTCCCTCGACTCCAGTTCTGGGAGCTGGTGATGGCGATACGCCCAGTTTCATGACCCAGATCTCACACGTCCAACTCTCCTATAGAAAGGATACGTCGAGAGGAATATGATATGCTTGGTAATTGCATAGTCATGACTCAGTGAAAGGAAAACCTGTTGTTTTGTTCGGCTTCTTGAAGTCCTGGCACACGGACTAGGTAATCACATCGTTAGTAGCACAAACCCTTGGATTCAGTCTCATTTCCAAACATCTCAACGTCCTCTTTCGAGCGTGACGGCTCTAGGAAGGACTGCAAGTGCTTTCCCCGTACCCAGAGAGTAAAATTGGTCACACCCCGAGGTATCCAGAATGCTGGGGTCAAGTTTGCACGGATCCTGGGGCGTCCTCGAGATCTGATAGACGATCCACCCGGCAACATCCAGCGTGGTGATTCCCCCAGTTGCTGAACCAGCAACAAAGCATCAAATATTTCACACAGGAGGTCATGTCAGAGGAGAAAAAGAGATGAAGTCTAACCGGCAGTCGGCGGTGATGGCACGACCGGGACGCCGACTACCGATATGAGGCTTGGCACCGGAACGTGGTTTTATCCGGGGCCGGGAATCGCATTGTTTCCATCCTGACAAACCCCTTCTTCTACATACATACCCAGAGTATGTAAATGGGAGTTCGATCATCATGTTGCTCTTTGATGCCTTCCATGGCACAAGGTTGTCTCCTTGACCGAGTGGGCTCCCGTCAACTCAACCACCTGGTCTCTAGGCAATGTGCCTTCCGACCGTCAAGGGACCAGTAGATCCTCCCGACATCCGAGGTTGCAGATCAGACACGAAAACGGGCTTGAGACGCCATGTCAAACCGGCCATCTGAGTCGTATTCGCGCTGTGCTGCGACTGGTGTCTTGAGCAATTTCCTACTAGAAGGCAAGCTCCCAACGTCCGGTCGGTTCATGACATGCGGACGAAAAGATACTCTCTCATGGCGTGTCTAACCAGTTAATATGATCCGTCCCACCGTCTTAACACCGTCCCCCACAATGGCTACAGCCATTTTCTTCTATTGATCAAGATGCCTCTAGTCCGAACCTGAACATCGCCCAGTTTAGGACTCGACCGGCCTCACTTCCAAACCTTCGAGCTTACCAGTCTGTTCCCAAGTTTCAAGCGTCTCCATGAAACGTTGGATGCCCTCGCCCCAGATGCTCATTCTGGCGACTTTCATCTTCGCCTCCATCGGCAAGCTGTCCATGACTCCTTCTCCATTGAGATAACCAGGCGTACAACCCGCCATCCCCGCGAATGCGATGCTTCTTTTCAGCACTTCCCACGACCAGATCTCTTCCGCCTCCTTCGTTGGCTCGATTACTATTTTCTGACCAGGATGCTTTGCCTGAGCTTGGCTGATGATATGGGCCACATGGCTGGACATGATGTCGAGCGCAAAAGTCTGGTTCCCCGTTGCAGCTGCCTGAAACGGGCCAGGCATGAAGAAGTTGGGGAAGTCGTGTGTCATAGTCCCATGCAACGTCGCCACGGCTTCTTCCCACTTCGCGTCCATGTTTTTGCCATTCCTGCCGGTAATTTTCTGTGGTTCCTCGTTAGCCCGATGCAGAAACAGACGGGCCAGATGGCAGCGGCTCTACTGAGACCCAAAACGCTTCCAAGAAGAGAGCATGACTTACCATACCTGCACGGGACGCAGGGCTGCCGATTCCAGGGGCGCGAAAACCAGTACTGAAGATCAGAATGTCCAACGGATACTCCTTGTCGTCCACAACGGCTCCTGTGGCCGTGAGACGATCGACACCCTTTCCACTCGTGTCAACAAGCTCGACATTCGGAAGATTGAAGCACGGTAAATAGTCATCATGGAATGTTGGTCGTTTGCACCACGTCGTGTACCAATGCTTGAGCGCCTGAGCAGTCCTGGTGTCCTTCACAACCTCATCAACCCGTTGGCGGATTCGCTCGGCGCGGGGCAGGTCCACAGCGTGCAAACGTGCCACAAAGGCCGGGATCTCCTCCACCGAGGATGGCAGATCAGGCCCGCCAATCGCACCACGGTATGAGAGGCAGGATGTCGACTGGTCGTTGACAAGGTCTCTATCATCGGGTCGAAGGGCACCAGACATGTGGGCTGCCAAGTTGAGATTCCGCTCCCTCCACCAGCCAGGATGAGATGCAACGGTAGAAGTCCATCTGTCCTTGTCTGTGGCGCGTTGGCCACGTATGTCGACAGAGGAAGGAGTCCGCTGGAAGACAGTGAGGTGTCCGGCATACTTGGCAAGTTGCGGAATTGCCTGGACCGCCGTGGCGCCAGTCCCGATTATGCCCACTCGTTTCCCGGCGAGCCTGTCAAGGACTGGATTCCCCTCAGAACCGCCAGTGAGAGCATAGTTCCAGCGCGACGTATGAAACGAAGCACCCTTGAAGTTCTCGATCCCAGAAACGGCAGGGAGTTTCGGATGCAGAATCAGGCCAGATGCCGCAACGACAAACTCCGCAGTCACATCGATCTTCAGCTGAGAGCCTGATTTGTGCTCCTTGGTCATGCCGACTTTCCACTGGCAGCTAGATTCTTCCCAGACGAGGGTATTGATTTTGGCGCGGAACATGGCCGTGTCCGAGAGACGATACTTGTCTGCGACGGCGTTCAAATACTTCCTGATCTCGTGGCCGTATGCATACTTGTGCTCTGGGACGTAATCCATCTCTTCAAGAAGCGGAAGATAGCAATATGACTCTATATCGCACATCAACCCCGGATAGCGGTTATAATACCACGTCCCTCCCACACCTCCCGCCGCGTCAACGAGACGGATCTCCGACGCCGATATGCCTGCCTTGATGAGCTTGACGGCGAAGAGGAGGCCGCCAATTCCAGCCCCCAGGATGAGATACTTGACGTGCTCGCCGTCGTTGACGGTCACTTTTTCCGAGCGCTCGTCGATCCAGGGGTCTTCTCGATAGTGCTTGAACTCCTCCGACAGCGCCAGGTCCACGTACTGCGCATCGCCGTCCGGCCGTAGCCGCTTCTGCCGCTCCTCGTCGTACTTTTTCTGTATCTTCACGCCTTCTCGGATGTCAACGGCACCGGCAACTCGCGCACGGGTGGTAGCGCCGTTCATGGGTTCTGCGGCTGCCGCGTCGACTTTGTTATCTTGTCCCACCCTCGGGGCTGGATCGTCTGGAAGATCGGTCGTGGATGCGTGTCTGGCCATCTTGTTTCCCGCTGTGAAAGAGTGAAAGAAGTGAGTCAAGTCTCAACTGACCCGGTCAAGCACAGCGGCTACGCAGTGTCTCGGAGACGAGGATCTGAGGGGACCCTTAAGAAACAAGCGACATGCTCGGCTTTGTGAGAAGTTATATATGCATTGACTGTGTAATACGGCCCCTGTCATGGGGAGAATTGGTTTCACAAATGGGTTGCCTGGGCGTTGGCATCCCAGTCTGGGCTGTTCAACCTCGAAACTAGACATGGAAGTATGTGTATTCCACAAGATTGACCGGATGAAGTGAAAGGGTGCAAAAGCGGCCCGGTGACCCGCCCTTTGTGAGATGACCTTGGGGCATTTGTATAATTATCAAGTACGGAGCCTCCAATGAGGGTGGAGAATGTGTCGATCTGCTTCTCATGGGCAGCCACAATTACGACGACAGATCCTGTAATGCTGGGCAAATGAGCACCCCGTAGAGCCAGATCACTGTTTCACATCGAATGCGAATCAACCGTAAATATCGTTTGGCGTGTGTGCTCATAGAGAGAACACTGGGGCCCCTTGCCGAAGGATCAATCAACTGCTGACGGCTTAGGCGAGGCTGACATATATTGTGGTATGCTGTGTCGGATCTGACCCGCGAAGTAGCGACATCTGGACGGAGTGATCGAGTGGCCCTGCTGTAGATAGCTGGAAATGGAGCATGTGACAATACAATTCGCTTTCACGCGTGCAAGTTCATGCGTTGAGGCCGACAGAAGCAGAGGAAGCTTGTGTTGTGTACCTTAGGCATCTCACCACATCTCCATAGACATGTGCCTCGAGAGTGTCCTACCCTTGAAGTTCGATCGTCTCCCGGACTATCTCTATGTTCGGTTTTGAATACACTGCTTGTAAAGATCGGCGGACGTATTCCCCCGAAGTCACGGGCTGGAATTTTGGCGGCTGATCGGACGTGACAAATTGTTCAAGAGCCTTCAATTCCGCCTCCTGGTTTGCTGTAGAAAGTAAGCAGATTGCATTGAGATGACTGATCTGAAGAAGCTCACCTCCTAGAAAGAATGGGACCGAGTATCGGTCTCGCCTTGAGTGGTTGAGTACTCGGTGCATGGTGGACACAAAAAGCCCATTGGTGAGCATGGCCATGGAATCCCCGATGTTGACCACAAATGTACCTGGAATGGGTTTCGCTTGGATCCACTGTCCGGTATTGGACAGGACCTCGAGGGAGGGGATATTATCCTGTAAGAGGATCGTCAAGAGCTCGTAGTCTGTGTGAGGACGAATCGACGATGGCTCTTCTGATCCAGCAAGTACTCCAGGGTAATGTGCCATCTTGAGAATAGAGTAAGGTTTAGTAGCCAGGTGGTCGAATGAGTTCTCCTCCAGATTGAGGCCGAGGGCAAACATTCGCAGCAAAGCTCGACTCAACACGAGGACACGAGACATGTATTCCTTGACGTTCTTCTCGTAGCCAGGAAGACGCTCCTCCGGCGGCCACCAGTTGTCGCCGTTGTTCTTTGGATTAACAGCATCGGGGTCAACGGCGGGTTCGTAGCCATAGTTGATACCTTCGTTCAATTCTAGAAAATGTCAGGAATGCTCAGTCTTAGGGGGTCGTGGGACGTACTTGCGCCTGCAGGTAGACTAGGGTCAAGATTGATTGGGTAATAGCCATAGTAATGCTCATGCTTTTCTGTGTCATATTGCATTTTTTCTTGAAGACTCAGTTCATGGAAGAAGCGTTTGCATTCTGAGAAGATGGTTTCGATGACTGTGTCCGGAACACCATGGTTACTGACATAGAAAAAACCCACATTGGCTGCGGCATGGCATATCTGTTGTGCAACAGCCCTTCGACGTTCTTGATCGAGATGGTCAATATCACCAATATCAATGACCGGAAGGCTGAAGGTGGCTTCGGTGCTGGTTGGAGAGAGCACCTTTCGCCATCCTAGCCCGGTTCGGACCTCCTGGTAGCCGTTGGGGGCAGTTCTGATAATGTCCGTCATCGAGGGAATGGTATACAATATCGGCGTCCATCAACAACCTGCGAAGTCAACCTCTTCATTTATCTAACATGTCGTGCATGTCTTGCCTCGACCCGGACAAGTCCGCGGAATGAAATATAGCACAAGCGAGGCCCAGAATGCCAGGTTATCGGATTGTGTGCACATGTCCGTGGTTGGAAGCTTTGGCTTCACTCGATCATCATGATATGATAATGAATGGCCCGAGGTCTCATGTGATACCGAACCGACTGTACCTAGCAGTGTCTTGCCGCGAGCATCTTGTCATACGCCAGGTCTGATCTGTACGATGTAACACTCGATGGGTCGTGGTGGCACAACTGGAACGTTTTGAGGCCAGGCTGCGGATTTCATCCTCCACCAACTCGAAGTAATAGCAGGTACTGTGGCTTTTTGGGTTGGTGGCGCCCGCCATTGGCATAGCTGGTGCATGATGAGTGCACAGCGCAGCATGCTTGGGCAAATTGAGACGAAACTGAGGGGGGAGACTGGAAGGCGCAGAATGTGAAGTGTCGAATATGTCAAGGGCTCAGAGACCACAGGCTACCATCGGTGCAAGCCGCGGAGCCTAATTAATGGTACCGGGGGTCATTTAGGCATCACTAGCCACGGAACCAAGCACCTGGGCAGCACCAGCACCAATTATTAGGCCCGCACCACCTAGAAAACAGGCTGGAGTTTCTTTTTACAAGTGTCTCCTCCCAGTAAACTCTTGTTTTCCGTCGCGAACCTCGTACAAGTAAGTCTGTATCACAACAATAACCGCGGTCAACACACAACTCGCTTCAACTCGGCTCCTCTAACAGTAGAATACGTCGATCGATTGGCGAAGGATGCATACCATCTTCCCTCCGATGTGCATGAAACACCGGGATTGTTGACGAGAACGCAGGTCCACGTGTATCGTGTCCCTCGAACCCGCCCATTGTTTTACGACGCGCTGCACAAAAGGGGGATGCACTGGTCAATAATCGTCAAGGCAGCTATGAGCGACGATTGCGATGGCTTCGCCTTCTTAGTCAATCGAACGACTACCCCATCCTCCTGTCCTCGGTACCTCCTCTTCCAGCCACAGATCCATTCCTGTGGATTCTCTTCCAAGCCTACCGTCGTTTGTGGACAAAGTGAAACTCGACTTCAAACAGGGCTCAAGGGTGTTACGATTGGTGCTTCAGATGAGCGAGCCGCAGCCAATCGCCAGGCTGATCCCCGCATGCCCCTTGACCGCTGGAACAAGCTGCGACACTCGACGAGGCTGAACCCCTTCACTACCGTCTCAGCCTCGCCCTTCGCTGTTTGATCCGCATTGTCTTCTTCTGTTGATGTGCTTGTCGATTGGAGTGAGGTTACATCTTCCACCAGCACTTCATTGGAAATTATCTCGTGTCCATCCAGCCTCATGACATCTGGATTGATCTCCGGCTGGAATCCATTTGCTAATAGAAAAGGGGTTTCTAAGGTAGGATGCATCTTTGATGCCTGAGTGCACGATTTATTCAAATACACGGTGTATCTCGCAGCTTCTCGTTACTTTATTCCATCAACCAAGTTCTATTCTCTCCTTCTTTCTATTCTTTGCTCTGTTCTATCTGTTCATCTTTTGTGACAACATTTCACATTCATTCTATCTACACAACTGCCGGTTCAGTTCAGCGACATATACTCAAAATGATTTCAAACACTCCTCCAAGATCTTCCTCACTTGTATTTCTACTACTCAACTGTAAGTATATTTCCAACCGCTTCCCACGATAACGACACGCGCTGACACTGGACACACAGTGGCTCTGCTGGTTCTCGGCCAAGGTACTCAATTCATCACTGGTCCCTGTACGAGCGATGCCGACTGCGCCTCCAGCTGCTGTGGCTTCAACAGCGGCCTGTGCGCCGGCCCTGTCATAGCCCAGACGCGTGATGGAGGATGTGGCTTTGGTGACGCGCAACCCAATGACATCGCAGCCCAAGCCTTCTTCAGCTCACAAGCGGCCGCAGCTGGTGCGACGTCTCCTGCAACCGCCGCACCTGCCCCTGCGGCTGCCACTTCCTCTCCCCCCTCGTCGGGATCTGGCAACGGTAACGTGGGCACTGGAACGCAATTCATCACCGGTGCCTGCACCAGTGACGCAGATTGTGCATCAGGATGTTGCGGCTTCAACAGTGGAAAGTGCGCTGGTGCCATTGTCGCCCAGGAAAGAGATGGCGGATGTGGATTCGGCGACGCTCAGCCAAATGATAACGCTGCACAACTACTTCGTGGAGGACAACCCACCTCGGCTGCTACCTCTGCGCCGGCTCCGGCGAACACTGCCTCCACTGCCAACACTGGTACTGGCACAACCAGTGGCTCCAACCCACCCATCGATAGCAGCATCCCGGGCTCTCAAAACGTGGGCAAAGCCGACGCTTCGCAATTCATCACCGGGCAATGTTTCAGTGATGCAGACTGCGCTTCGGGATGCTGTGGGTTCAACACTGGAAAGTGCGCAGGGGCAATCATCGCACAAACTCGAGACGGAGGATGTGGATTTGGAGATGGGCAGCCAAATGACAATGCGGCCCAGGCATTGCAGGGTGGAGCAAAGAAGAGGAGAGGCATTGCGGCGGTGAGGGAGTACATGGCATAATCTGCCGAAACTTTACGACGATGATGATGTGCATATCCCCCACGCAGGTAGTGGCAACAGGCAAAGCATTTTCAGGATGGAACCAAAAAGAATTGGGTGCATATAAGGTCTGCAGACCTTTCGAGGGTTCGACGTGTCTGAGGTCCTTCTTACATTTGTCTTTGGCGGAGAACAATACCCTTTTTAAGAATTCAAGCGGCTATAATAGCAAGATGCTTTTCAATTCGTTCATGGACAATGCACCACTTTCTTCTTCTCCAGGCCACACTGGTCCGGTGTCCCGTTCCAGAGCAAATAGTACTAGAGGCAGCGTTCTCATGCCCGGACTTTGACCGTGCTGCGCCTACCTCGACCCCAAGGATTACCATGTCGATATCCGGTAGGGATAAGTCTTTGCGCGAGGCTGCGTCAGTGGCCAGGGTTCCATCATATAAATCCCATTGGTTCGTGGCATGTCCTTATTGGGATTGTAGGAGAGCGGGAGGACAGCGACGGAATCGGAACAACCACGCAGCCACGCCAGTAACTGAGGCACCCTGGCACCTGGGCATGCTAGCCCCTGAAACATGGGGTGATATCCTCACCAAGAGACTTCGCAGATTCCGTTACAAAGCCAGAATGCTGTCTGCTCCCGGTCCCGTCACGCGTGCAACGGCATCGGCTGATTTCGAGACAGTCAGGTGTCTATTGGAGTTCGGCGCAGAGCATGGAGGCGGAAATCCAGAGGCGGACGATAAAGTCGAGGCGATGCGAATTGCGGTTGAGTTAAACGATCTGATGGATCGTCAAACCTTTTCCTAGCCAATGGCATGAAGCCCATGGGATGGGACTTTGTCAGCGCGGTCAAGCAATGCTCATACACGATGCTCGAGCTCCTACTGCTAGGCGGCTATGATACTAATGCGTGGGTCAGAGATGATTGGCCTCCTCATCTGCCGTGAGTAAAGGTCTACATTGCTGTTCTTACGATACCTTGCCACAATACAGTGACACATTATTCGACCCGGAGCTTGTGAGGTGGCTCGTCGAACACGGTGCGGATCCGAATGCTCAGTGTAGATACGATATCACACCATTGTCGATCGCAGCTGGATCGGCCTCGAGAGAAGTCATCGAATTGTTGTTCGAGCTGGGCGCCTCCGTGAGGCGTGGTCAGCCGCTACACTGTGCCGTCAGAGCCGACCGTGAAGACGATGTCGTGGAGCTCCTCATAAGCAAAGGTGCCTCACCGAATGCACTCATGTTTCACGATCACCCGGTGTCGGTCTGCCAGTTCGAATGCCTCGGTCTTGGAACACCATTACATGAGGCTGTCCGCCAGCGCAACGACAGGCTGGAACGGCTCCTTCTTAATCACGGCGCGAATTCGCAGATCAGGGACAGTCTGGGAGAATTGCCGCAGGTCAAGAGGTTCCCTTTCAGGACTGCCCTCTGAGTCGCCGAACACCGTACGCGCTTCAACAACGCTTCGCGACCCAACTACCAAAACTATGTCCTATGTTTTAGCCCTTCAAAATCAGAAGGACCAAGGACAAAGGAGTTTGCCGCCCGACATTACCCTCATATGGAGTCTTGTCTACTTCCTCGCAGTTCTTCTCCTGTTCGTCATGAGCACTCGAAGAGACGCTACTGGACTCTCACGAAACCTGGATGCCGGAGTCAATCAGTCGTCGTGATCTCGTATGATGGAGTCATCGGCGGCGATGATGATGCTTCCGCCTTGGGCCTTTTGCGATGCGAGGTCCAAGTAGAACGGTCAGTATTGGACCAGGACTAGATGGAGGATGGCTCAGATCATGTAAGTGAGCCCTGTCCAAACCTTCAGCGACCTTCTTCTGTTATATTCATCCGTCAATGAGGATTCAGGATACAAAGGGGGCGATAACATTACAAAGTCCGCACCACGGGAAACAACCAGACTGACTCTCAGAGAGACATGGAATAGGGATAAAAGGGACAGGTGGACGGGAGGAATAGTATGCAGTCGGTTTTTACGACCGTGGAGCGATAGTCAACGAAGAGACCAATAGTCCGTCGTCGAGGGCCGAGACTACTACTACAATATACCGAATAAACCGGCTCCCTGACATCTCTGTGACGAGCGGCGTCTTCTCGTCCAATGCGTAGAGACCATATACCGTGGAGGTACTATTGATTGATAGGATACTCTGTCACTAATTGTAGTACCATCATTTCCTAGGACGCGCGGGTCAATTATTGGTCCCAGAGGCCGCCGTATGTTATGTATACCTCATTGAGTAGTGTAGATTCGGGTACGGCGGGCGAGGGTGGACGCGGTAAACCGCACGTGCTGCCAAGCAAGACCCTTTTTCTCCCGGTGATAAAGACCTCGTTCGGCCGTTGTCGTGTTAGCTCCGACTAGACGGGTGGCCCGTTGGCGCTCTGGGCCGTGGTCCTGGAATGGAGAAAAGCTGGAGATAATGGACATTTGCGACGACGACCGACCGACGGACCGACTGACTGACGTGGTCAATACCTTGGGTGCCAGAAGAGGGAGTCGTGCAAAGAAATAAAAAAAAACCTGGCGCCAGGCTCTTGCTCTTTGTCTCAACAAACCTGAACCCGAATTCTGAGCTCGGGGTATAAAAGGTAGCCAAACCTGCACGTCAGAACCTATTCGTTTTTTTTTACCTTCGACCAAAGTCCCCAAAGAATCAAACCATCTCTTTCGACAGACGGTTCATAAGAATGGAGTATCAAAACCTCGGTAAGAGCGGACTCAAGGTCTCCAAGGTCATCCTGTGAGTACTCACGACCCAGAACCATCCACAGACTGGAGGAGGTGATGCTAATTCGGGTTGGAACAGGGGCGCCATGTCCTACGGCACCCCAGAGTGGCAAGGTTGGGTCCTGAATGAAGAAGACTCGTTGCCCCTGCTGGAATATGCGTACAAGGTCGGCATCCGGACCTGGGACACTGCCGACGTGTACAGCCACGGTCGATCCGAGCAGATCATCGGCAAGGCCATCAAGCAATACAACATCCCCCGCGAGCGCCTGGTGATTCTGAGCAAGTGCTACTTCGGCGTGACTCCGGACACCCCCGGCGGTGGCATTGCCGCCAGCTCGGTCAATGACGGCGACATGCTGAACCAGACGGGTCTCAGCCGCAAACACATCCTCGATGCAGTGGATAAGAGTGTCGCGCGGCTGGGCACCTACATCGATGTCCTCCAGATCCACCGTCTCGACCGGTCGGTCCCACGCGAAGAGATCATGAGGGCGCTCAATGATGTGGTCGAGTCCGGCAAGGTCCGCTACATCGGCGCCTCTAGTATGGCGACGTGGGAGTTTCAGGAACTGCAGAATGTCGCCGAGAAGCACGGGTGGCACAAGTTCATCTCGATGCAGAACTATTACAATCTGATCTACCGGGAAGAAGAAAACGAGATGATCCCTTACTGCAACCACACGGGCGTCGGTCTGGTGCCATGGTCGCCCGTCGCACGCGGAGCCTTGGCCCGTCCTTATAAAACCCGAGACACTCTGCGTGAGAAGACGGACTCCTATCTGAAGACTGGGATCCGCGCCAAAGAAGACAAAGTCGACGAAGAGATCGTGGGGAGGGTCGAGGAGGTGGCCAAGAAGATGGGCAAGACCATGGCCCAGATTGCCATTGCTTGGTGTCTGAGCAAGAAGGACGTCTGCCCGATTGTGGGCTTGAACAAGAAGGAGAGGATGGACGAGGCAGTCGAGGCGTGCAAGATCAAGCTCAGCGACGAGGATATCAAATACCTCGAAGAGCCGTACATGCCCAAGAAGAGACAAGGCTATTGATCTGATCGCGTATGGTGACGTGGGAAAAACCCCCCCTTTTGACAGAAGCCAGACAGACAGTGTCGTCCTGATTGAAGACTCTGATCACAAAGAAGTCTCCTGCCTGGCGTATGTGACTCTCGGATCAATTTCCTTGAGAGCAGAACAGTGATTCCAGTCCGTTGCCGCTTGGCGGTTGTCACGTTACCTCGCTGTCGTTGTTGTGAAGTGAAGTGATGTGAAATTGGTCCTGTCCTCGCTAAGTATCACGAAGGCTGTTTGTCTTTGCCTTACCCTCACTTTCACTCCCTGCCTCCGTCGCACACCACGAAACCTACCTTTGGCGCACCGTGTTCTCCGAGCCTTCGGTAAGATTGCTCCTTCCCTATTCCGCGCCATCGCCATCGGTTGTATCGTTGCTGCGCGCTCCTCTTTCATCGCGCTGACCTGAGAGACAGTTTGAGGCGCGAGAGTCAAACGTCCACCGCCCCTAGACCCGCGCGTTCAACCTCTTCCCTGGCCGTTGGTCTGCCTGGGAGACTCCACAAGGTCACATCTTGCACCGGATCCCTGTTCTGCTGCAAAGCCTCACTCGTCAGCCCTCAAGCCGCGCGAGCTGCGGTGCAATCACAATGATGAGTAGTACCTGGGGACAAGGCGCTGACAGCGACTCAGATGGTGGGCTGCGAGGTGATGGAGTTGATCCCGCACAATATCGCAAGGGCAACACAGGCACTGGCACTGGCGGTAAACCTCGTCATGATCCCACGCCCAGTCTCGCCTTTTTGAGAAGTCGCGCAGCAGCTAGACGACTTACAAATTCAGCCGAAGCTAGCAAGGCCACACCTGGTGCCACTGGTTCTGCTTCCGCAAAGCCACAAAAGTTCATGTCAGCCACGAGCAACAAATACCACAAAGCGGTGTTTCCTAGCATGAGAGTCCCTGTCCACATGCGCGAGATTGACAAGGGTGCCCGCCACGGACGCCAGTCCAACAGTGGTGTTACCAAAACCAAGGCTGAGTCTGTGCCTGTCATGTCGGTACAATGCCCCATGCCTGGTGGTACAGTAGTTACCGAAACCACTGATCCTGTGCAGAAGGTCAGCTGGGGTCCAATCTCCAGGATCGAAGCGAGCGAGGAAGCACGCGAGTTGATCAGCCTCTGGCGTGATGCCGTGAAAGACGCAAGGAAAACAAAGGCAAAAGGCAAAGGAGAGGATGACAGCGACGACAGCGACCAACCAGACAAACCCATGAAGACAAAGAATGCAGACAAACGTGGCAATGCTCCCAAAGTCGTCGCTGGCTTCCACGGCGGTGGAGGGTCTGGGTCTAAGGACCAGCAGAACACCTACGCCAACGACGACCTGACACCAGCAAATGCCTCTCAAGCGGAAACTGAAGCGACCACAGACTCTCAACGCTCGCGTGGCTTCATACAACCTCCACCTCCCACACCTCCCGACACCATCTTCCACAAGACACACTCAGTGGCAGCAGCGCTGTCAATGCCCACTCTTCCGAGTCTCCACCGCATCTCTGAACCACAGCTTGTTGAACAGTACCGCCTTCAGCATGCAACGGACCCGGAAGCCTTCGAAAAAGAAACCCGCGCCATCAAGAAAGGACTTGTGGATGCCAAGGTTGCGAGGGGTGGAAAACCGAGACTGTTGAAGAATGAATATACCGTTGAGCTGGCTAGTCGTGAAGATGCGGAAACCGCGGAGAAATGGGTCAGAGACCAGGGCAGGACCTTCGGGATCTCGGACGTGAGAAGCAGGGCGAACAGTACGTTCACGACAAGCGACGCAGCGTCCGGATCTGAGGAACGAGCTTTGAAGATGAGAGGTGGAGAAATAGAGATGGCAGAGTTGGCGACTGCCGAAAGTGAAGAGAAGGAGGGTGAAAAACAAGCAAAGGTCGAGGACACACCCAAGCAGAAGCACCCTGCAGCTGTTCATGACCGCAAGGACCGCGCCATATCTGCAAACCCACAGAACAAGCAGAACAGATCCCCACGCTCGGCCAAGTCTGCCAAATACAGCCTGCTCAGATCCAAGCCAACGCTCCGCAGCGTCAGATCTCAAGTATCTCGTCTCGACCTCTCAGAGCACGTGAGCAAAATCACCACGTATGGCACCGTGCGACATCAGCACTCGGTCAAGCGAGAGGCCGGGGACCACGGCGAGAAACGCACAGTCAGAACGTGGATCGAGGTAACCGAAGTTTATGAGGTGCCGACGTCCAAGTCACTTACCTTCAAGGATGTGGTGGCAGCAGTGGATGAAGACGCGGAAGATTGTGATAGTGATGGAGAGGGTTGGGAAAGTGAGAATGATGATGGATGGAGTGAGGATAGTGGCGAGAGCGACAGTGACACGGCAAAACAGACGGGCAAGACGAATCATCACAAGTCAAACGCCAAGTCGCAGGGCAAACCCAGACCATCGATTGCCTCAAAGAGTCAAAAGGACGGGTACGAGTCAGACTCCAGCTCTGCATCCGCTGCGTCCTCGACCACTTCTGATTACGACAGTGCATCCCATCCTGCCGGCGTGCGCCTGTCAGGTCCAGACTACCATGACCCCAGTGAGACCGATTCCGAAGCACTCTTTCATTCCCTCTCACGGTTTGGAGAGGTCAACGCGTCGAGCATTTCGCAGGTGAGCCGCGATTTGAGGGCATTGATGGCCGGTCTGAGGATCAATGGGAAATTGAATATGCACGAGGCTTGAGTGGACAAGAAGGAAACGTAACCACCACACGAGATGGCAAATATGACAGTCGGACCGAGAGATAAGAGCGTGGCAGAGGAGACATTGGTGTTGTGCTGATTGAGGCTTCGTTACACATCTTCGGGTATGGTGACGACCATTGCAACCACAGGCGAAAGAAAGAATTGAATCAAAGGTGGCTATGAAAATGGATGAGCGAGAGACAGTTGATCAAACAGGAGCTGAAATCAACGAATTGGGCTGGGTGACTATTGACAAGGACAAGCGGTATGGAGCCGGGTACATTGAACGAATGACTGGCTGAGAGGGATTCGGCAGGGGGAACGAGACATTGACACAAGGCGAGAGATGGCAGCTGGAAGCTAGGGCTAGGGTGTGTGCTAAGATTCATCACGGAGACACAGTGACATGGACTGGTGTGGCTCATTCAGATCAGCTTACCTAGATAGCTAGGTAGAAACTTGGGCTCGATAATGACAATTGCAGGTGAGAAACAGCAACGGATATTCCATGTGCCTTGATTGCGATTTGCCAGCAACCTTACCTAGCTACCTGACCTAGCTAGCTATCCATGTTTGGTTTGGATTGATGCTGGCATCTGACAAGTCAGATCCATCAGATCGAAACCGTCTCATCGAGAAGTCAGTCTTGTATGATATTCACTACAAGCATGCCAATGTATCCAGCAAGTACAAGTACAAATACGGTGAGTATGTACCTGCCGGGGATACCGACAGTACACCAGCTACACGTACAAGTCCAGTCCAGTCTCGTTCTCCAGTGTCCAGTAGTATCCCTGGTTTCCACCAGTGCCGGAGACACACAAGTCCTTGCTAACTCGCATTGCGCCGCCATAGAGGAATACACTCAGAGACGCGCCGAGGCGGTGGCAGATAGCTCCCCCCCACAACTTCCAGAGTCGAAAAGTAGCTTGGGGAAAAGACCACAAGGCCTGGAGGTATGAAACCGGGGTTGTACATAAGTGGCCATGCATCTTCAGACCTGATCGGATCGTGTTGTTCTGCTTTTATTTTTCTTTCCCTATTCTTGCGGACCCGGATTCTAATATTGTACTTTGGTGGTATATTTTAGTATTTCTCTTGTACTACTCGGCGACCCATACAGCAGCCATGCCCCTATAATTTGTTAGCGGAGAACTCAGAAGACACAGAAAAGGGTGGGGGGATGAAAGCAAGAAAGCAAGAAAGAGAAGAAAACACTTACATTCCCGTGCCCACGCACATGCTCGTCACGCCAATCTTCTTGCCCGTCCTCTTCAGCTCCGTGAAGAGGGTACTCACTTGCCGGGCGCCAGTGCAGCCTAGGGGGTGGCCAAAGGCAATGGCACCGCCCTTGGGATTGACCTTCTCAAAAGGCAAGCCCAGTTCCTTGACGCACCAGACACATTGGCTTGCAAAGGCCTCGTTGATCTCGTAGATGTCCACATCATCCTTGGAAATACCAGCCTTCTCGAGCGCCACGGGGATAGCCTTCCACGGCCCGATACCCATGAGCAAAGGCGGCACACCAACCACAGAGGCTGCCACAAATTTTCCCAGGATGGGTTGGCCCAGACGTTCAGCGGTGCTGCGTTTCATGAGCAGGACCGCAGCGGCACCGTCGGAGATCTGTGAAGCGTTGCCAGCATGGATGGAGCCATCCTTTGCGAAAGCGGGACGAATCTTGCCCAAGGACTCGGCCGTGATCCCTGGTCTGACACCATCGTCTTTTGTGACCGTCACCGTCTTCTCTTCCTCGGTCTTGGGATCGGTGTATTTGACGGTGATGGGGGCGATCTCCTCGTCGAAGAGGCCGGCTTGTTGTGCTTTGAGAGCCTTTTGGTATGATGAGGCGGCAAATGCATCTTGTTCAGCGCGAGCAATCTTGCGGTCCTTTGCCATCTGTTCTGAGAGGACACCCATTGGGACCTTGCAGTTTGCGGCCTGCATGTGGTTTTCCAGAAGATCGGAGAATTCAGTGACCGCACCGGGTCCGTACTGGGAAGACATGCTCTCAACACCTGAGCCGATGCCAATCTCGATCATGCCGGCTCGGATGGCATTGGCAATGTCCACACATGCCTGCAGACCAGAGGAGCATTGTCTGTTGAGGGACTTGACAGCGGTCGATTCCGGAAAGCCAGCAACGAGAGCAGCTGCGCGGTATTCAGTGGCACCACCTCCTGGAGCAAGCACGCAGCCCGTGGCAATGTCCTCGACAAGACTAGGGTCTATCCTTGAGCGCTCAATGAGGTTCTTGAAAGTGAGTGCCAATAGGTCCGCGGCGGCGGTGTCCTTCAGGAGACCTTTGCCGCCTTTCGTGAAGGGCGTGCGGATGGCACAGGTAACGACGACGTCGTCGGGCGATTTGGAGAGGATGGACTGCTTACTGCCACCGAGGTGGCTTGAAACCTGGGAGAGGCGGGCTTGTGCTATAATGCCAGAGTTTCACATGTTAGTGACACGAGGACAGATCGCACGGAGGGGTTACATACCAGCAGACATGTTGGCTCGTAGGGCAGAATCACTATGAAAAGTAGCAAAGGAAATAAACGTGAAAGGAGTCAAGATGAGAAGGAGAGAACGAGAAGAAGAGGATCAAGGAGTGTGGGAAATGTCTGAATGATTTATGATCACTGAAGTCACACGGTCCATGTAACCGTCTTCAATCTGTTTCTGGCAATTTTCTCTGTAGCATATGCGTTTGTTGGATTGCTTGATGCCGAGGCATGTGCGTGTTGCAGCGCAACAACTACGAATGAGGTCATGGATCGGTCACCGGTCACTCCGATGATTATTATTGTAGAACCACCGGAGCCGTTGCCTAATTCAGGTGGTGCGAGTATTCATATGCTGACCGGAAAATCTATTCTTCCGACTGCATTTTCCAAGACCTCGTTCGTTTTGTGCTCAACCGACAAGTTCGTCGCCCATTGCAAGCTTCAGCACGCCTGCACTCGCGATATTCCCCTCGCCGCATTACAGATATGGCGGCATCTGCGAGAGCCTCTCGCGCTCTGGTCTTCATGAAGCATTGTCGGCGCACTTCCATCGTCCCAAGTAGCAGCCGCCATGCTTCATCCCACGCCGTTTCTTCTCCGTCGCCATACGCACCCTCAAACTTCACCCGCCAGGTAGCACCACCCTCGACTGCATCGTCACCCAAGCCGGACGCATCCTACGACAGCTTCCCATCACCCTCCTCCTCCTCAGTTCTCTCCTCCCTCCCCACCCCACGACCGCTCTATGCACACCCAAAGTCCCGCTCCCCGCCTCCGCCGGTCGAAATCCCAGGCACCAGACTGACGCCGTACACATGGTTCCTGTCGCTGCTGGGCATCGCGCCCAAGCCGTCCGCGTCGTACACGCCGGCGCCCTTCCGCGTGACCAACAACCCGTATCGCGCGCGCAAGAAGTGGCCGCCCGACTTCCGCAACCTCGACCCCAAGCAACAGTTCCACTTCGAGAAGACGTACAGGAGGAGGGCCGCCTTGAAGTGGGCGCGGCCCAGGTGGAACAAGGCCATAAAGCTGCTACAGCAGACGTTGATCACGGCCACAATCATCTATTTCGTCTTCATCTGCGAGCCGAGTCACGGGCAGGGCACGCCATTTGACGGGGTAAGAGGGAGTTTCCTGCCCTTTGCCTTTCTCTTGAGGGGATTACTTCTGGATAGCCGTGCTAACTCATTCTGAAACAGTTTCGGATATGGTTCTTCGATAAGCTGGGAAATTTGGGTCAGTTGCCTGAATCTACTAGAGAAGAGGCGGATAAGTTGAGCGAGGAGGCGAAGAAAAGGATGAAGCAACCTGCCGAGGTCTCTCCTCAGGCCGCCACATCTTGAATGGACGTGGGCTTGAGCTATCTATGCTTTGATGTATCTACCTTCCATATCTTTATGTAGCGCCAGAACCCACCAATTCCCACCCAACATCTCCCATCCAGTCGGCTGCGAGGAAACACATGGCAGCGAATCGAGACTTATCATGTTTCCCCCTTTACCACACAACATCCCAACTTCCACACCGATCGAGAAGAGGTCTCAACGTTACGCTTTTCCCAGTCCAACAAGCACCAGCAAAGCCACATTCATCACTACCAGCACAAGCCAGATGATCGTAGCAAGGATCGTGACAATCCAACCATTCCGCATATTCACCGCTTCCCCGTTGTTGTCCGTCCTCACAGTCATGATGTGGCTTCGACAGGTGAACCAGAGGAGGGGGGCAGTGACAAATGGCAGGATGACACTGAGGCACACTTGGCTGGCAGTCAAGGCCGAGTTCAAGCCCTCTTTGCCCACTGCTGCTGCGATGATGATACTGGGGACGATGCTGATGGATCGGGTGATCAGCCTGCGTACCCAGGGCTTCACAGTCCAGTGCAGCATGCCCTCAGACACCATCTGGCCCGCCATGGTGCAGACGATGCCAGCAGATGTGCCCGACAGTAAAAGGGCCAGCGCAAAAATAGTACCTGCCGCCTTGGAAAGATTCTTACTGAGCAGGTCGTGGATGCCAAAAAGATCTGCCTCTGTCGCCTCTGTTTCCGGATAAAGCGACGCTCCTGAGACAATGAGAATGGCCGAGTTGACGAACAAGGCAAAAGTGAAGAGGGAAGAAGCAAGCTCCACGATCGAGTACTTGAGACAGGCTCGGATAGCATAGATGGAGGGCACGTATTTCTCCTCTTCATTGTCTGATTCCTCGCCCGCGACAATGTGCCCGTTCTGCGTATCGAATTGCTTTAGACGTGGCTGCACAACACCAGAGCCTAAAAAGATAGAGTGAGGCATGACTGTTGCTCCAATGATACCGCAGGACAAATAGACACCGTTTCCTTCAACAACTGCCGAAGACGGAAGATAGCCTTTAAATACTTCTCCGGCACTGGTGTCTTTGATGAATGAGAGTTGTATACAAAAGCATACCATAACACCAAGGACGAGGCTCATGACGAAATACTCAAACAGACGCAGGTGCATCATAGAGCCGTTTGGACGGTAGAAAAGGAGAAGAATCAGGACGTCCACCAACGTTATTGCACATCCTGCAATCAGAGGGATGTGCAAGAGAAGATTTAGGGCTATGGCTGAACCGATGACCTGGATGATTCAAGGTTAGATAGATATCAACAGAACAAGCCGCTTCAGCAAAGAGCCTGACTTACCTCTGCAATATCTGTTGCTATAATGGCAGATTCCGCAAACAAATAAAGAACAAGAGTTAACCACTTGGGCAAATGTTTCCGACAATTTTCAGCCAAGTTGAGCCCGGTGACGCTCCCTAGTTTGATGCAAAGAGATTGCAAGAAGATGGCAAACAGATTGGACATCAGGATGATGAATAAATGAGCATATCTCGTCGCCGCGCCTGCCTCGACATCCGTAGCATAGTTTCCTGGATCGATGTAGGCAACGGCAATGAGAAAACCCGGACCCACGAATTTTGCATACTTTTGCGCTGTGTTTATAGCCTTGTTCAAAAAGGCACTTGGGGAGCTGAAGAACTGAAATCCTCGAGGGTGGGTTTGTTGAAGGGCCGCTCGCTGCTGCTCCAGCGGATCAACCTTGACAGCGGTGGGTGATTTGAGGACACGGGAGGGTGATTCTGGACTGTCGACAGGCATGACCCGAATGTCTTCTTGGGCGTCATTATCCGGACTTGACTCTGTGCGTCTCTCTTCTCTGAGATTCACAATCCCATTGAGGTCTGCTCTGGTCGTTAGGTCTGAGCTCAGGGCCTGCGGGTTCTGGTTCCAGTCCGGGTGTGCTTCGGTGTCGTCTGTGCGTGAGGGGCAATTCATGATGATGACGCTGTCGAAGAAAGGTCTTTTTGGGCAGAAAGGAAAACAAAGAAGTTGAAGTGAGGACAGTATGAAAAGTATTAAATCATTTGCTACCACCCTATGTGGCCAATGTGACTATTGCCCCTTACACGGTTTCTTCCGATCATGATTTCTTTGCGGTGAGGGGAAGGAGTGACGAAGCAGCCGGCGGTGGCACAGCCTGGCGTAAGCAGCTTTTCTTGGAACGGACTTGGTCAGGCTTCAAGCTGACCAGGAATCGGTCTTCTGGCAGGAATCGGGAAGGTCTCGAAGTGTTTTTATCTCTGGGAGGACTCATGTAAGATCGCTGCTCGGGAGTGTGTGACGATGGTTCTCAATCCAGCTTGCCAGGTACACATTTGAAGCAGTCGGGTGCGGAAGAGGAATTTCCCGGGAAACACGAAACGTGGAACTTGCTGGATTATGCGACGAAAAGTGTTCAAGAGCTGAGACTTGCGGGGGAGAGGTTAGGACATGATTATTTCCTGTTGTCCGTCATGTTGTCATTGTTCATAGACTGATGGGATCGGGTTGAGTGATGGTGATGAGGGAGGTGGGATTGACATTTCGTCGTCACGCCTTTTGCTCGAGAGCCATACCAGTTCAATCCAGTGAGCTCCAAGTACCAGAGTACGGAATACTCGTACAAGGACTGGTCTTAGGCGGCTAGTGCCTAACGATAGGCGCTGCACCGGGCGTGCCCCAGACTTTCCAAGCCCAGTGGCTTGCTTCTGGGCTCTAAAGGCCCGCTAAACCCCTTGGCTCCTTCCATCTGACCCCATTTGGGAATGGCCGCCTTATTCTTTGGGGGGCTGGCTCCGTTTGCCCAGTACCAACGGCCAGCGCCCACGAGCCCGTGCCCTGGTGTCAGGCAAGTGCCTATTCCCGAGTTTCATTATTCCCAAACGCCTTTCAAAAAGTGGTGTGGAGATGGGCTGACGACTGCCAATGTGGCACCTCGATTGGCCGACCCTTCCACTCTCATCCCGCGACAGATCGAGTCTCGACATCCGAATGCGTGGAATTAATCTGTCAACATACTCTTCGTCTCAATGCTATCCAGCCTTGTCAACAGCAAACAGTACTCCGATCTCTCCACGGCATTTCTCATCTGAAAACTCTTCGACACCGCCCCGCTACCATTTGTGCTTCGATAAAGACCGCACCCATTACCTGCGAGAGCTTCACACCGCAGTCGAGTCCACCATTTATTTGCGCACCCGAGCAATCGTTCTTCTACCCTTTTAGCAATGCAGCAGCCGTAAATCTTTGTCCTTCTAGGCTGGGGGGAAGTCGGAGAATGATCAAGAGCGAACCTTTAGCGGTCGTTTCCACTTGTTGTTACTCGAGGACTACAATATGAACGCCAACAAGCCGTCCTATGCCCCTCTGCAGCGTCGCAGGCGGAGATCTGACCAGATTTCACCATCCTCTCCCTCCTATCCAAGACGACTTCTTGACCGTCCAAATAGATACAGCGAGGCGCTCAGTCCCGTCGACACGCCGTCCGCGACAGATGAGTCGGACAGCCCTTCGCTCAGCCTAAACCTCACACTCACATCTCCCCTCTACGACCGCTCTGCGTCCGTTCCATCCGTCCCTCCTTTTGTCAAATCCCCTCCGGTTGAACCGAAACATCAACAGAGATCCTCCGAGGAAACTGGGCGCCACAGACTTGGACCGCCTGACGAAGCTGCCCGTCCTGCGACAAGTGATGCGATCGATCGGAACAACGCCGTTCCCATCTCCTATGCAAAATCCCCAGTGATAGGATCAGACTACGCGTCTAAGCCGTCTGCTGTCCTTCCCTCTGTCCGTCTCGATACTGGAGAGAGAAAGGTGCTTGACCCGCCCGTCAAGCTGGGAGACAATGCGTTGTCTCCAAGCCTTAGAAACTACAGCTTTTCCACCCAAATATCAGACAAATCTGCGCATGATGAATCAGTTCCAGCAAAAGGACATACGGGAAAAAAGAGCAGGCTGAATCTGCTGAATCCAATGAGTTTATTGGCCCGTCGCAGGTCTTCCCAGAATCAGAAACTCGAGGATGTCAATCTCACGCTGTCGGTACCGGCCTTGCCAGATAATTTTGACCCAAGTATCCGAGGAAAAGTCGTCCATGACTTCTCTGTTCCACGATCGCGAAGGCTTTATTCTCACAACGACATCAGCAGTGTAGAATCTCCAGCGTTGCGTTCTGGGTACGGACCAGACCCCAGCAGAAGCAATGATTCACCCAATTCCCGTATGGTCCCAAATGGACCACCAAGTATACCACACAGCCCGATGTTCAAGGAACACTTTCAGGATGATCGACCATCATTGCAACCCGAACGGACGGGTTACCTACACAATATTCATACACTCACCATGCCCAACGACCACCTAGATGAGAGTAGCGTACCAGCATTCGCCAGACGGCTACCGTCCGCTGTTCCACAAGCAGGGCTGGATCCCAGGCCTGGATCACACGAGGACGGAAAGCCAGCACCGCCACGACCACCACCGGGAAAGGAGAATCTGCCGATGCCCCCGAGAGGACAGGCCTCCCCGGAGGCCTCCCCTCCGCCTCCGACGCCTCCTCCGAAGAGTACACCGTCCCCAAAGTTTGATATTCCGCCACCGGCGGCGATTCCAAAGCACATGACCAGTACTTCCTCACGATTTAGCTTTCAGATTGGAGGGGGAGGATCGTCAGCGCAAGAGAAGTTGCTCGAAGAGAAACATAAACAACATGAAGCGATCAAGAAGACCACTGTGCCGGATGGAGACGAAGAGGACGAGTTTGCTGACTATGACTTCGATGCGGACGACGGTTTAGAGGAAATGATCCCTGGAGTCAACGCAGACTTTGACGAAGATGATGGTTTCGGTAACGACATCCCGGTAGGGAATGCGCTTGTGGCTCGTTACGGTCCATCAGAAGCCGAAGAATTGATCGCGTCCGATGTCAAGACCACGACTTTACAGCGACAATCGCTACAAGGATTCCACTTTACTCCTCAATCCATGACATTTAGTCCCACGAGCACCAATAATGCATCACAGCCTACTCCCCGCGACCACGAAGGCTTTGCTATTGGGATTGCCGACTCGAGAGAGTCTTTCCAAGACGGAAGTCTAGAATTTCCTCAGAAAGACAGCGTCGTTGACGTTGAAAAGGTGCCGATGCTCGGAGGGCTGGGCATCACGACGGCCGAAATACACGGCAGACGCTCACGGCAGACCTCTCGTCCTCGCGGAGGGGTTTTTGATGATGAAGACCTATATTTTGACGATGGCGAGTTTGATCAAATCGAATTGGATCCTTCGGGAACAACTTTTGACGAACAACTATTTGATGACGATACAGGCAAAATCCGCGATATCCCAGCCGAAAATGCCCGAAAATTCGAGGCAGCCAAACAAGCAGCTGGTCTGGACGGGGAAGTGAAGGCTGTCAACCATTGGGAGGACGCCGTCGAAAAACTTTCAGTGAACCACAATGATCATCGGAACAGTGTCAACGCAAACTCTGGAGAAGTTGTTCCGAATAGCCACGGGAACTTCGGTCGTGGTGGTTCCATCACTGGACTCACCGAAACGAATCTCGCTGCGTATCACGACGCTTTGGCGTTCGCAGCCAACCAAGCTGCTGCAAATGGCAGATTTGATCGAAAGGTCAGCTTCAGTCAGAACTCAGATGATACTTCACAGTCGCCATTTGAAAGCAGTCAACTTGGAGTCGTCTCCGAAGATAGCCGTATCAGCTACAATTTTAGCTCCGCCATTGCTGAGGACGATGGATTTCCTTTCGACGATGATATGGATGACGATCCCATGATTGCAGAGGCCAACGCCGAGGTCCTGGAGAACGACGACGAAGGGTATTATGGTCAAGAGTTTGGGTTTTATGCTCGATCCTACGGCAAAGGCAATACAGAGCTTGTTAATGGCGGCTACTTTGCGGACCGGGGATCCAACGGGGTAAAGCGAAGTCACAGTGGGAAGGCCAATTTCCAGGAACCAAGCTTGACGCCAATCACCGAACGCAGTGAGTGGAGTACTCGCAACTCGGTGGTGTCATTGGCGATACCAGGGGGAATGCCTGCTTCAGCCCATTCGATGCCCAGCCCCGGGATTGCGGAGTTACTTCAACAACTTGACTCCCCGGGTTATGATGATGATATGAGCTTTAGCGGACTGATGAAGCTCAGAGGCAGAACATTTGGAGGGAGCTCGTCGAGTATTAGCAGCTCAGCAGCAGGGAACCCGGCTAGTTCCCCACTTGCGCACGTTTCCAACCATCAGTTCCCTCATTCGGATCTTAATGCGAGCCGGATGGCATCCTCAATTCATGGGCGGACGTCGCCAGCTGGAATCCCCGAGTCGGAGGAAGAAGATGAAGACTCTAAAAACCTTACATTGACACAGAACACGCCGCGGAAGAAAATGAGTGAGCCTGTGGTAGTAACATCACAGGAGGAACTACCATCGTCTCCGGGATCTGCTGGGTTTGAAAGACGGAAAGGCCATCACAGCCGGACCAGCAGTGGTGCGGAAAGCGTAAGTTATGCTCGTGATTTAGATGGTGGATGGGTTTTGGAGAGGAGAAGGACGGACGAGGGGAGCGGAACTGAAGTTATTGACCGCGAGTATCTAGCTGGAGCGCGGATCTGAGAGCAGGATAATATGCGGAAGTATACCTGCGAAAGATGAGGGTCGCCTGATTGGATATAGATTATGGCCTTGCAAAAGTACATTGGAGATGACGATATGATACCCCATAGAAACTTGAAATATATATACACTTGTATACGAGTACTCAGCAATACTGTGCTTTGTACAAGTATGTGATGCACAAGTACTTGGTACACTGTCAGCACTTGCAGAGAGGAGAAGGATTGGTTCGGCGTTCCTGCCAAGTTTAGACGCACCAATCACATCATGTTTATGATTCATGCATCTCTGGGTTGTCTTGGCATCGGCTATGTTTCCCCATTCACGTGCAACTTTTTTACAGGGCAGCACCTCTTCCTAAACTGGTTTGCGGGATTTGCGTAATAACAGCCTTGACCTTTGGATCTAGGTCTTCCTGACACTTCCGCTTCTCGCACCTTCAATCTCGACTCTTCGTTGTCTATCCCTAGTCTCAACCGCCTTCCACTCTCTCGTCAGTGGTGTGGCTCAGGTGCGGTTCGCTCATTTGAACCTGTTTTCTTCTCCTATGGATCATTCTCTGTATCATTAGCTCACCATCACCACCCACATCATGTATCGCTATGCTGCGGGCAAGCTCCCCTTGCGAGCTGCGCAAGCTTCAAGGGCTTTCTGCACTTCATCCAATGTCAGCGTGGTCTCCGGAGGTCGTCGCAATGCCCTCGTCGCCGGGCGGAAACCACTAGCTGTCATGGCTCACAGCTCAATGCAGCGCAGGAGCTATGCTATTGCAGCCGAAGAAAGCAACAAGGGCGTGGTATGTATCTCCCTAGGTGCTGCTGTGTGGAGAGAAGGATTGTCTGAACGTTCCAACAGGATCCTAACGATTCCTTCCTGCAAGGCAACACCGCGAACTACATCGACGAGATGTACATGGCATGGAAGCAAGACCCGTCGTCTGTCCATGTCTCGTGGCAAGCCTACTTTCACAACATGGAAGAAGGAACGATGCCAGTGTCCAAAGCATTCCAGCCTCCTCCGGGCCTCATTTCCCAAGCGGAAGGGGCAGCCAGCCTCGCTCCCAGCGCAGTGGCCGGCACTGCAGGCGAAGACGTCACAAATCACTTGAAAGTCCAGCTGCTTGTCAGAGCATATCAGTCAACCGGACATCACAAAGCCAAGACCGATCCTCTTGGTATCCGTGGCGAGGCAGAAGCATTCGGATACCGCAGACCAAAAGAGTTGGAGCTGGATCACTATGGCTTTACGGAGGCCGACCTGGACCAAGAATTTGTCCTTGGACCAGGTATTCTCCCCAGATTTGCCACCGAGTCGCGGAAGAAGATGAAACTGCGTGATATCATCGCTGCCTGCGAGAAGATCTATTGCGGGTCATATGGTGTCGAGTACATCCACATTCCGGATCGAGAGCAATGTGACTGGATCAGAAACCGGATTGAAGTGCCAACCCCGTACAAATACTCTGTGGATGACAAGCGCCGCATCCTCGACAGACTGATCTGGAGCTCCAGCTTTGAAGCTTTCTTGGCCACAAAGTACCCCAACGACAAGCGCTTTGGATTGGAAGGTTGCGAGACTCTCGTTCCGGGCATGAAAGCCATGATTGACAGGAGCGTGGACTATGGGATCAAGGACATTGTCATTGGGATGCCGCACAGAGGAAGACTGAACGTTCTCAGCAACGTCGTCCGCAAACCCAACGAGTCCATCTTTAGTGAATTTTCGGGCACCACTGAGGCAAGTGACGAAGGCTCCGGCGATGTCAAGTACCATCTCGGCATGAACTTTGAACGACCGACACCGTCTGGCAAGCGCGTCCAACTGTCCCTGGTCGCCAATCCTTCTCACCTGGAAGCCGAGGATCCCGTTGTGCTGGGGAAAACCAGGGCCATTCAACACTACAACGATGACGAGAAGAAACACCAAACAGCGATGGGTGTCTTGCTTCACGGTGACGCTGCCTTTGCGGCTCAAGGGGTGGTCTACGAAACGCTGGGTTTCCATGCTCTCCCTGCGTACTCCACTGGTGGTACGATCCACATCATCGTTAACAACCAGATTGGGTTCACCACCGATCCCAGATTTGCCCGATCGACTCCTTACTGCTCGGATATCGCCAAGGCAATTGACGCTCCCGTTTTCCACGTCAATGGCGACGATGTAGAAGCTGTCAACTTCGTCTGCCAACTGGCCGCTGACTGGAGAGCTGATTTCAAGAAAGACTGCGTCATCGACATTGTCTGCTACCGGAAGCAGGGTCACAACGAGACGGATCAACCGGCCTTCACTCAACCGCTCATGTACAAGCGAATAGAGTCCATCAAGCCTCAGATCGACAAGTATGTTGACAAGTTGATCCAAGAGGGCACCTTCACCAAAGAAGACATCGACGAGCACAAGAAATGGGTTTGGGGAATGCTCAATGACAGCTTCGATCGAAGCAAAGACTATCAACCTACAGGCAAGGAATGGCTGACCTCCGCCTGGAATGGCTTCAAATCGCCCAAGGAGCTCGCCACTGAAGTCCTTCCCCATCCTCCCACTGGAGTTCCATCTGATATGCTGAAAGAGATCGGGGCAAAGATTGCTGATGCCCCGGAGGGTTTCACCGTCCATCGTAACCTCAAACGTATTCTCGCTGGTCGCAAGAAGGCTGTTGAGGAGGGCAAGGGCATTGATTGGTCGACGGCCGAGGCTCTCGCCTTCGGCACTCTTTGTCTTGAAGGTCACCATGTTCGTGTGTCCGGCCAGGATGTTGAGCGAGGCACCTTCTCCCAGCGTCATGCTGTTTTGCACGACCAGGAGACTGAAGCGACCTGGACACCTCTCAATAATCTTGCCAAAGAGCAAGGAGCCTTTACCATCTCCAACTCGTCCTTGAGTGAGTACGGAGTTTTGGGTTTTGAATATGGCTACTCCCTCTCGTCGCCCAATGCGCTTGTCATGTGGGAAGCGCAATTTGGAGATTTTGCCAACAACGCCCAATGTATTATTGATCAATTCATCGCATCGGGAGAGGTCAAGTGGCTGCAAAGGTCTGGCCTCGTCTGCTCTCTCCCTCATGGTTATGATGGACAGGGACCTGAGGTAAGTTTTTATTCACAACCCTGTCTGGACTGATGAACAAGACTAACTTCTTGGTCCTACAGCACAGCAGTGGCCGCATGGAACGGTATCTGCAACTCTGCAATGAGGAGCCTCGAGTATTCCCGTCACCAGACAAGCTTGATCGACAGCACCAAGACTGCAACATGCAGGTGGCATACATGACGACGCCGTCCAACTACTTCCACATTCTCCGACGACAGATGAACAGGCAGTTCAGAAAACGTGAGTAAAAACACTATCCCTGGGAAAACGTGGTGCTTGACTGACATACTATCTGCTACTAGCATTGATTGTGTTCTTCTCGAAATCGCTTCTTCGCCATCCTCTTGCCCGGTCCGACTTGGAAGACTTTACGGGCGATTCCTACTTCCAATGGATCATCCCAGATCCAGAGCACGGCAAGGGAATCGTTGAGGCAGACGAGATTGACCGCGTCGTCTTATGCACGGGTCAAGTGTATGCAGCTTTGCATAAGCACCGTGCGGACAAGGGCATCAAGAACGTGGCAATCACCCGCATCGAGCAGCTCAACCCCTTCCCATGGGCACTATTGAAAGAGAATCTCGACACTTATAAGAACGCCAAGACGATCGTTTGGTGTCAGGAGGAGCCTCTCAACGCTGGAGCATGGAGTTTTGTTCAACCACGGATTGAAACGCTACTGAATGAGACGGAGCACCACAACAGACGGCACGTCATGTACGCAGGCCGAGATCCTAGTGCCTCGGTCGCGACGGGTCTGAAAGCCACCCACATTAAGGAAGAGCAAACGCTGCTCAATGACGCCTTCACGGTCACGCAGGATAAGCTGAAGGGTGAATGACTAGCCGACGGCGTGACGGGGGCGAAAGTGGTAGAGGGGTGATGATAATGATGAGATGTGAAAATCTGTCACAGAGGAGGAGGTTGTGACAGCATTGCTCTAAGCGTGGTGGAGGTGATGGAGACTGGCATCAAGGGCTGTCGGCATTGTGTCTGTGGTGTGGTCCTCGTAGGACAGCATCTGGCAGCAATACCTAGCACCTGCCTGACTTCCTGATACCCACTGCCTTGCAAATATCAGTACAAAGTTACTAAGTCCGTATATGTAGGTGCTCTCTATGGCAGTAGCACTATTTGGCTTATCGTTGTTCGGCTACTATGTTGAGAATCAAAATGTCGTCAAGTTGAATTATGATCGAATTGAATACAATGACCTACTCTCTTTTTCAGTTCGCCTGGCTACCTGTAGTAGGTATGTAAGTTTGGGTGAAGGCATCCACGCGAGACTGGCCGAGTCCCCCTCCCTCCCGCAAGGCTTGGCTTGGCAAGGTTTTGACAAGGCATGACAGGGCTGAGAATCTCCCTTACCCCGGCCCCCCTGACCACCGTGACCCCTCGTAAAAGTTCCAAGGTTCTTTGTTTGACAACAAGACTTCACGTGGACAGTCATGCAGACTATTTTTTTTTCAGAGAGGCAGAGATTGGGAGAGATGGGAGAGATTGGGAGAGATGGGAGAGATTGGGAGAGATGGGAGAGATGGGAGAGATGGGAGAGACGGGACAGAAAAGACAAAGGTAAGCGAGTTCTCTCTCTCCCCCTAATTCGACAATAGACGGGTAGCTAGGCGCCGAGTCGAGTTGATCGGTTGATTTGTTGGTTGATTGAGCTCTGGCAGACATTGGACATTGGGCATTCGGGCACCAACCACGCGTAGGCTTTGTTGTCTTTTGGTTTCTTGTTCTCCTTTGTCTGTCTATTCTTTATTGGCTCGTACAGAAAGCCGTGCGTCTGGGACAAAGTGGGGAGAGAGAAACAAGGCTGATCTATCAGGAGAGAAGGACAGTGAGGAGTGGAGAGTGCGAGAGAGAGAGAGGGAGAGTGCGAGAGAGAGAGAGAGAGAGAGAGGCTTTCAGTATCCGAGACAGAAATAATTGGTCGAAACCCCTTTTCGTCGTCCTTGTCGTGTTGTCTATGCATTAGGCATGAGGTATTGGCAATGCATATGAAAAATGCCGTGAAGCGGTGAAGTAGTTTCGGTTGAAGCGAAGGATGTCTCTCTCTCTCTTTCCGTGTACTCAATCACTGGCTCACTTTGAGGAAAGTCAACTGTCTTGTCCATAACAAAGGAACAACCCCTATTAGCGACGAATGAGACTCACCCCCTTTGCAGCAACGGAAACTCACAACCGCCTGGTTCCGCTCTGTTCTGCTATGCTCTGCTCCGTTAACTGCCCTGCTTCGAACTGCCCCATGTAGATTGAATTGAACTGAATTGATTGTCCAAGGCAGTTCCAGCGTCTCAAAATCTTGCCTTGATGTCCTTTGTTTGCGGGGGAACGCAGTCCTGCCCTGCCCCTGGCCAAGGCTGTTGCTTTGTCGTCCAGCGAGACAGTATGCTCAGGCATTGTCGACAACTGTGCTTTGGGTGCAAGGCAAGGCATCTCGATGCCACAGCCTCGCCGGGGTTTGATGCCGATGCTGGGGACCACGGCGATCCCTTAAATAGCAGGGAAGTGTACCTGTTCTTCCATCTGCATTCTCGGAGTGAATCTCAACACAGCAACAAGATCGTCTTCTGAAGCCGTTACTTCATCCCTCTGCAACCAAGTAAAGCAAAGCCAGCCAGCAATTCCGATACACTCTCAAAGGCCAAAAACACAGAGACAAAGCAGCAGCAGCAGCAGCAGCAGCAGCTCGTTGTCCTCCTCAAACAGCATCAACCGTCGTCGGTAAGGGGCCACTAGGTACCTACCTAACCTTCTCCTTTTCTTCCCCTTCGCGGTAAAGCCTTCGATACTTCTTCGACAGCGGTAGTACCTCAACCCATGGACAAGAAACAGCGTGCTTCAGTGCGTTCCTCGATGAAGTACGGTCAGTTGTCTCCTTACTATATAGTACCATATACCAATACCTATCTGACACCGTTAGCAGGATCGGTGGGGACGAGACCAGGAGTCCACGAGCATAGGACAGACAACGAACCTCGTGTCTACTCCGAACTGCCATCCTTCCCTCGTTTCGACCAACCGATCCCGCCCGAAGCGTCTCTGGAAGAGCTCTGCAGCAAGTATCCGAACCACATTCGCGGGTCTTACCTTGACGCCTTCATCCAGTGGCATTGGTCGGCCACTGACATCTACTCCTGCTTGACCGACAAGGCCATCGAGGAGTTCAAGTCGTTCGGTATCACGAAATCCAAGGCCTGGGCGAACCGAGCCAATTTCTTGACAAAGAGACTCGACGCCCGCCTGTCGGGCCTTTCTGCAGAAGAAGTCACCGCCTTGTGCACCGCACCAAAGATCCGACCGTGCATGATGGACGGCACTGAGAAATACGGCGCGTCGAAACTCCAGGGCAAGTTTCCCAATCCCACTGCTCCAGCGATTCGGAGATACCCTCACCGTCAAGCTAGAGACGACAGATCCCCTCGACAACTGGCATTGACAAGAACATTCAAGCACAACGGGAGAGAGCACCAGCTTTGGGATTCGGCCGAGGACCTGCAGCGGTACAAAGAATGCATGGTGGGTTACTGGAGCCAGTCGCGAGCGCGTGCTGGTCAGATCATCGATGCCGACACCGTGTATAGTGCTAGCCAAGGTCTCCAACGCAAGCGACTCATTCTGCGCATGACAAACTGGCCATGCAACTCTGCGAGCGAGAGCTTCTTCAGCTTTCGGAATATTCGCAATTGCCCAGCCTTCGAAAGTGCAATCTTTGACCTGGTCGCAGCGCCCGTCATAAGTATGCTGGATTCTCCGAATGTGCAGGTCTCGTCTCAGCCACTGCGTACGGCTCGAGAGGCGGCAGTGTCTTATGTTCTGATGGTCCAGATCGCCAGATTGGCAAGATTGAACGACGTCGTGGTCGCGATCCCGGCCGGAGAATTGACGGCTGGGCTGGTGGATGAAGTACTGTCATGGACTGCAGACCTTGACAGCGATGCCTCCAAGGCGGTGCAACCGGGCTTTGGTACTGCACATCCGCAGTCAGAAGACGTCCCTGTCTCCCATCAGAGTAACCTGGAGCCTGAGAGAACGCCAAATTCCAGCGACTCAGGTGCACTGTCCTCACGCGGCTCGAAGCGAGATAGACCAAACTCTCCAACCGCGGCGAAACCTGCCAAGCGAGTGAGATTTGCCGAATCCGACACCGAATTGGAATCTACGGATTTGGCCACAGATGCAAACGGGAACCTCGACGAAAACCCGACTTCAGCCATCAAAGGAGAAGACGTCGCTTTGTCTCCCAATCTGCCGATGCAAGATATGCTTGAAGGGTTCGATTTGGATCCTTTACCATGGGATCCTATCCCTGGTGGGTTAGATCTCGCGTTGGATTTGACGGCCGCCGACTTGCCAGTTGAGTATGAAGAGACTGAATCCGAGTGGGCGACGATATTGTCAGAAGCTTTTGACCAGGATAGTGCCGACGCAAACTCGAATGACGAGGTAACGACATCTTCGGACTTGCCGGAGCTGGCTGACAACGACGAAGAGTGGTTGCGGGAGGCCATAGAGAATGCGGCGGAGTTTCACGGTGATGCAATCCCTTGACTCCATGAGGCGTGAGCATTGTGACTGAAGCCTTCCATGGAGGCAACAGGATGTCTTTGAAGATGGCCGTGGCGGTACCTGGAGAGTCTACCGTGCAGACGATATGATGTTGGGTTTCTTTCTACGACGACTTCAGGGCGTCCGCTTGCCGAGGATGACGGCCGAAAAATAGGTCCTGTTTTCCTTCAGGGGCCTGTTGCTGTGAAGTGGTCCCGATAATATCGAGGGTATCAGCAGCGATAACCTCTGAGAACCTCCTGCAGATCGCTTGGACGAATGTAAGCACGACGGATGGAGTGGAGGGGAGACGGATGTGTTAAGTAGAGCAGTGAATCGGTGTTCAGACGGTGGCTGAGCAGTCCTAGCAGTTACTTGAGCGAGTGACGGCAATCTGCCCTTGTTCTTAGTAACGTCAATCCAATACCGAATCTTTCAGTCAAAGCCATAGGTTCTGACGATCTCTTTTCAATTGTTTCTTTCCAGCTGTATCAATCTCGAAAGGTAGTAGGCGGCGAGGCGGGTATGGTTAAGAACAGGTGGGCACGGTTGTATTCGACAGGTTCTATGTGTGTAAATGCTGGTAGTCTTGAAGCCGACACTCGATATGCAGCATGCCTTCGAAGCAGCTTCCAAGTGTTTGTACTACCCATTTCTTTCTTGCTGATCGACTTGATGGACAGGCCATGGCGTCGCTGAGGAAGACTTCTCTCTCTACTGGGAGATGGTAAATCAGTGTCTCTTCGTAGGAAAAATGGATTGTATACGCCTTCCATGTTCAAGGGAAACTTGAATCACTTTTGCTTGAGTCAGATCATGTCGCAGGCCATGAGCCCGCGGCTGATGGAGCTGTAAGTCCCATGTACTTTATATCCTCCGCAGACTATTGCATGGTCATCTTGTAGGTAGCTGGACGGGATTGAGAGCCAGACTCACCTGTCTGCGTTCACAGCTATACTGGCAGATTCCTGTCAACAGGCCGACTGCCGAAACTGACCAGTCACCCCTGACAAACAGAGTCTTGTCGTTCCCCAGCCGTGCACAGTGTGTCATAAAAACCAACATCTCTTTGTCTCACAGACGCTCACAGGAGACCTGGTGACTACCACTTCGAATGTTGCCATCAGTGAGCTATCACACGACTTTGTTTGCTGCTCAAGTCGCGTGGACAGCGCTGGAAACACCGGCTAAGGGCGGAGATAGTTGGGATCTTGGTTCGTCGTTGTTTCGAGGTTCAGGGCTGCTGATTAGCAGGCCGTTGGAGAGCACCCTGACCTGTGGAACATGTGTCTAAGCCGCATGACTCGGGATTTGCAGCCTCTCCTTGTTTGGTGTCATTGAAGATGAGGGCGGTCTGTTTGCATGGCTTCAGCATTTAAGTCGGTTTTTGCAACTTGATGGTGCCTGTAGACTGTAGTGCGATCATGGTCATCGAGCCAAGTGTCCCGTCAAGACGCAAGGTGTCCGACAGTCACTGCCTCACTGCACCGCACTGAAAGTGATATCAATCCTCCTTGGCGCGTTCAAAGCTGTGACAGTCTATTCACGACTGCAGGTCAGCTGGACAGAACAAAACAAACCCAAACCCCCAAAGCGCGTCTTCGTTCTTCGACCAAAATTTTCCTTCCTCATCTTCGTTCCACAGCACAATTCTCCTGGAAACCTCATTCAAGAAAAGACTCATTCAGTCCTCAATCAAGCAAAGCCTTGTTCAATCCTCATTCAAGAAAAGCCTCGTTCAGTCCTCAGTCAGGCAAAGCTTTGTTCAGTCGTCAAGCAAGAAAAGCCTTGTTCGATTCTCATCCGAGAAAAGCCTTGTTCAGTCCACAGTCGACACAATGAATCAACAGTCGCTTCCCACCACCCCTGCACCGGCAGGACAGCAAGCAAACACAAACCCTGCTCGCACACCACGAAGCCGCCCAGTGGTTCCTCGCTCTGACTCACCTCAGTTGGTACCTGCAAACTTCCGATTTCCAACAGGTGCAACAAGGTTGGGCACGGGGCTCAGATCAGGTCAAAACTACCTAGTCCTCAGGGATGGTGACCGCCACCCCGTCACCAGGGTGTCTCTTATCATAGAGCGTGGCCGAAGTGACCGCCACCGAGGAGGGCATTACCCTCATCAAGACACTCCGCTTCCCGCAGGACTCACCCTCTCATCAATCATCCTCTTCTACCCGAGGCACGCCTGGGGCACAATGCTGCGCATCTTTCTTGCTGAAGGGTGGGGCGCCGATCGAATTTGGCACCTCATGCCTACCGATATGAGAAATACCAGGGGGGCAACCCGGCCCTGGAACTATATTCAGGCGGCCATGGGCCGAGAGATAGATAGAATGGCCTTCGAAGAGACAGGAGTTCGACGGGTACCCCCGAGGAGGGAAAGAAGAAGTGCATACAACGACTCCGAAGAGAACGAGCAAGATGCTCACGGCGCTCTGGGCACTGGAGCTAGTGCTGCAACATCAACGTCAGCCTCTCACCACCAGACAATACTTGCAGAGTCTGATCTCACGACCAGACAACTGCAGGAGATTACAAGAATCACCCAGGCAAGAGGTCGTGAGCTTCAGCAAGCGATCCTCGCCCACCATGTGGGAGACGAGGACGCACAAGTGAGGAGGTGGAGACAACGCCGCCAAGACTGGGGGACACAGATCAGTGACGCCTACACGAGCGACACTGGGGAGCGCATGACCACAGCCAACCCCATCCAGATGCTCCGACTCCTCTGGCGCTGCCAGAATCGACAACTCCAGGACCAGACACTGGAGGACTATCAAGCAAGGGCCAACTGGGAAGCTTGGAACATGTTTGCGAGACAGTCCCAAGTGTTCGTGAGGGAGCTTGAGGCAGAGTTGGCGGCAGCGCAAGAGGCTGTCAGTGAAGAGTGAGAGAGCGCCGGTTGGAAGTGGGACGCGACGGTGATCTTTGTTGTTGATGAGGGGGTCCGTGGAAGTCAGATTTGTTTGCAGCGATGTGAGGTGGGATGGCGGCTCAAGGAAGACAAGGCACGCGATGAGCGCAGTTGAGGATCACCTCACTGCTCGCGGCGTGTTTGAGATAGACGAGTTCGTCTTCTGCTGTGTGTTTTGTGTGCGGTTGAATGAAGGTGAGGAAGGCCTCGCCGGGAACGGACTAGCGCAGGACGGATAATTGTTGTTGCCGAGCGCGTCCACTCCGGCCAGTTTACGAGGTACACACATTGCATACCAACAAGGAGGCACGGAGGGTTATATACAATGGAATTCACATCCCACACACAGTCGAGGTTCCTTGTCCTTGCATCCCAAATTCTGTTGTTATGGAGAATGTATTCTTCGTCTCCATCGCCTCAATCCTGAATATCGATATCGACCACCTGCATCAATCTGTGTCCTCTGTTGAAGTTGAAGCCACTTCCTTACGCGGTACTTACTCTGTGATTGTGTGGTGGCCAACGTGATGGCAAATCATCGGTTGATATACTTGATATTGCCTCAGTTGAGTGCTCTTTTCGTACAAGCTATGTACCTCGATGAGAGCTCAAGGACCGCCGTTTGCGATCGAGCCTGACAATCTCAGGGGAGAGTAACCGTCGTTACCATCGTCCGGATGACTTTGGCGTCGATCTACTGTTTTGTCTTCCGCTATGAAATTTGGTAGAAAGGTGCAAGTGAATTCGCAGAGTAAAAATCGTTTCACTGATCATTGTCGTCGGACATCAATACTATATATATCACTCAGCGCCTGATGTTCGCACACCTGGCCATCCATTGACCAAAAGAAAAACACAAATGATCTTTACAGAGTGTAAACCTCCCCACTGTCCTCCAGAAACATGATTTGATTCGCCTCATTCATCGTCCTAAGCGCAGCAGTAATCTCCTCTTGGGAGAATTCGGTGCCGCGAGCCTCAGACACGCGATGGTTAACGGCAGCACTGACATCCGCAACAGTAGCCATGTCATTCTGAAACAACGACGTCTGGGTCAGGGCGCCCAAAGCAGCACGGAAAGATGCCAGCCGTGGCTGAGAAATCCTCGACTCTGACTCTGTTTCACCTCCCGGCGGTGCCGTATTCGGACCTTGGGACTGCGAGTCGGCTTGAGTCGACGGCAGCTGGGAACTGGGTATGGAGCTGGCTATGCTCATGCGAGACATTTGCGATTCTGTACCTGTCTGTCGCTGACTTCGGGAGGAAGTAGCCTGCGCGTCCGACTCTGCTGAATCGTCGCTTCCAGCATTCGCATTGCTACTAACTCTTCCACGTGACGTGCCATTTGTTGTGGTATTGGTGCGGGTCGAACGCTGACTCCTCGTCTGTGGTTTGGACCCTCGAGCACCGCTTGATCTTGTCCCACGATATGGTGTGTCGTCGTCACTATCGTTGTCCTCGCTTTCCGAGTCGCTCTCCGCTTGCGAGGTATCATCGTTGGCATCACGGGTCTTGCGTCGCTTGTTTCGCCCATCCCCTTTGACCGCAATTTCTCTGAAGAGGGCAAATTTGAGGATCTCTTCTGCCGCAATGGCATCACTCTCTTCGACCCTGCTAGATAGTCGAGCCTTCGCATGGGCTGTCGATAATCGGATCAGCGTCTCCAACGTTCTTGCTGTCATGGGACTAGTTCTGCGCTTGTTTGCTTGTAGTTCATCGTTCCGAAGATTGGCATAGGCGTTGACGACATAGTGGCTCGCCTCTTCCGTCAAGACCGGCTTACATCTGCTCTTTGCATACTGAATGTACTTCTTGATGAAGCCCATACTGACAGGCTGGACTTTTTTGTTTCCTCTTGTCCTTTCGCCAGCCATAAAACCGGAATGGAGCACCACATTGAACTTTTCGTAGACCAACGAGGTCTGACTGGCATTCTGGTCTTCTTGGACACCAACTCCAAGCATTTGATTGGATTGTTCCCGGAGAGGAGCTCCTTCTTCAGTCCCTGGCTGACGATACTGGTGCATTCGAAGGACATGCTCCGAGACCTCCCGATCTCTTTTATCATCAATATCGTCCGTGACGATGAAGAGCAGATCGAAACGAGACAAGAGCGAATCGGGAAGGGCGATGTTCTTGTGAGGATCCTTGTTGCTATCATATTGACCGAAAATGGGGTTGGCAGCTGCAATGACGCTGCATCTGGCGTTCAAGGAGGTATGGATCCCCGCTTTGGCAATGGTGACGGTCTGCTGTTCCATGACTTCGTGGATGGCCACACGGTCCACGTCGCTCATCTTGTCGAATTCATCAATACATACTACCCCACGGTCTCCCAAAACCATGGCACCGGCTTCGAGTCTCCTCTCCCCAGTTTCCTTGTCCGAGGTGACGGCAGCAGTGAGACCGACTCCGGACGAGCCACGGCCGGTAGTCGCAATTGCCAATGGTGCGGTGTTGAGCACGAAGCGCAATAGTTGGGATTTGGCTGTTGAAGGGTCGCCCACCATGAGGATGTTGATATCACCTCTCAAATGGGTGCCATTTGGTAAGTTCTTTTCCATTCCGCCCAAGAGCATGAGCAATATTGCTTTCTTAATGTAGTCGTGCCCATAGATACTGGGCGCCAGACTCTGCGACAGCAAGTCGAAGACATTGTGCTTACGAGCCATTTTGTTGATGTTTCTCACGTCCTGATCCGTGATTGTGGCTTGGGCAATTCCTCCCCCGGCTTTTGAGGACAGAAGGACGATGTTGTTGGCCAAGATGAGGGTCCGAAAGATCGATGATCCCGATCCAGCATTTCTGTTCCCCAATGACCTAAAGATGCCCACCAACTGGATACGGTCCCCAGGCTTGACGCGATCAACCATGTCATCGTCCAAGAGAACATCAACGCTTCGGGGAAGTTGCCCTGCCGGTGCTCGCTCAGGCATTTCCTGGATGCTGATTGTTTGGTGATCGCGATAGGTACAATAGCCATATTCTGTGACCAACTGTATCCAAGTTAGTTTCACGACAAAAGCAAGGTGGACAAGAGTTCATCGTACAGCATTTCCCTCCCCATCTTCCTGTGGATACACACTCAGACTGGCAGGAGCATTGGCACTCATAGTCTGATCCCTGTATTCTCTGAACATGAAAGTGCCTTTTTTCTCATTCCAATGCACACTTTTGACAATCTTTGGTCTGACCAGACTGCACTTTGTGACAATGCCTTCTAAACAGACCATTCTATTCAGCAGAGAGCTTCCCAATGTTCTAGGGTTGCAGGTATTCTCCCCAAATGAGCCCGAATATGCCACATAATATAGACGGTCCTCATCTTGCTCGAAAGGGGCACGGTTGGGTATGGTGCCAATGATATTTTTGAGCGCCGCATCGAAGGCAAGAGAATAGTCAAAGGGTGTGTGGAGGATGCCGTCGGCGAGTTCTCGAGAACGGGCTCGAATGTCGTCAATGCTAACCACAAGTCGTCTCAGACCGCGGTTTAGCATCAAAACGATGTCGGCACGATAGGACCGGGCTTCATCGTCGGTAGGGTCGAGGAATTCAGTCGCAAGTCTGATTCTATTGCGGACCGCTTCGTCGCGCAGCTGAGTAGTACTGAGCGCCATTGTGCACGACCTGTTGAGTGTGAGTGGTGAGGGAGGTTCTGTGCAGAGGAGAATAGAAGGGGGGCCATGGGCTTGGAGGAGAAGGTGTCGCGTATCAGGGGACGCGTCGCGCGTAGAGCGCGTAAATTGATTCGGTCAAGCAAATATACTAGCTGACGTTACTACGGTAAAGCATTTAACAACAAATTGCACTCACCCACAGAAGCGTTCATCACTCGTCCTTGTCTCTGTGTCATGGACACCCAATGGATGCCTGTGGAACTGATAACCTAACTATTGAAAAAGTCCTGTTCTAGACTTTCTTACATCTACGCTGGCCATCGAGTCTTCTCCGACAACCCGAGTCGACAAAGGGTACAGAAGTCCGCGAAGCGGTTAACTCGGTGACAACGCTCCCACACCATGAACGAGCGATGAGGACCATGTGAGCTCCAAGCAGAGTGAGTGATGGAACGGTATGCATTTTTTACTTCATTCGAGCTACTCATTTTAAGCAGGCAAGAGCATCATCTGAGTTCTGACACTCTCGGGAGGAGAGGGACGTCCTTCTGGTCAGCAATCTGCCCTCGTTTGACTATTAAGCCGTTGGCTTCTAGACACTCGTGGCAAGGGTCTAGCAAACGTGACAGCCTTGCCTATCTGGACGATCTCTCCGTCGCCGAGAAGAAGCTTGTCCTGGGTCAGAGGAGTACGTCCCGGTCGCTACTAACAACAGGGCGGGCTTGCTCATGTACTCGGGTAATGCCTTTTGTGGAGCATCATCAATTTGCGCTGATGAGTCCGCCGTAAGGGTGGACGAACGCAATGTCCCAAACCCAACCATCATGTCCGGAACTTCGCAGAAATGTTGACGCCACCTTCGAATCGACTTCAGTATCACAAGGCTCCGGTCCAAGGGCGGTTCCTCGTCTTCATTCGGAATGTGTACGAGTAAGCAGAGACCCAGCCAGACACGGCCTTGCTTGGCACCAAAATGGCTACAACCCGTTCTCATGATGCGAGCATCGTCTTCGGGTCGAGATCCTATGCGTGGAAGTGTTGAGACATCTAAACACGATCCTGTGGCTACGCCCGTGTACTGTCAGCCAGCCAGCATCCTCACAAGGCAAGGCTATACCAGCGAAGCAAAATGAGAGGCAGGGGCAGGTGGTAGCCGAAAAGGTTGCAACCTGTGCATTCTGTTGGGCACCGAGGCGTGGAAAAGACCACGCGGAGTCCATGTGCTGGAGCGGTACTCGTATGAAGAGGATGCACGGAGGCGACAACAGTCATGGTGAGGTAGCATCGGTAAATCTTCGCTCTACAAGGAGCGTTAGTGAGATCCAAGGCGGGTCTACTAAGCTATGTTGCATGGAGGGAGTGGAGTCGAGATGGGAATCTACTCCATCCAGGTCAATGAGCTGCAAGAGAATCATGATTCTAGAAGGATTCAGGAGGGAGTGATCAATCATACCACTGATTGTAGTGGAGCTCAACTACAAAGAGAAAAACTTTGCGTTGTCTCATTGTTGTGGCATTTGGCCGTTGAAAATGCCACACCAGACGGAGTATGAGGTTCTCGAGGTTGTAATAATAATGATGGGCTGGAGTGAAAAGTCTTTGCTGGCTTTGTGCCGAATAATTTTAGCGGCTCGCAGCCACGGGAAGGCGCTTGGACCTACAGTAGGTGCCTAAGAGTTTACCTGGGTATACAGTGCGTCCCTATGTACATACTTACCTGGGAGCAAAGTATACTTGGGCACCTTGAGCAAACAGGCAAGAAAAGGTTCCTTGGGTGGTCCTGAAGCCCCCGACAATACATGTAGATGGTAACCAACGGCCCTAGGTAACTTCCTAGGCAGGTATACGCCCCTCCTCCGGGGTTCTTTGGCCCTAAAGTTTTCCTTGTCAGCCTGGACATGCCTACTAAGGCATTCTAGGCATTATTGATCAACCTCTTGCTCGCGATCAGCTGCTGTCAAATACTTTTGGTAGCGGTTACAACCCGCAGTGCCCGCACTACAAGCTGGACGAGTTTCCCGCTTAAACCTTCGCACCATCCAATACCCGAGGAAATTGTCCTGTGCCAGGGCCTCTCAGTGGCTCTCTTGAATTTTCAGTAACTCTAGCTCTTCCTTCCTCTCACCTTGTCGTCATCACTCACATCATTTTCATCACCCGTCACCGTCTATCATCCTCTCATCGACCGATGGCTGCATTGGCTTCTTTTCCACTGTCAGTCCTCCCCTCGTCCGAACCTGGTCCCACGATTCTCAAGGTCAAATTCTGCCAGAGCAGCCCGCCACAAAGTGTCTTCATCGTTGTGTCAAAAGTACGAGTAATACTTGCCCTACACACCCCCATGGGACGACAACGATGATACCTATCCCCGCTTAGCGAGTTCCGCAAATCTAATCTCGGAGGCTCCGTCCTCGGTCGAGGTTAGTTCACGAGATTTTTTTGCGAATCGCCTAAGCTTTTTTCGCGCCCCCGGACCTTGACATCCCTGGCCAACGTTACAGCGTGCTAAACGAACGACCACCAGTCAGCCATTGTTGGTTGCAGCGTTTTGCCCCACGGGGACTGAGGGGGGGGATTCCCTGCCAAAAGACCTAAGACCTGGAACTGGGATCCCGTTCCTTCAATAGGGAGCCAAGCATTGAGCAAGAAAGAGCCGGACTCGCCTTGACCAAGACAAGCAGGGAAACAAAGACGTCAAAATGCCAATATTGAAAGTTTCTGGCGAGCACCCGTGGCCAATGGAGCCGCCGCCTCTGACGTCTGATGGTGTCTCAAAGAAGGCTGTCGTTCAGCCACCCCGGAGCCCTTTAGTCCTGTTTGGGGCAGGTCACCGAACATCACCCACTGGTGCACTGGGGACCACGGTGGAGGCCAGCGGTAGGCCCATGGATCAGCAAGGAGCTCGGCTTGGAGAGCCTCGCTGGCTTCTCTGCGCGGGGCGGGAAACCAAAACTGGACCAACTCCGTAACTCCGCGTTTTGCAAGGTGATGCAGTCCTTCCAATGGTATGCAGCCTCTTCACCAAAACACCTATATCACGGGGGCAACTAAAACTCTGGCGATGGCACGCTGGCATGCTGGCACGCTACTAACCCACATTTCCCCTTGTCATGGTGCTCTGTGGGTTGCTTCGATTGCCCGACCACTCAAATTCCATCTGGAGATTCTTTCCCTCCCACACAATCGCCATGTCGATGGAGGAGGGGACCTCCACCGCCGTGTGGACAACGCGCCCTCTCTGCTACCAGTCTCGACCGATCTCCCCATGGGTCATGGTCCTGTTCAGAATAGGAATTCCTGGTATCAATCACCTGCAGCAGATGACTTTTCTCCACATCCCAATACCCCTCCGAGGCGTGTGACCAGTAACAAGCCACATAGGTCTGTGAAAGCTCCAGAGTTCCATTGCAATTGTGACTTTCCCCTTGGGACGTTTTGCCTCTGCCCAAAGCTTTCTTTAAAGAGATGCTGTCTCCTCGTTTGAGAAGCTTGTCTCTCTTGTTTCCCTCTTGACTTCTTGTCAAGCACTTCTTTGCTCCTTGTCTTGTTTCAGCCCCCCAAAGAGTCCAACATGCCGGGCGAGGTTCGTGCTCTCTCTACTACCAACGATGTCAATCGCATCGAGGCTCCAGTGACCTGGAAAGCCTATCTCATCTGTGCCTTTGCGTCCTTTGGTGGTATCTTCTTTGGTTATGACTCCGGTTACATCAATGGTGTCAATGGCGTCGAGCTGTTCATCCATATCATTGAAGGCCCCGATGCCACAGCTCTCTCGTCGCCCCACCAGTCTCTGATCGTCTCCATCCTGTCTTGCGGAACCTTCTTCGGCGCCCTCATTGCCGGTGATGTCGCCGATATCATTGGTCGTAAATGGACTGTCATCGCAGGCTGCCTCATCTATATTCTCGGTGTCATCATTCAAATGATCACTGGGCCCGGTCACGGTCTCGGTGTCATTGTCGCGGGTCGTCTGATTGCTGGTTTCGGTGTCGGGTTCGAAAGCGCCACTGTGATTCTGTATATGAGTGAAATCGTAAGTCGTGGCTACTGGTGTATTTTCGTTGCTCTCCAGCTAACTGTCGTGTGTTTATAGTGTCCTCGAAAGGTTCGCGGTGCCCTCGTGGCTGGGTATCAATTCTGCATCACGATCGGTCTCCTTTTGGCCTCCTGCGTCGACTATGCCACGGAACACCGATCAGACACTGGCTCCTATCGGATTCCCATTGCAATTCAGTTTGCTTGGGGTCTGATCCTCGGCGGTGGTTTGGTGTTCCTGCCTGACTCGCCTCGATACTTTGTCAAGAGAGGCCGCATTGAGAAGGCTATGCAGGCACTCTCTCGCCTCCGCGGTCAGCCTACTGATTCCGAGTACATCCAAGTGGAAATTGCCGAAATCATCGCCAACGACGAGTACGAGCGTGAGATGATTCCGTCGTCTGGTTGGTTCTCCAGCTGGTACAACTGCTTCAAAGGAGGCTTGTGGCATCAAAAATCCAATCTCCGTCGTACTATTCTCGGGACGTCGTTGCAGATGATGCAGCAGTGGTGAGTAAAATGCCCCACGAGCAAAACCTGAGCTCTGCCTCCTGTAGCGTCCGCAGTTGGCTGACACCTTCGCAGGACCGGTGTCAACTTCATCTTCTACTACTCGACGCCTTTCCTCCAGTCGACTGGCGCCATTGACAACACCTTTTTGATTTCCCTGATCTTCACGCTGGTCAACGTGTGCTCCACCCCGATCTCTTTCTACACGGTGGAAAAGTTTGGCCGTCGTCCTTTGCTCGTCTGGGGAGCCTTGGGTATGCTTATTTGCCAATTCCTTGTCGCCATCATCGGTGTCACGGTCGGTTTCAACCACACCCATACCAACGCCGACGGTGACAGCATCGCCAACAACATCTCGGCGGTCAATGCACAGATTGCCTTTATTGCCATCTTCATCTTCTTCTTTGCCTCGACTTGGGGTCCTGGCGCCTGGATTGTCATCGGAGAGATCTTCCCTCTTCCGATCCGTTCCCGAGGTGTGGGTCTCTCGACCGCCTCTAACTGGCTCTGGAACACGGTAAGTAGCCTCCCGTGGTGCTATCCTGGAGTGCTTTGTATCGGTTAAACTGACCTCGTCCCTAGATCATTGCTGTCATTACACCCTACATGGTCAACGAGGACAAAGGCAACCTGAAATCCTCCGTCTTCTTCATCTGGGGCGGCCTGTGCACGTGTGCATTCGTCTACGCATTCTTCCTCGTCCCCGAAACCAAGGGTCTGACCTTGGAACAAGTTGACAAGATGATGGAAGAGTCCACCCCGCGTACCTCGAGCAAGTGGAAGCCTACCAAGACTTTTGCCGAGCACATGGGTAGTGAAGGCGGTATCCTCAACAAGGAGATTGTCGCAGATGTCGAGAGGAAGGGCTCCGTCTTTTAGATGGACTTTTTACCGAGCGCCATCTCTCGGGCTATCTCGGGAAGAAAAGATATGTATGCAGCCGTCTTTGCCAATTAGTGGTGACCGGCTGTATTGGATCTTGGTCCCTTTGTCGAGAACGAGTTTGTGATGGCGCACCGGAAGATAAGAAGAACCCAACCCTGTTTTCTTACAAAATAGAAAGACAGGATCGCCAGACCTGGATGGGTTGCCTGACCAAGGGGGAAGAAGTGAGCGGTGGTGGTGGTAGTAGTAGGAGGGGAATGAAGAACCACATCATCATGACCTGTCCATAGCAATTAATGTTATTACATTTTTTGCGTACCTATTATCTCGCTGAGTTTTGCTGAGTCTGCCTCCATTCTGCGCGTCTACTCTATGTGACTGTGTGATGCTACCATCTACCATCTACCATCTACCATCCACGTACTGTACGTGTACGAGTACGACCGACCTATGGACGTGTCGACGTGGGGATATGTACTGCCAATGCATCTCTACATACCTGAGTACTCCGTCTCTCCCTATCCTTATCCCTATCCCTCTAGCGTGTCTGTGTGTGTCACGTAATATATTATATGTACGTGGAACTGGCCCGATGAATAGGCCATCCGATCAGATCCGAAACAGAGTATTCAATAGTTAATTGGGGTGTTTGTGCGTGGTATCAATCTATGTACCTCGTACCTTTTGCCACGTGTCACCTGTTTTCACCTACCTTACTACAGACATATCTCCATACCTACCTACCTACCTAGCTAGGTAGTCGGTCGTCTAGACGCAATCACCCACTACTCGGCGCCGCTACCGCCGTCTTCACGTTCGCCTCCTCAGGGTCTGGCAACTTCTCAAACAGCTTGACCTCCAAGATGGCACAGCGGCCCCCCTTGACGGCCTCGACGGCCTGGGGCAGCGCGTCCAGCAGTTCCGCCACGCTGCTCACGGTCCCGGCCCAGGCCTGACCCCCCGCGGCGGCCTTGGCGATGCCAGCGTAGTCGGGCGTCGGGTCGAAGCTGATGTTCAGCTCCTTGTTGTCGACCCTGCTGCCCTCGCCGAACGGGTGGACCAGCACCATCGACCGCCGCGGCGCGTTCCAGCCCTTGTTGTTCAGCACCACGGTCAAGATCGGGATGTCGTACCGTCGCGCGATCCAGTACACGGACCCGGGCACCGAGAACATGAACGTGCCGTCCCCGACGATCTGGCACACGAATTTGCCCTTGTTGGTGCCGAACCGGTCGCCGGCCGCGACGTCGCGATTCTCAAAATCCGACGCCAGTTTGATGCCCAACGCGCCGCCCCCGGACCACCCCAGCCCGCCACCGCCGCAGTTGATCCACGTCTTCGCCTGCACGGGCGCTATCTGGTCGGCTATGAAGGTGCTCAGGGTGACAGCCTCGACGGCGAAGATGGTGTCTTGCGGCACGGCTGCTCTGATCTGACCGCCCAGTACGTGAGGATTGATCGCCGTGTTCGCCGGGTCTTCGGGTATTTTGGCCAATGCCTTGAATTCGCCCCAGCGTGCTGTATATGACTCTTGTCGCTTCCTCCCCGCCGCGGCGTGGGCCTCGTCTGACAAAGCCGCAGAGAGCTTCTCGTTTGAGGCCAGATATTCGTTCACCTGCTTGAACGCGGTGGCGGAATCAGCGCTAAATCGAGCAAACGCCCAGATATAGAAGACAGGCATTTGCCGCTTCAACACATCAACGTCAACGTGAATGATTCTGGCGTCTGGCTTGGGTCTGAACAGTTTAGGAATCCAAGGGACGTCGCAGTCCACCACTAGAATGAAATCCGCAGTGGTGACGGCTCGGTCGTTACCATACCGCAGTCCCAGCGCCGCCGGGTGATCTGACGGAAAACACATGTCGGAACCTCCGCAATCCAGGACCCGAAGACCAGGGATTTTGTCCGCCAAAACCACGGCGGCAGCCACCGACTCAGGATTGCGGCCGGTGTAGCCCACGATGAGCAAGGGCTCCTTAGCTTTGACCAGTTCCTCCGCGATGAGCGCCACGCCCTCTTGTGGCAGAGCTGCGGGGGCCACAGGTCCCCACACCTGCTGATCGAGATGGTATGGCTCGATGTCCTCCTCCATAGACTCACGGGCACCGTAGAGATAGACGGGTCCCTTGGGATCGCTGGTCGCGAATTGGAGAGCTCGATTGACAATTTGTTTGACATTCCTGCCACCCTTGATCTCGGCGGTATACCTGCAGTACTGCGCCACAATCTGTTTCTGATCCGGCACATCTTGAATCCAGTGTATGTATTCTGTTCTTGACCCTCGGTATTCGCCTTCGATGGTGTAGGGGGAGAGGCCGGCGAAGATGAGGACGGGCGCGCGGCCGCAGGAGGCGTTGTGGACGGCCGCGGCCAGACCTTGGGTTCCGACGTCGACGTGGACAATAACGCATTGGGGTTTGTTGGTCAAGCGCGCCATGCCGTCGGCCATGGACAGCGCAACCATCTAGATGAGATTCCTCATGTTTCAGCATCACATCCAGAGCTCCAAAGAGTGCCGCACCAGCACTCATCTCTCTTTGATCTTTTCTTGCGTACCTCATTGGGGCAGGTGATGATTCTAGGGAAGTTCACGCCCTTTTCCCTCTGGCCTCTGGTGATTGCCTCCATGATGGAAGGGTGGTCCGAACCCAGGTTGACGAAGACATGGGTGATGCCGGCCTGCGCATTGCGGTTTTGATGTCAGTGGAACTGGACACATTCACGGGACAAGTCGATTCTCGGGGGGCTTACCTCCGAGATGGCCTCGAAGAAGGCGGTTGAGGTGGTGTAGGGTCTGGTCGAGTCATGGTCAGTCTGCATGTTTGCACCCTCTATCAGCGCAGACAGGCCAGGCGTACGATTTCAAGTACGAACTCATGGCGGAGCTCGGTCTGCAAGTGGTTGTCCTGCTCAAGTTAGGTGGTCAGGTCTGCTCTGTATGATGGACAGTCTCGCAGGCAAGCTCGTGGGTCAAACGGAGAGAGCTCCAGATCAAGCAACAAAGAACGCGTGATGCACAACAAACTAGAGCTGAGACCTGAAGGGGGAGACAGAGAGACGGGTGGTTCAGTTCAAATATTGCAGTGCCATTCACTCAAATACTCAATGGGCAACGAAGGAAGAGGCGGTGGTGTCCCGATGCTGGCCGAGGATGGCGGCAAGGGGATCTACTGGGGGTAAAAGGTCCCAGCAACTACTTGTTCAGGGTTATTATGGCGCATTGATTCGGCTCTTGATGGAATGGAGAAGTAGCTCGGCCAGTCAATGAAGCTCGAACGAATAACCAGAAGGGAAATCAAGGGCGGAGGGGTATGTGTGTTGTGTGTGTGGGCGGCGAGCTTGGTTCTGCTTGTCCATCTCTGGTGTGTGGGGTTGGGCTTTGGTTCCTTGTTTGCCGATGTCGCAGGAACGAGCATTTCATCTGGACCTGTCCCATGGTGGCCCCAATCTTTCTTGTATGTGTACCGAGTACCTCGTAGGTGTAGGTATGTGTGATGAGTGTGTCCTGTATTTCCTCCTCTTAAGGCCCCCCACCGGAAACAAACCCCAGTTTCCGGCTTCAGTGTCCGGTGGTTGTTCAAGTTTAGGTACTAGGTAAGCAGCCGATGCATCTGCCGTGCTTTACTCAGCAGAGTCTTCAAGGAAAGTGGAACGAACCTGATATTGGAGAAAGGATGGCGCAATGTATTGAAGGAAAGCGGAATTGATCCGTCACGTATCTGGTACCCACGCCTGCCACGGCACCCACCCAGCACCCAAGCACGTGCCAAGGTAAACAAAAAGACTATCTGCTACCGGGCAACTACCAAACCTCTCACTAGACACAGCATTCTTATTCTGTGCACTTGCACCGATGATCCCCTGGCCATTGCTCGGATTTTTCAATCGCCACCTGAAGGCGGCGTAATCACAGCCAGCGCACCACAGACAGGTAGGTTGGTCGAGGCATTAGGGTCCCATGGCGGCGGGTTGACAAAGTTGTGGCTGGACAAATTCGTCTGCGGCCTGAATATCATGCAGTGGGTTGAGCCTCCGAAGTGAAACATACCAATCGACTGGCCCTTGTCAACCCGCTCCCCTACATCGACGGTAAACTCGCAGGAAGACACCTCCGCCATGCCGATAAACACGATGGCCATCAGTCCGATTTGAGGGTTGTCGGCCTGGATGAAGATGATCCCGCGTGCTGCCACGGCCGAGATGTACGGTTGGGAGTTGTTCGGGGCGGCGGCGTCGGGTGATCCTGGATTTTCGAAACCCTGCGAGAGGTTCTCCGAGTAGTACGACCCTGGCACCTGGCGAATGGCCACCACTTTCCCAGATACCGGCGTGTGCCAACAGTGATACGACAGGGCGCTCAGGAATGCCTGATACACCGATCCACCCACAAACTGCTCGGCGTGGGGATGATTGTCTAGCATCTCAGCCAAAGAGTACGGCTGCTCCTTGAGCCAGAAGGTATCGTGCAGCTTGACGTTGGTGGCGAACTGGAGAGGTGTCGACTCGCAAGCATTGACAATGACTCGCGTCGGGTCCGGCTGCTCTGCGGTGGGTTGATTGTCCGGAAAGGCGACGGGCCGGATCCCAGCGTTGAACTTTCGAGTGAAGAATTGATCCCAGGAACCAAACCCGAAGAATGGAAGTGACGGGTTACAGACATACAGCTGCTGGAATGTGTAATCTGTCTTGCCATCATTCCCCTTGGCGGCTAGAATGTTCAAAGCATCAGCAGAAAGCCACCCACTGGTTTCATTGAGACAACTGGTCGACGCCGGACTCTCGAGGAATGAGCCCCAGACGTTCAGGATGTCTCGCCACATGCTGTTGACCTGGCTGTCCAAGAAGAAGAGGTAGCCCGCGAGAGTGCCCATGGGCCAGTCCAGAATCGCATTAATGGGAAACCCAATCAACCCCATGGCCGTTGGCGGGTCCTGAATGTCAAACCACTGTGGTCCTTCTTTGAGAATCATGTCGACGAGTCCAAGCATCGTGTCGAAATCACGAACTTGGGGCTTGCCAGTAGGATCGTCCTTGTAGGCAGGGGGGATCTGGGTGAACATGTCACTGGAGAGTTTGGTGAGGTTGGGGCTGGCCGCGACGAGTTGTTGCAGGGCGACGATGCTGGGGTCCAGCGTGACAGAGGCCTTTTTGTGAAGCTGTCGCTTCTTCTCGAGCTGTTCCAGCTTGGTGGCGAGCCATTGTTTGATATGGGCCCGGTCCTGGGGGAGCCAATGGCCCATGGAGGCCTGAGGAGGCGGGACTCGCCTGAATTCGTGAGAAACCATTGCTGATGCTTGATCGACGTGATATTTTCTGCGTGAAGCTGCTCTATGAACGTGAAATAGAAATCCAAGGGCATTGGACTTGAGAATGTCCACGAGGTGTAGGGACCAAGGGCATTTATAGCAGAGCTTACATACAGTACATACCTCCTCCAAGAAGAAGACCAACATCAGCCGCACCCGCACCCGTTGCTCATCCATAAACGCAAGCCACAATCTCGCAAGGACACGTCTGACGCATAAACGCATAACTGAGTTGAGTTGGCCATTTGGACGAGTTCTCGACCTCGCACCGACACCATCCCTGTAAGAGTTTGCCGACAATCATGAATCTCGCGGCACCAAAGGTGTGTTACACGGCACTTGTGGACAGTGTTGGTTGGTGGCTGGCTGGCTAACCAGCTGGATGTAACTCTCCCTGCGGCGTATTCTACCAGACACTGGACACCAGATATCGCTGGTCCAGGTGTCACTGCCTCCAATGCAGAGCTGAACACCAGCCAGCCCCGTGGACCAATCAATCGCCCAAAGGTTTTCGCGGTCCGGTGCGACGAAAACACCCAAGAAATCCTGTCAGCTGAATGGTTGCTGCTGCAGCTGTTGCTGTTGCTGAATGCCTCGAGGGGAGAGAAGAAGAACCAAACAATAGCAATCACGACGACAATAACAGACGGGTGCTCCGTTACAATGGTGCAAGTGGATGGGCGGGGGCAGAGAGTCTGAGATCTAGATCAGAGCAAAGGTAGAGAAGGAGATGGATTGAATTTGTCATGAAAATGGCGCAATGAGCTATTAGCTACTCACTCGTATGTATATCATGTCCAAATCCCAGGCTCACAGGGTAGGCAGTTGCGGGTGGATAGATGGAATAGATACTTGTGCTTGAAACCATCCATCGCTCGTATATTCTCTAGCACCAACAACAGCGAACAGATTCACCCAAAATACTCATCGAATAGCCAATCCCCCGTCATACTGATCGTTAAAACACCCACCCTATCTTTCGACGAGACTCAAAACCCACCCATTCCTCGTACCCGTTGCACAGCACCAACAACCCCCTTGGCCCACGCAAACTTGCCTGGATCGACACCAATGGCACCCTCGGCCTGCTGTCCAGTTCTCGGATCCTTCCAACATCCAGCATCAGGTCCTTCGTTCTCGACTTTGCCGTAGAGGTGCGTGTTTTGATTCTGTCGGATTCCTTCCATCCACTTTCCCACGACCAGTGGGCTGTCAATCATGACGTTGACTTCCTGGCTGTGATACCAACTCTGCGTGTCCTGGTTACCGTTACCCTGAATTCCAATGTGGCCGTCCACGATCATCAGCTTGATGTGACATGACCGCTGCTTGAATTTGTTGTGGATGGGGTGGGTTTGGTCTTTGGCGACGTAGGCGTAGATGTCCAGGTTATCGCGATGTTCGGATCCCACGTCGCGATACAGTCCGTTTGCGATCATTTCGTTGTGTCCGCCCTGCATCGGTAGCAGTTCTCCCGCATCGTTGTATCCCAGACAATAGTAGTAGGTGACCTTGACCCCTCGTCGGCAAGCTGCAACAATCTCGGGTAGGAGGGCTTCGGCATTCAAGTCTGGGGTCTGGATAAAAACCGACTTTGCCGCATGACGGAGGGCAGACATGAAGGCTGCATTTTGCGGGGTGTACAAGCAGTGCTTGGTGGGCGCTCCCCAGGGCTGTCGGCAGACCATGGCGATCGGGAAAGGATCATGTCGTGGAATCGGAATGAGTGGCGTCATGGTATCAGCTGGTTCAATATCCGCTGCGCTCCCTTTCGTGTCAGGTTGAATCGTCGTGTTCAGCAGGCGGGTGATCGCGTTTATCCGTGTCTCGCCCTCCCGTGGATTCAAACATGCTACAGCGCGTAGCACCTCGGACTTGATGTCAGGGTCATAGTGGGGTTCTTGCGATGTGTGCTGGGGCAAATCCATCTGCGATCCATGCTCGGCAATCTCTCGAAGGCTCTCGTGGCCGTCAGGGATTGGCGTGGGTCTGTGTCAAGGTCAGCGCTACGCAGGCACCTACTGTATCTCAGTGCGTCCAACTTACGCTTGATACACGGGAACCAACTTTCCGCTTTCGTCGAACATGGTCGCATAACTGTCGCTCGTGAAAGTGGGAATCGAACAATCCGCAGCAGGCCGGCTCAACAGCGGTAGCGGTGGCTTGAGAGCATTGTGCCATGAGATGAGCGCAAGATCATAGAATGAATCAACGATTGGTCCTTCGAGTTGCGTCATCATCTCCAGGTTGTCGATATCTTGGATGTTGTTGCTCTGCAATATCGCAATTCGCCGATCCACAACCATGTATTTGGCATGGAATGTCCCAAACATTGGTCGATGGAAATTCATGACTTCGATATCTATGTTTGGCAGCTCATCAGGATGGGGTATTCGGATTTTGCCATTGGGATCTGCAAATTCGCTGGGTGGCACGATGAGGTGGTTTTTTACAAGCTCGTGCTGTCAATGAATGTGTGCCAGCGTGCAGGACTTCAACTCACCTGTTTCGCAC